GCGGTGCTCGCCTCTGCCGGTTGGGTATTTTTGCGTTCCTTCTCTGCTCGGGCCACCCCTGTAGCTGCGGCGTAGTTACTCCACAGGACTTCTACCTCTCCCTCCAACAATGCCGTTACCATTCCCTTGCCTGCATCCGCAAGCTGCGTCGCCATTACTTGGATCCGTCTCGCCGCACCATCGTGCAGTCCCTCAGTCGACAAGGAGTTCGGTCCAAGCGCACATATAGAGGCAATCCAAGACCAATGCGGCTCCAAGATTCGCGCCACAGCTGGCAACTCGGCATGCTTCTGTAGTTCGTCCAGTAGCCGGTACACCGAGGTAAGCATCTCTAGGTCGTACTCTAGATAGACGTTGTCAGGTCGGGTTCCTGTCTCCATGGTAGAGTTCTCCTGCGTTGTCCGTCGAACCATACGGTCACTCATAGCCTCCAACAGTGCGAATATCGTCGCCTCCAAGACATCAGGCAGTGAATACAGGACGGCGAAGGACTTGACAAAGCTGATGGTCCAGATGGTGTACTGCCCATATGTTTGTGGTGCTGGCTCGGAGGATGATCCAGATACGGCAGGTTGTTCCTTCATAGCAAGTGTGGCAATGTATTCCAATGTTCCTGGGTGCGTGAAAACTGATCGAAAAACCTTGACTGCTCCAGCAAGACCCGTCGAGGATGCTCCTTGACCCGACCAATACTCCCATTTGAGCTGCCCAATCAATGCAAATAACATCCTGGTTAACTCGCGCATGAGAATCGGCGGTGATCGTGGATCTTGAATCGTGCTCATCATGAACTTTTGTAGTTGCTCCCAGGTATCCTTGTCTCCTCTGATCGCCTCACGAAGTAGGTTCACATCCACCGAGCCAATCATAGAGCGGATGACCCGGCATAGTACTGTCGGATCGTGTGAAACGGTGAATCCAAGCGTGTGTTGCTGTTGACCATTCGCCAAAGTCAATGTCAGCTTCAGCGACTCTGCGAACTTCTCCCAGCCTTCCCAGCGGTCTTGGCCCAATTTTTCTTCTGCGGATGCTGCGGTGTTTGTAGCGAGCGCCCAGGCGCTGATGGTGTGGTCGCTGTGGAGCATAAGGAGCCATGTTCCTGGAAGTATAGATTTGATGACGAACTTTTTGGACTGGAGCATGTTGTGAAGGATTGAGAGGACAGGGCCGGCGATGCGGGTCGAGTATTCCTGGAGGAGCAGCAGTGTCGGATCGAGCATGACTTCACAGAGCAGGAACTTTTTTCTCCGCAGAAGACCAGGCGAGTATGGTTCCTGAGAGTACCGCGTGGCTCGTTGGAGTATCCGGTCGCAGTCCCAGTCCAGCAGAATCCTGAAGAAATCGTCTACCGTCTCGTTGTCGTAGCGTTGCCGCAGACTAAATTGGATACGAAATCAGGCGGTTAAAGATGTCATCAGATATAATGTTTACTAGTTGAAAAGGTTGTAGCGAGCCATGCATGATTCAATTCAGATCAATTCAAAAACATACATGTCCAAGTAGGTTCGGCGGTCTTGTATGTATGCCTCGGAGCACTGTACACACATCGCAAATGTGTGGTCTACGATGTTCTTGTACTGCTGAAGCGAGCTATTCTCGCTCAGGGAAAAGAGGTGCAGCAACTCCATTAAGACAGGTCGCAGGTCGCTGTCGCACCACCAATGAAGCAAAGGTTCCCGGAGGACAGACTCCAACGCGCCTGTGAGGAACTGGTGGAGTGCTTCTGGAGGAGCATTGGGTTGTCTGAGTCGAGCGAGGAGGTCATTGAGGCGTGTGATTAGGTCCTGCGAGGGGGAGTCCTGTAGTGGGGGTGGCTGTGCGATGCTGGTTGTGGTTGTGGTGGTGGTGGTGGCAGCTGAGGCCGTGGAGGTGTCACCGCTGTGCTGCATCCTGCATGGATGGATGGATGTGAAAGAAATCAGGTATTGTCTATTTGAAGTCAGCGCCACCATTTGTGTTGAAACATGAGGTTGGGGGTTGTAGACAGTCACGCCTGAAGCATTTCGATCGCAAAGACTGCACCCAACCAAGACCACACGATTTGTGCTCTCTTTTATGAGGTTTTCGCAATAACCCGCGTAAGCGGAATAGAAAAACCTCCTTAAGCGGAAAAGAATTACACTAAATTTTTGAATTGGCTTGGTATTCAATAGAGACGGTTTATTCAGTCACATGACCGACCCTTGCGCCTGCCGTCCGATGACAAAAAAACAAAGAAAATGAATGATGGTAACGTCTTGTAGCATCAAACAAATCTGGACCGGTTGAGGAGTGGAGTATCTGATCTAGCGTCCTCGCCAACCTCGCCCTCGTTGTCTCTATTACCTCCCTCCTTAGACTTTTTGATCCTAGATGAAGTACGCGCGACTTGCTTGAGCAGTTTTCGAAGCTCCAAACTATCCTGCGATCCGTCGTCCTGCAACATTTGTCTCACAATTATCAAGCCATCAGGACGCAGCGGTTCGTATCCTCCTGCATTGTCGTCCAGGTAATTGAAGCAATCGTCTAAATCTCTTGGATCGATAGGAGAGCTACATGGTTCGCCATTGTGGTTGTAGTATTGTTGGCGAGCGGGTTGCGCTGGGAGAATCGCCATGTTGCACTACCAGCACTTCCATCTCAGCATCTGCAGCCACAGGTTGTGCTGCCAACTCCTCCTCTGCCAACTCCTGAGCATCTTGAGTTCCTTTGCGTACAATATTCCAGTTATTGTCGGCTCCTATTTCGACTATCAAGTGTTCAAAGTATGCTCTCTCCTGCTCTTTGAAATGATCGCGCATAGAGTATGTCGTCAGCTCGGATTGTTCCTGTTTGCTGGATAGTCGCCTTCGCAGCTGTTCACGCATCTCCTCTGGAAGTACTGGTGTTTTGGCAAAACAGTTCCGAATGGTCGATGCTTTGACATGATCCCAGGCGTAGGGTACGAGTGACCAGGCTTGTCCATTGGTGATCGCTTTTTCTTTGTTGTAGTTCCGAACGATGTTGGTTTCCTGACTGAGCATTTCTAGAAACGCGCGCTTGAAGACACTAATAACACCGGCGTCCAGGGGCTGGGTTACCGATGTCGACTGTAGGAGTAATCGTCGGATACGAAGAAATTTCCAAGGGGTGTTGTCGAAGGAACAACGCATGTCGATGTCGTTGTGGGCAGGACAGGAATCGAGAAGGAGAAGAGACGGAACCGCAAGTTGATCGTCGAACCTTCTCGGCCATTCGTAGAAAACATCGCTATTCACCCACCCTTTTTTCGTACGCCTTACGATCATCCTGTTCATCGCTTCCTTCCCCACAAGTTGCGCCATATGTTAGACTAATATAATTGTAGAGGGGATAAGATTATTTGATTAGAGTCAGTCAATAAATAATTAGCAAAGCAATTCTCATCTGCGCATAAGTACCTACGTATAACCCATGGCTTCAGCGTGTCCATAGTGTCTGCCTTGAGGATAGACGAGCCCGTGGCATTGACACAAAATAAAATGGAAACTCGGGCAGTTCGATCAGCCTTGCCTCCAGCTATGTTCCCAATCGTGGTGTACGACTTGGAATTAAGCTCCCTCAAGTACAGACCCGTCTCATCGCAGTTGTAGATGTTCTCGGGGTTATACATGGCACAGAGCTGGCGGATCTCGGCAAGTTCTGGTTCAATCGCCTCCATGTCAACGGAACCGGCCTCATCCCTAAGCTGGCAATAGGCGATCCGATGGCGTTTCTTGAATGCGTCAAACCACGAAGTAGAAAAGGACATCGGGGCTCCAATGTTGCTGCCATCATCGCCCTCGAAGCAGTCTTGCAGAACGGCAAATGTAACCTCAGCAGCAGTACGGAACATCTTGCCTGATACGGGGAGACACTCATTCCGCTGCTTCTCCATCCATTGACCAGAGCAGTCTCCAATAGCTCGTTCTTGCGCTTGACCATGCAGCAGGCGTCTTCGGGTAGCTCCACTGCCTTATCACGTATCGCCTTCTCGTTCTTGAGCCATCCTTGCAGAGTCGTAAAAGGTAACTTGACTTCAATCATCTCGCCGAAGTTGCGGGGAGATGGACTCGAGAAGGTCGTTCTGGCGGTTAACGAGGTAGTGGAAGATATCGAGAAGCTCAACCTTGTTCGACAGCGTCATGCAATTCCTGGCCATCGATATCTCAAACTCCTTGACAGTTGGGAGCACCAATACGGCAGAAACGTCGTTGCGCCTGGCACAGTCCACGAGTTCCTGGTACCTCCTTGCCCACTTCTCGTGGAGCTCCTTGATGGTATATGTTTTTTTGAGTTGAAGGGGTGGGGGCGTTTGTCTCGATCGAGTTTTTTTTTGGATGCTGAGGTGATGGGAGTTGAACTAGGTCGTTTTTTAGAGGCGTTTGGCTGGCTCATGTTGCGAAGGATAAGGGACTGGAGGAACAAAGCTACCTCGTTCTTTCATTTTCTTTCATTTTTTTTTGTCAGCAGACCGACGCAACGGCCGGTCATGTGACTGAATAGATTGTCTTCACTGAATACCAACTGGGCCAATTCAAAAAAGTGAAAAAGTTGCACTGTTCGCAAAAACAAAGATTCGGTGCACGAAAATGCTGGCTGGACTATGGCATAGGAATTACCACAGTTGCAGAATGGTGACAAGCAATCCGACTGATACAATATGTGCAATGACGCCACCATAACGCAGGATATATGAACAAGTCATTCGTTGCTGGAAGCAATGAGAGAATATCCATACTACGGGAGTGAAAATTCTTCTCGTAACTGAATCAAACAGCATTGGCACAATCGCGTATTCACCTCAATTAAATCTGATACCAGAAGCTGTAGAACGTGTCGCATATCAGTCCATTGTCATTAAGGGGATTGGAGGAGACTTGGGCACTACCTCAGACTCAGAGTTACATTTTCTGGGGATGGACAGGCATGACGTAGAGTCATTTCAATCAGCACATGTAAAAGAAAATGGTATAAAAAGGGTCCCGGGCACCCGTTCAGCTCAACCACCCTTACACATCAATATGCCGTCGATTCTAACCCTTGCTTTAATCGCGACCTTATCCTTCCTAGGCCTTGCCAGCGCTGCACCTGCTCCGACTGTCTTTCGGACACCTATCCCTCCAGAAGCGCCCAATACATCGATCCATGAGAAGCCACTCAAAGGTCCCATTACTGCCCCGTTTCCTGTCAATAAGGGCTACAAGTCCGATGGAAAAATCCACGATCCTCTGCCAAAGCCTCACACTCCTGCCGGTGGCCTCGCTCTGAACGAAACCCCTATCTATCACCCGCTCTCCGACTTTGATTACCAATCACTGAGCATGGCCTTGTACACTGAATGGATCGAGCTTGATCTCTTTCGTTACGCGCTTGAAAAGTTCTCCCTTGAAGATTTCGAGAAAGCCGGTTTGACCAAGGCCGACCGCGCTCTTGTTGCTTACATGGCCGACCAGGAGGTTGGTCATGCTACCAACGTTTACAACATGCTTGGCCCTGCTGCAGCCAAGCCCTGCACGTACAAGTATCCATTCAAGACCGTCCAGGAGTTCATCATTTTCAGCAAGCAAGTTACCAGAATCGGCGAAGCAGGTGTCCTCGGCTTTATTGAGCACCTGAACTCGCGACCTTCAGCTCAGTTGCTCTTGCAGACCGTTACAACTGAGGCTCGCCAGCAGATGGTCTTCCGTCAGTTTGAAGGACTTTTCCCATGCCTGTGTGGTTCCAAACCGCTATCACCCAGAGCGTGCAATGGTCGTTGCAAGCTCGCTACATTGTCTCTTGCCCCGCGATCAACCACAAGTATCCTTTGATCTGGCAAGTGTTCCCTGAGCTTCGTATCGTCAACAACCCCAACAGTACCGATCCTCATTTTGGTCCTGCCATTTCCACTCAGCGCACTGCCCTCAGTTACTCTGGCAGAGAGGTGAAGTTTGAGTTTGACGCTCCTGGCAAGCAAGTAGGCCCTGATGGCAAATATATTACCAGCACCAATGCTGGTGCGCCGAAATTCGCTGCCTGGATAAGTCAACTTAACGTCACATACACACCACTCGAGGATGTCAAGTTTCTCAAGGCTAATGGCGATGTGGCCGGCAGGTCCACTACAAAGCAGCCCGATGTGCCCGAGCTTTACCCAGGTCTCACTACTCACGGACATCCTGTCATCAATGGAACCGTGTTTGTGGCCCTTGTTGATGACAATGTTAACGTTACTCCTGCGAATCTGAGCGAATTGAATGCTCACGTCGTTGCAGGCCCTGCCTTGTACCAGTCCGGTTAAAATATAGTAAGTGTAAAAAGTCGTAGTCGACACAATAGTTCATCCTCCGGCTTTCCGCGCTCTCCTTTTGCAATTTTTTACTGTACTTTCAAAGTTACAGCCACGTCGTCTTTTATACCTTTATCTTTCTAGTAATGGAGTCCTTCTTTTAGTACATATGTAGCAATACACTACTTCGATATGATATCACCGTGTCACCAACCTTATTTCAATCAGATAAAAAGACGTCGGTATGTCTTGTCTCCTTGCAGAATTTGCAAGTCAGCTCGGTACATGATCCGTAAATCCAAGCAGAAATAACATCCTTATAATTTCAGTTTTCCTTATTAGAGGAACAAGAGGACCTCAATCTGGGACGGCAACCTTGCTGGCCAGAGGCTTTACTCAATTCTAATTCGAGCGCAAGGAGGCAGGCCCTTCATAAGGTTGAAGGCGCTACAGACCATCGATGTCGGGCTATAGACTTTCTAAGTCATGGAGTGAAGGACGATGGATCCGCGAGATGCTTTGCACGGGATCGCCCCAAACGCTCACTGTCCGTCAGCATATAGCCCTCCATCTGCTGTTGATAATTCCACAACAGCGGGAATAAGAATCATGCGGTCATTGTCAAGAGAAGGGTTATTTCGAGAATTTACCTCTGTGTGTGTGTGTGTGTGTGTGAGAGACAGAGAGAAGCAGGATTGTAAAAAGTAGAAAAGCAATATAAGAAAATACAACGGTAAAAGGAGAAAAGGCTGTTATTGAGAAAAGAGAGCGTTGAAGACAAAGAGTGATGGCAGGGTAGATCATGCGAGGAAGAGAACAAAAGAGGAACAATGGAGAAGTAGGGAACAAAAAAAGCAGTATATGAAAAGAATGCAAGAATAAAAAGGAAGGAGAGTATTGAAATAAAAGGAATAAAGACTGTAACCAGGCGAGATTGACCTTTCTCAAGGCAGAGGCTGGAGGTGGGGTGTGAGAGAGAAGATGAATGAGAGAGAGAGAGAGGGAGATGGGTTTTATGGTATTGACGAGGTGTATTCAGGTTACTAGGTAAGGATTGGCGCAGTCAACTGCGCTACGAGCCAACCGATCACTTTGTGCGACGCGACAGGAGGACGATGGGCGTGGGAACGGTGGCAAAGCGATGACGGCCTAGGAATGGTGGTGACAAAAAGGGATGTGAGGGCGTATGAGTGGTGGCAATAGCGATGAAGTCGTAAGAGTAAGGGCAAAGAAAGGAATGTGGGTGATGGCAAAGGCGAGTAATAAGAAAGAGCAAGAGTGACGGTAATGATAAAGGATGTCGAGAGGAGTGGGAGTGTTGGCAAAGAGCATATGGTGACGAAAAGTGCGGGGGAGTGCTAGCAAAATTGGGAAGGGTATGCGATTGGCGGTGGCAATGGCGATGGATGCGTGAAGGTGGTAACTAAGAATTGGAGGGCGCGAGAGCGGTGATGAAAAGGGAGTAGGGGCGGTGAGTGATGAAAAAGAAGGAGTAAGTGTGGTGAGTGAAGAAGAGAAGAGTGTGGCAAATGGAGTGTGTGTGGGTGAAAGAGAGTAAAACATGTAAGGGCTGGGGGTGTCAGGACCATTTTCTCGCGCCAATCTATCATCTAACCAAGTGAGAAGGCGAACAGATAGTTGTATATATTTTTAGGGGTTTTCATACTTAAAGGCCACCTCTGACCATCATACTTGCTACAACGCACCCTTTTCTCATTCACTCCTCTCTTCCCTTCTACAAACCATTCACACACCCTCCCTCCACCTGCTGGAATAATCTTCGGTTTGAAAAACATCATAAATATGAACACCTACCACTAACAAAAGTGCACGAAGAAACAGTACAACTTCGACAAAGGAAATCAACCAGGAAGGTCGCACAGTCATTCGAAATCTCCATCCCAACGGTCCAAAGGATCAAGGTGAGGACAAGGAAAACATTCCTGCTTCATATTTAATGAGACCAAGGGTGATCTCAACAAAGACAAGGTCACTTATGGCGCACCATTTCGACATGGGCAGCTTAAAAACGTATAAGAATAGACAACGATTTGTGCAATCGACAGAAGGAAAGCAGATTTACATCGACACGGTCCGAAAGAATCTGCATTAGGAGGGTGAAAGGACATACTCGCGACCCAGCAAACCTAATCTAAATCGAGATCATAGGGCTTGAAGGTACAGATTCGCCAAGGACCAAATTCACAGGACGATGGACGACTAGAAGAAAGTGATGTTCTCCGATGAGACGATGATCTGTCGCGTCGGGACCTTTGACAAGTCATACAACCACAGCAGATGCGATCGCCGGCAGTTTCATCCTCATCAAGCCTAACCAACAGTAACGGGAGGAGGTGGAAAACTGATGGTGTGGGATGCATTACTATTTTCGGGGTCGGTGATGCTTGCTGGATCCCGGGAAAGGTTGATTCTGATGCATACCTCAATGTTGTCCAGGATGATATTCGGCAACCACACGAGTGGTACAGCACGGATGAAGCGACATTGTCGCAGTATCATAGAATGCTCATCTACTTCGCCTTCTATAATCACGCCTCCATCCACACTAACGGCCATGCCTTCCTTAACCGTGCCTTCTGTACATCAGTATAAATACCCTCTCTTCTTGTACAATACACAGAATCCTTTCTTGCCCATTCCACTTATTCCTAGTGCCCTCCTGCCCTCGCTCGTGTCCTTGTCTCTTACCTATTCTCTCGTCCACATCCTTTTGTCCTGTCGTTGTTACGGACATTCACCTTTCAGCAAGACAATGCTCGCATACATACGGCACACAAGGTCGTGGAGTTCTTTGCGGTGGAGAACATCACTATCCTTCCCTGGCCTGCCAACTCTCTCGAGCTCAACCCTATTGAACACGTTTGGGACGTATATCAAACGCAAGCTGGATTGGTACTCAGAGGCGCCAAGGAACCTGGATGAGTTCTGGGAACGAGTGCAGGAGATATGGACACACACATCCTTAATGGATTTCTCCAGAAACTGTATGAAAGCATGCCCAAGCGTCTGGAAGAGGTCATTAAGAACGACGGGGGGTAACACAAGGTACTAATTGGCGCGTAGGACTAGGAGCATGTAGCTGATACCATTTTACATAAAGTGATTCAATGCAGTTGTATGTATTCGAAAAGATGCCTATGGCGATTGTGTGAGATAAACTTTTATTCAAACTAAATGTGGTGAGAACAAGGGAGTGTTGCTTGGCCTTGTTGAGGATGAAACGATGAAAACAAAAAAGAAAAAAGTTCGTTCATCTCAAAACTCGAAATCATTGATTCAAGTAATGTAATGACTTTATGTACCATGTGTTCAGTGTGGTGTGAATTACAAGACTTTGCGAGTTTAATTATTTTCTGTTCAGCGATTGAGACTAAAGTGCTCCACAAAGTGTTCAACCAAAACACGATTTTGGCGTTTTTTTTTAATTGCACAATTGCCTTAGCAATCGGCCCCAAGATTCCTACTAATAGTTCCTGTACCTCTTGTGCATGCTTCCTCTCAATCCTAATGAATTCTGGAAATGACGCCACAAATAAAATTTATTTGAATCTCGTTGAACACTTTTGTGGAGCACTTTAGTTCTATTCTTCAATTAGCGCCATAAAGAGTGTCTACAGAGGTTGCGCAGAGCCAGGTGTGGTACCGGACTGTGACTGATGGATGGACCTTGGGAGAGTTCGTTATGTAGCACTCAGTACTATCGAATGCCTACCTTGGATTGTTTATTAGAGAGATCAAGCTGTGTCCAAAAAAAATATCTAGTTGGACCCATTCCCACTTCACCCTCTTGTCTCAAAGGACATTTCATAGTGATGGCTCAAAGACCGGATTTATTTAAGGCCAAAGCATAAAAAGTACCCTGAAGATTTGAGAATCCGCTAATGCTCTCTCACAGCTGGATTAAAGGCTAGAACTATTATTTAAGACGAAGCACCAATGGACAGTAAAGTTGTAAGCTGCGCACCAAAAGATCTATAATATCATTCCTATAACTGGACGTTGTGGCTGAAAAGAAACAGCAAATGTTGCCAGGAACCCAATCAACCAGTGACATTCATATCCGAAGCTCAAAAGCTCCAAACCACATGGATGCATTCAGATCATAATTCTGAAGGACAATCTGGATTTGCACCATGACTGAATCTACCAAAAAAAAGCAACGCCAACGTAAGCAATAATGATAGGACTACCTTAAAGAACTGTGAGTGCCATATTTTGAAGACATGACATGTCATGACAGTAGATTTTTCTGTTCCTTTTGTTAATTACTACTAAGTGTCGCGAGCTGTTTCTTGTTTTCCTGAAAAACTTGAAGCAAAGCTATCTAGGTCTTTTTTTCATTCTTTTTTTATATTTGTATGAGCGATTGTTACCATGGTGGTGAAACTTACCCCTGCAAGATGGCACCTGAGGCAAAAAAAGAGCAAGAGGGGGAACGAAGGACGTCGAAGCATTGCCTGGGCCTCCAAACCTAAAGTTTTCCTGTCAAAATGAATGGGAACGATTGGATTGGTTCCCGTTTTCAGGAAATCTTGAGAGCAAAATGTTCATCTGCTGTCGAGTCCCCCGGTAGGCAGAAAAGCATGTACAATATCGCACAGGAAAGCGGAGTGTACTGTGTTCTGCTCTCTGAATCCATTCTTGCGGGGATTGTCCAGATTGCCCGATTGCCCGATTGCCCTCAGATTTGAAGCCTAGAATCAATTTTTTTTTACTATTGTTTTTTTTCCTCGGAGATATTTCAATTGGTGGCATTACCTACCATCAACACTGGACGAAAATGTATATAAACAGTGCTTCATCCGCACTTCATTTCCAAAGCACAGCACATCACAACACATCACAACACATCACAACACATCACAACACATCACAACACATCACAACATGAAATCGAACGCCTCTCTCATTTTCTTGACAGTTCTCTTGGCCGCTATCGCTACCGTGGCCCAAGGTAATACCTCATGCCCATTATGATGGATAGTTGACTCAACTCAAACTAAACGACATACAACGCATACTAATTTTTTTTCTTTTCTTTTCTTTCCCTCTTCTTTTCACAGCCGGACATTTCTATACCACCAATCGGGCCAAGAGAGATCAGGCTGTCGCTCAAGGATACCAAGTTCAAGGCATCGCTGGATATGTTTTCAACAAACCTTCTACCTCCAAACGTCCATCGACCGGTCCTATCTACCACGCGTATTCTTCATACTCCCAAGATCAGACCTATGTCAACAGTCTCGAAGCCCATTTGGGTACTGTCGGCATGGGTTATCAAGATATGGGAATATCGTGGTACATGTACACCAAGCCCTCGGACTGCAGATCTCCTTTGTACATCTTGTTTAAACCCGCATTCCCCTATGACCATTACTACACTACCGATAGAGCTGAGGTTGATACTGCCAAAGCTAACAAGGGATACTTGGAACTGGGAATTCTCGGTTATTTGTATACCGATTCAAACAACACAGCTTCTCCTTTGTACCAATTGTACAAACAAGAGGTAGTAGTATACGTATAAACGATCCACCTCTCTCTAGATTACAACATTTTCCAGACCACCTTCCTTCGCCCCCCCTTTTTTCGTACACAGTCCTTCCTTCGCCCGTTGTAATTGCTTCTCTCTACTATCTCTCTTATTATTCTACTATATAAAAAAATCGTAAAAACACAAGACAAGAAGATAATGTCGAGTAAGGCGTTAAGGTATGAGAGAACAATGGCGGACGCGTTCAACGGTCTAAATTTCATGGGACAACCCGATATAGTCTCGCAGCCAACATTTTCACGTAGTGAAAGTCTGGGTTTTTTGGATTGGTTCTTGGAGACTATGATACGGTGTGTGACTGTTTACAGCGGATTTTTCCATCCGCAACAGCGGTAATTCTTTTCCGCTTAAGGAGGGTTTTCTATTCCGCTTACGCGGTTTTTTAGTTCCGTTTGAGCGGGTTAAGAACTAACAATTGCGAAAACCTCATAAAAGAGAGCACAAATCAGTGTCCAGGACAACTGCTTTGTGCAAAAGTGGTTTCGCGGATAAGAGCGAAGCGTTCTTTCTTATCCCTTTCCTCTCCTTTCCTCTCTGCGTCTTCGCCTGTTCGTCCTTCTCGACAGTCATCATCGCTTTCACTCTCTCACTCTCTCACATACTCACACACTCACACATATATACACACTCTCTCGACTCTATCACCCCACCCCACTCAAGAAGCGACGGTTGACAGCACGCACGCACTTACTCACACATACGGGCAGCCAACGGCGACATCTTTTACTTTTTTTACCGCATTTCATTTCTTCCTCAGAGGGTCGCTGACCATATGCAATGACCATGGCTACAGCACCAGCACCCGACACACTCTCGAAGCTCACCAATGACCTGAAATCAAAGTAACATCCCGCGTCTACCTGGTCCTTCGTTACATTCCTCCATATACACCACGTACAAGGACGTCACGGAAATAGAAAAGCAAAGACGTCCTGCAACGGTGTCTAACAACAAGAACCACTTTTCTTCTTAACAACATATAGGAATGAAGAAGTCAGGCTGCTCTCTGCCCAGGCACTCAAAGAATATGTAGGTCGCCATCAATTGGTATCGAACTACCAGGATCTATCATTGCTCATCGTTGATGTTTCTTCCTCACTCACACCACTGATTTTATCCTGCGAATCCAATTAGGTCGCCGTTATGTCGAGGGAGCTGTCAGGGGAGGACTTGAAGAGATTCTACGGCGAGGTCAACAGCATCATCTGGACACTCGTGCAGAGTGTCGACAACAACGACAAGCTATGTGGCGTTATGATTATAGGTACCGCCGTCGTCAAATCCGATCCTCCCCGTCCCTACAACCTTATCGCACGAACCCCATTTGCGCACGCATGCAAAAGTCTCACGCTTTCTCATTTTTTTCCCTATTGCTGCTGATAGACAAGCTGATCGGTATTGAAGGAGAAGAAAACACCACACAGGAGACCCGTTTCGCAAACTATCTACGCCAACTCTTCCCCGCAGACGTCAGGACAATGACAGTTGCTGCCAGGGCACTAGGTAAAACGCATATGGCCTAACAAGTCACTCAAGCCACAGTTGTACTGTGCACTTATTTATCACATGTAATGTTCATTTTTTCCCCCTCTTCTATCTCCTTTGTTGGCATATAGGTAAATTGGCACAGCAGGGAGGAACATTCACCACTGAGTTCGTCGAGTTCGAGCTGAAGAGGGCAATTGAGTGGCTCACCGGTAAGGAAACAACACAAATTCGACAAAAACAACAAAGGCATAGGTCAGCTCGTAATTCTCGCCACATAATTAACATCAATATCCATTCACCGCATTGTCTCTCGTAGCCAGTGATCGACAAGAAGCCCGACGTCACGCCAGTGTTTTGGTTCTCGCCGAACTTGTGCGACATGCCGATGTTATTGTCTACCCATACGTTGGCTCGATCCTTGAGCACATCTGGGTTGCATTTAGAGATCCAAATGTAAGGGCTGGAAATGCTTTGGAATGAGAAAAGCAATAACATTGGACAATCAACTGCAGGCTTTCTGACACTTGACCTTGTTTTCTCCAGCAAAATATCCGAATAGCTGCTGCCGATGCTCTTAGTGCAGTCTTGCTCATCGTCTCGGATCGTGACAGCCCGAACAAAACCAGCTGGTACAACAGGATCAATGAGGAGGCTCAACGGGGCTTGCGTATCGCAACAACAGAGAGCATCCATGGATCACTTTTGATATACCGGGAGCTCTTGCTCCATGCCGGCATGGTGCGTTTCGCGTTTACCTGAGATTCGTCTTTGAGTGTTACAATATCTTGAACAAATATCCTAACCATTGGCGCTTCTTTTCTTTTTAGTTTATGCATGAGCGATACATGCCTACTTGCGAAACTGTCTTCCAATACAGAGATCATCGGGATGGCCTTGTCCGGAGGGCGGTAATCTCTCTTATCCCAGACTTGGCAGCCTACAACCCACCTGAGTTCGCCAGCGTATACCTCCACCGTTCAATGGTTCACATTCTCAATCAACTTCGCAAGGACAAGGAGCGCTCTCTCATGAAGGAGAAGGATCGGTCAAACGCGTTCCTGGCCATAGGAAAGGTCGCTTTGGTCGCAGGTGCTGATATGGGCGAGTTCTTAGACGACATTTTGGTGTGCATAAAGGACGGACTCCGTATGAAGAGGTACGTTGTAAACTCACGTCTGCTCATTGCGTGAACAGTCTGAAGTGCATAACTGAGAGATATTAACGCAACAATTGCAATATGAACGAGTAGCAAAAATCGCATTCAGACCGACACTCCGATTTTCAGCTGTATCAGTATGCTGGCGAACGCAGTCGGACAGGTGCTCACCAAGCACATGCACGAGCTTTTGGAGCTGATGTTCGCGACGGGATTGAGCGAGCCGCTACGCCAATCATTGACAGATCTTTCCAATTGTATACCCCCATTACTGAAAATCATTCAAGGTATGACCTCAAGCCAAGCTGAGTGGTTTACAGTATTATGTTTTACAAACTAGTCAGAGGCAAGCAAACTTACCAGCCCATGACCTCTTACCATTTTGATAGAGCGCCTCCTCAACATGTTGTCGTTGATTTTAAGCGGACAAATGTACAAGCCATTAGGAGCACCAAGCGGCACGAGAGGCGGATCGACAAATTCACCCCTGCGACGCGACATTCCTCAATCTGAGGGAAAGGATATAGACTCAATCATTCTTGCCCTTACGACGCTCGGATCTTTCAACTTTTCAGGACACGTTTTGAACGAATTTGTACGGGATTGCTGTATTCCCTATCTGGAGGATGACAACGCCGACATAAGACGCTCCGCCGCTCAAACCTGCTGCCAGCTTTTCGTCCGAGACCCAATCTGCTTCCAGACTAGTGCGCACGCTGTTCAGGTTGTCGGTGAGGTACTTGAGAAGCTGCTGACTGTTGGAATTGCGGACCCGGATCCAATTATTCGCCAGACAGTCATGGCTTCGCTGGATGGACGGTTCGACCGTCACCTCGCCCAGGCGGAGAATGTCCGTTCGCTGTTCATCGCCCTTAACGACGAGGTTTTCGCTATTCGCGAATACGCTATCTCCACCATTGGGCGACTTTCCGTCCACAACCCCGCCTATGTCATGCCCTCCCTCCGAAAGACGCTGATTCAGCTTTTGACCGAGATCGAGTACTCAGGAGTGAGCCGAAACAAGGAGGAGAGTGCGCGACTTCTGGCTCTGCTGGTGATCGCCTCCCAGCGTCTTGTCAAACCCTACGTCGAGTCGATCATAAAAGTGCTGCTTCCAAAGGCCAAGGACCAGAGCGCTGGAGTCGTCTCCAGCATTTTGGCGGCGCTAGGTGAACTCGCAAGGGTCGGCGGAGAAGATTTGCTTCCCTTTATGGACCAGCTCATGCCTTTGATCATCGACACCCTGCAGGATCAGAGTTCGCCTACAAAGCGCAGTGCTGCCTTGAAGACACTCGGTCAGCTCTCTTGTAACACCGGCTATGTTATCGATCCCTACATCAAGTACCCCGGCCTACTGGACACGTTGCTGACGATTCTGAAGACAGAGCAATCGGCCAGCATTCGCAAGGAGACTATCAAGTTGCTCGGTATTTTGGGAGCCCTCGATCCATATCGCCACAAGGTACCGTGTATAACATCTTGGAGAGAGGCAGTTCGATACTTCCTGATGAACAAGGCTAACTGAATTTGCACGCCTCCTTTTTCAACAACCAGCAAATGATGATGGACAAAGTGGAAGACAATCAGCCAGACAAGTCGCAGAGCTCGGACGTGTCACTACTTATGGCAGGACTTGGCCCATCATCTGAGGATTATTATCCTACGGTTGTCATCAATGCCCTCTTGAAGATTCTCAAGGATCCATCTCTGAGCCAACAGTACCAGCCAGCTACCCAGGCCATTTTGAACATCTTCCAAGCACTCCAACTCAAGATGGTGCCGTTTTTGCCACAGGTAGGCATTGTGAAAAGTCGCATCCGTGTCAAGGTTCATAAAACTCTCAGTGCGAGGATGAGCGGCATTTGTACTTACAGCAAACGCCCTTGACAACGCGTTTATAGATTATGCCAGTGTATTTGAGTATCATGCAGTCTGGAACTTTGCTCAACCTCGACTTTTACTTTGAGAAGATGGGCTTTTTGGTCCTGGTCGTCAAGCTTCATATCCGCCCTTATCTCCCTGATCTGCTTCAGCTCGTCAAGGACAACTGGAGTCATACACGGCTGCAGGATCGTATCATTGGATTGGTAGAGAGTATTGCAGGCGCCCTGGATGGAGAGTTCAAGGCTTATTTGCCTAACCTGCTTCAGTCCTTCCTCGCTGTGTTCGACACTGATATGACAGAAAGACATGACACGTCAATTCGTGTTTTGCAGGCGTTTGTCAAGTTCGGTTCGAATATCGAGGAATACATGCATCTGGTCATTCCAGTGCTCGTGAAGACCTTCGAGAAACCGGATGCCCCTATGACCTTGCGCAGGACTGCCATCAGCACCATCGGCACACTTGCAAAGAAAGTCAACTTTTCCGACTATGCCTCAAGGATCATTCATCCCTTTGCTCGTATTCTGGCTCTTCCTGGACCTGAACTGCGCATGCCAACCATGGACGCGCTGTGCTCGCTAGTCCTTCAACTGGGACAGGACTATGTCAACTTTATTCCTATGATCAAGAAGGTATGGTTTGAGGACCACTATCTTCAATGTCAACACAGAGTGTACGTGCTTGCCAGTTGTCTCTAAGCTGGCACTAACTCGCATAGACATCCATTCTTATTTTTCATAGGTTTTGATCCGAGCCCGGATTAGTCACTCGAATTATGATCTCTTAGTTTCAAAGCTGCTGAAGAGGGAGCCTCTTCCTCTGGACTTGCCTGGCTTAGGTGATGACCGCTATGTCGTTATGGCCGATGTTCCACAAGCAGAATCAGGAATCCGGAAGTTGCCTGTTAACCAGCTCTCACTTCGAAGGGCCTGGGATACCCAGCCGCGCTTCACCAAGGATGATTGGGCTGACTGGATTCGCAGGCTTTGCTTGGAGATGCTCAAGGAGACCCCGTCTCACGCTCTTCGTGCCTGCGCTGACATGGCCAACTCGTACCACCCTCTGGCCAGAGAGCTCTTCAATGCCGCCTTTGTGTCTTGCTGGAGTGAGCTACTCGATCAATACAAGGTTCGTTGTTTTGGTGTGTAGGAGAGCTAGTGTGTCTAGAATCATCGAAATGGTATTAACCAGTCGATGCATTCATATTTTATTGATGCTAATAGGAGGAGCTGGCGCGAGCATTAGAGACAGCCCTGGTCGCCCCCAACATCTCGCCAGAGATTACCCAGATTCTGCTCAATCTTGCCGAGTTCATGGAGCACGATGACAAGCCCTTACCAATCGACATTCGCACATTGGGAGAGTACGCCGCCAAAAGTCACGCCTTCGCCAAGGCCTTGCATTACAAGGAGCTCGAATTTTTGACCGAGCCATCGACCAACGCCATAGAGGAGCTGATCGGAATCAACAACAACCTCCAACAGCCCGATGCTGCAGCCGGTATCCTCACGCATGCCCTGCTCCACCACGATTTTGAGCTCAAGGAGGCCTGGTACGAACGTCTTCAGCGATGGGAGGATGCCTTGGCGGCTTACGAGAGGAAACAGCTCGAAAACCCCAATGACCTGGCCTTGACCATCCAACGCATGCGCTGCTTGCACGCACTCGGCGAATGGGACGCCCTTTCATCCTTGGCGCAGGTCAAGTGGGGCAACTCACCAGTTCAGGTCCGGCGTAGAATGGCCTCGTTCGCAGCAGCCGCTGCCTGGGGCCTGGGGCAATGGGAGCTTTTGGATGAGTATATCTCCGCCATGCAGGACAACTCTGACAGGGCGTTCTTTAAAGCCATTTTGGCGTTGCATCGCAACCAGTTCCCTGAGGCCGAGAAATATATCGACAAGACCCGGAACATGTTGGATACAGAGCTGACGGCGTTGGTCGGTGAGAGCTACAACCGAGCGTACGCAACGGTGGTGCGTGTCCAGATGATGGCAGAGTTGGAGGAAATCATCGCCTACAAGCAGTTCCACGATCAGCCCGATCGACAGGCAACGATTCGCAGAACCTGGATGAAGCGCCTGAAGGGATGCCAGCGGAACGTCGAGGTCTGGCAGAAGGTGATCAAGGTTCACGCCATCGTCATTTCACCAGAGCAAGAGATGGAGATGCGAATCAAGTTTATGAACTTGTGTCGCAAGAACGGTCGTCTGAAGCTGGCGGAAAACACGATGGCGACGTTGATGGGACCAGGAACGGCGGATATGAGCTTCTCGGCCATGACCCAGGTGACGCCACCTCAGATTGTCTACGCTAAACTCAAGTACATGTGGGCTACAGGAGTCAGGGAGCAGACCTTGGATTGTCTTCGTCAGTTCACTGAGCGACTTGCTTCGGATCTTGGCCTTGGAACAGTCGAGGATGTCGGCATTGCCATGACAGGTGCCAACCAGCTCAACGGAAATGTCATTGACTACTCCCGATTGCTTGCCCGTTGTTACCTCAAGCAAGGAGAGTGGCAGTTCGCTCTGCAGGATGGCTGGACACATGTAAGCTACCAAAGACGCCTTGAGATCTGGACTGAGGTTAAGATTATTATTTTTATTATCACTGACGCGCATTCATTTCTCTGTATTATAGGACTCTATCGAGGACATTCTGACGCCATATCTCTACGCCACACACTTGGACAAGGAGTGGTACAAGGCTTGGCACACTTGGGCTCTGGCGAACTTTGAGGTGATCACCTTCTACGAGAAGAACCCTCCTCCCAACCATGCAGGACGCGACCCTGGACTCCAGTATGTGATTCCGTCTGTCATGGGCTTCTTCAAGTCCATTGCCCTCTCTGCGGAAAATTCGCTTCAAGACACTCTGCGTCTGCTGACTCTTTGGTTCAAGTTTGGTCACCGTACCGATGTCAGCGCCGCATTGAGCGATGGCTTCTCGAGCGTCAGCATCGACACTTGGTTGCAGGTTATCCCGCAGCTGATTGCTCGTATTCACGCGCCCAGCCCGAATGTCCATCGACTGATCCACCAGTTGTTGGCTGATGTTGGAAAGGAGCATCCACAAGCCCTTGTGTACTCCCTCACTGTCGCCTCCAAGTCACCCAGTGTCCTGCGCAAGAATGCTGCCCTGGCCATCATGGAAAAGATGCGTATCCACAGTCCGTTGTTGGTTGAGCAGGCCCTCCTGGTCAGTCAGGAGCTCATTCGTGTTGCTATTTTATGGCATGAGATGTGGCACGAGGGTTTGGAAGAGGCCTCGCGTCTTTACTTTGGCGACCGTAATATCAATGGAATGCTGGCACAGCTGGAGCCTCTCCATATGATGCTGCAAAGGGTAAAAACGAATCTGTACCACCAACGTCACTTGGCAGGAAATAGCAGTCTAAAGGTTGAAAAAGATGCTAACAATAACTTTGCCCATTTATTCATTAGGGACCCGAGACTCTTCGTGAGATCTCATTCAACCAAGCTTTTGGACGCGATCTGAAGGAGGCACAGGATTGCTGCATTCGATATGGACAGAGTCAGGATATCAACGATCTTAACCAGGCCTGGGACATCTATTACCAGGTCTTCCGAAGAATCGCCAAGCAGCTTCCTCAGCTCAGCACCTTGGACCTGCCTTACGTCTCGCCACAGCTGGAAGGCGCGCGGGATTTGGAGCTGGCGATTCCCGGAACGTACAAGAGTGGCGAGCCCATCGTGAAGATTTCTTCGTTTGTGCCGACACTCACGGTGATGACGTCGAAGCAGAGGCCTCGCCGACTCACAGTCAAGGGAAGCGATGGACGCGACTACCAATATCTGCTTAAAGGACACGAGGATCTGCGTCAGGACGAGCGTGTCATGCAGTTGTTCGGACTGGTCAATACGTTGCTTTCGAGTGACCCTGAGACGTTCAAGAGATACCTCGGCATCCAACGGTACCCAGTCATCCCACTTTCGCCCAACTCTGGTCTGATTGGTTGGTTGCCCGACACCGATACGCTCCACACCCTGATCCGTGATTTCCGCGAGAGTCGCAAGATCCTGCTCAACATTGAGCACCGAATCATGTTACAGGTGGCGCCAGACTACGACAACCTGACGCTGATGCAGAAGGTCGAGGTCTTTGAGTACGCGTTGAACAACACTGGCGGCCAAGATTTGTACAAGGTACTCTGGCTCAAGAGTCGCAACTCGGAGGCATGGCTGGATCGTCGTACCAACTACACTCGGTCGTTGGCTGTCATGTCTATGGTCGGCTACATTCTGGGTCTTGGAGATCGTCATCCTTCCAATTTGATGTTGGATAGGAACTCGGGCAAGGTTGTGCATATTGATTTTGGAGATTGTTTCGAGGTAAGAGCGCCATCCCTCTGTGCCTTGCATGTCTTGGATATTTCTGCGATGCGTTTTTCACTTTTGATGGGGTGTTGCCCTTATCTGATTTACTAACCCTATTTTTTTTAAACTGTTCGTAGGTTGCTATGCATCGCGAGAAATTTCCTGAGCAGATTCCTTTCCGACTCACGCGCATGTTGACCAATGCCATGGAGGTCAGCGGTATTGAAGGCAACTTTAGAAATACCAGCGAGAATGTCATGCGTGTGCTACGCGAGAACAAGGAGAGTTTGATGGCCGTCTTGGAAGCTTTCGTCTATGACCCTCTTATCAACTGGAGAATCCTGACCACCAGTCCACGCCAGCGTAAGTCGGATGAGTGATATGGACGGCTACGTGTGATTGTTAGTCCTATGATGGAGCTGAAGTAACGTTTGTGTTTTTGTTTGTTTGTTTGTTTGAACGCTACTAGCTATGGAGAATGGACAGGGAGGCGGCCAGAATGCGGCGGCGAACGAGTCGGCCATGGATGAACAATCGCGTAACATGCGACGAGCCCTGCCCAGTGAACGAGAACTCGTCCGGGACAACATGAAGAGTAAGTGTTGCTCGCATCGCGTCTCCTTCATATCCGCGTTTTGCTCTTCAATCATACTGACCCTTCGTACTTTTAATTCCCTCTGGGCATAATAGTGGAGAACCAGCCTGAACAGCTGAACCAACGAGCGGTAACGATTATTAACCGTGTGACGAACAAGCTGACAGGCAGGGATTTCAAGCCAGATCGACCCTTGGATGTGCCTTCCCAGGTCGAGAAGCTGATTCTGCAAGCGTCCTCCTACGAGAACTTGTGTCAGTGCTGGATCGGATGGTGTGCTTTCTGGTAGACACATTAGGTGTTTTGTTTTTTGTTTGTTTCTTGTAAAATACATACTTTTGAATTCAATGGCGGAGTAGTGAGTAGCAAAAATAACCAGCGAGGTTTATCTCTGCTTTATCACCGATCCAACAAGGGCACGGACAGGGGTGATTGTCATAATTGGCATGTGAAAAGAGGCCTAACTAACCATGTTGTTACCCGCCGTCAAACGTCAGGGCGAGCAGCAGGTAGATTACCACGACCACGTTTTCATCTTGTGTTATCCAAGGCTATGACACTTCAAACTGTTGTCTATTTTCAAGGGGACCTATAGAGTTCTGTGCGCCCTTTTGACAAAGACAAAGGGAGGGCTCTCGTCTGCGAATAGACAATGCTTGCTTGTAGTCTGAGGAATGTCGATTGGGTGGGCAGGGGCCCACTCTATTTCTTTTCTTTGGCGGCATATCGTCATGCGTGTATCCTAAAAGAGAGTGAGAGGGCAGTCGGTTGAACTGGGACCCGCGTGTATCATATATCTGTGCCTATTGTAAGTCTCTCGCTTCAGTTGAGAATGAAAAAAAAAAGATGAGCAGTCGGGTAGCACGAAAAAGGCCCTGCATGCGTTGGATGCCAAGCGGACGATCGGGAAAGTTCGTTGTTGTTTGTTGTTGAGTGTGTTGTCGGGCATCTGGGTCTGTCAAAATGACGACAATGTTTAACATGTCCTTGGCCAACCCTACGGATCGGTGTTTATGGTTCATGGCATGGGTCAATGGGTCGATGGCCAAGAGCAGAAGGACATCACAGGGTCAGCCAAGGATGTCACTACTGAGAGACACTGCTCTGCTACTAATGCTATCATCGCTCACTTATTCACCCGTCTCGGCAGAGACAGACACGCTATTGAGAAACAGCTGGTCCACGGACCAACTCGATCCATTCGCGGTGTGGCCATGTTTCTCTTCTCTCTCTTGGCCCATGTCAACAAAACAAAAGAACAGCATAAACAAACCAGCGTGCCCCTCGTTCTCCTTACTTCACTCCTTTCTTTCTTCCTTCCTTCACCCTCTTTCCGATCATCCTCCCTCACTCCCTGTACAACCTTGTTTGCATTTCTTTGTATATAACGAGACCTCGATCAGCACGTCTTTCATCCAATTTTTCCCTTTGCCTACCTTAATCCCTCCTAATTATCACGCATATTGCCTCTCAGCACCAAATACCCAACACACCTCACCAGCAATTCCTTTTCCAACCACCACACCTACACCCTCACCCTCCACCTCTACCCGCTACCACAATGTCAGTAAACCCTCTAGACATCCCAGAGATCCTCCAATGGGTCCTCAATTGCCGCCAAATCCTCGACCAAGAAGACCTCTTCTCAACCAGCCTGGTTAACAAGACTTGGTACCAGGTCTCGAAACGGGCTCAGTGGATTAGAGTTGAACTCGATAGCGATTCTTGGGTCGATCCGTACCACCAAGCTTTGACTGCACAGCTCTCGATGTATGGCGCGTTTGTTCGGACACTTGTCCTCAAGGAATGTGTAAGTGCCTCTTTGTTGGGGGTTATTTTTGTTGCGCTGTTTTTGCAAGTTAGGAGACTTATATCGAGTCGGCTGCTGTTGTGAAGAGAAGTGAAGGGAAGGAGGAAAAAAGAAAGGGGGACGTATTTGTTCGAGGGTACATTATGCAAAAACAGAGAGAAAAAAAGCGACGCCAGTGTGTCCGTGCTGTGTTACCGTTCTAGGGGCACCACAAAGACAAAATCAAACATACCAGTTGCTGCACCGCAACATGCACACACTTTTCCCACCCATCTCCTATCGGCCATGATCCTGTTATTCACCTCTTTGTCCTTTCTTCTTGTGCTTTCGTTCATCCATCTCCATTAGGTCGCAGACAAATCTCAACTGGAAGCGCTCCTCCCCTACATGACCCACCTACAATCAATCATGGTGGGCCGGGTAACGCTCTATAACCGATCCTCTTTACTTCTCCAGTCCCTCGAGTTACTGCCGCTGGCCCATCTCCAGCACCTCTGCCTGCCTCATGTCTCGACCGCCGCTTCGGGGCGTATCGACCTCTTACTCCGGATATGTGAATCACAGGCGCATCAGATCACGCATTTGGAGCTGTTGGATAGCGAGATTGACGATGACGTCCTGAAAAATATTGCGAGGACTTGTCCCTCCCTCAAGACGCTGGATCTGTCCAGGAACGAGGTCATTGCCTTCAAGGACGTTCTCGACAGCAGTGATAGCCATACCATGGATGATGGTCTGCAGAGCTGGACAGCGACGGCGGCAACGGTGTCAGGACAATGGGCCTCGAATCGATCCAAGAACAAGGACAACAACAGCCCCTATTCTCAGCGGCAAGATGTTCTGCAGCATGATGCCACCTTTGACGCAGATGACACCCTCAGCGTACTCTTAACTGAGGAGAGTAAACAACAACAAACACAAACATACCATCAGCAAGACCAGCACAACAAACAACAATATCAAGCACAACATCAGGATCACACACTGTCGCTACCACCTCCTCGTCTCTGTCCACCATCCAAGTTACTTCAAGAGGATCCGCCCTTTATGCACCTCGAGGAACTCAGTCTCGTGTTTTGCTTCGGGATTGCAAACACAGAGTTCCAGACCCTCTTCCGATCCTTCAGGAACAAGAGCCTTCGATCCCTCAACCTCCAGTTCACCAACATCGAGGACTCGGGCCTCGAAGCCCTGGCCCACAATTTGGGCCATAGGCTGACGAGCGTTTCTGTGAGCTATTGCAGCAGGATTACAGCTCGAGGGATCCGAGCGCTCGTTGAGCCTAATCGATGCCCACGCTTGCTTGAGCTGGAATTCCTGAGCTGCGACCTTGTCTCTGCCGATTGTTTCCGTGGCCCTTGGGGCTGTCACCGGTTGAGACGGCTCGAGTTTACGTTTCATCCGCGAGTCGCCATGAAGCGGATGGAGATTGAGCGAGCAGCAGCGGCAGCTGAAGCAGAAGCAGAGGAGCAATTATTGCATCGCCAGCAACAGCAGCACCAACAACAGCAGCACCAACAACAGCAGCAGGCAGGACATAATGCGTTAATGGATCCATTGTTGGATGTTGGGACTAACAACTTTGGTCTTGTGCTACCACACGCCCAAGACCAGAGTCAACAAGGTCAGGCGCAACTGCAACATCATCTCGATCACCAACAACAACAGCAACAACATCACCATCTCGAACAACAATATCTCGAACAGCAACAACAGCATCACCAAACACCAACACACACAAACAAACCGGACGAACAAGCATTGTTGCAGGACAGTGGAATCCGTCCAGAGGAATCATCTCAAGAACGGGAACAATGTCAAGACAACCTATGGTTGGAAGAGCAGGAGTCAGTGCGCAATGATTATTACGCCTTGTTCAAGCAGCTCAAACGGCTGACTGAACTCCGATATCTCAACATTTACAACAGCCCAGCACTCAATAACAACAGCACACATTTCAGCGACTCTTCTCAGGACAGTGTTGACGAGCCCGAGTCTACCTTGCCGCTGGTCGATCCCATGCCTGTGGGCCATTCTCAGGAACATTGGTCAGAGTGGGCGAATGAAGAGGACGGCAGCAGTGGCAGTGACTCAGGCAGATATGAGCGTCGCAGATATTCAGTTGCGTCTGGGAGCGGACAAGGCGAAGTCGAAGAGGTATATCACATTGTACCTGACGACAAGTCGACAAAGGCTACTGGTGTCGCGGAACCGTCGGAGATTTATCAAGAGTCACCTGAGATGGCAACTCGACTGACCTCAGAACCAGAGTCGGTGCACCCCTTCTCGCTCAGGATGGGGCTCAAGGCACTCGAGCGACTGACCAATCTCGAGAGCTTGACATTTTTCGAGCGGTCGAGCGTGACTATCGGCGAAGGGGAGGTTCGATGGATCAGCAGACAATTCCCTCAACTTTTGACGCTACAGCTTCGAGGATCGATCGATATCCCTGAGAAGGCCAGCAAGCAGCTCGCGTCGCGGCGACCTGACATCAAGCTCCAAGTGTGCTCTCTTTTCGAATAGTTTCTTTGTATGTAGCTCTTCTTTTTTTTTGCCACCAATTTCGAATGAACGTTTTGCAGTTTGACACAGAGGCGCGTGAAGTGAAAAAATGAAAGTGGAAAAGTCACGACATGCTAAGCCACCACGCGAGTGACAAGAGAGAGAGAGAGTTGCCTCAGTTTGACGACAGCAGTAGCCTCGCCAAGGAAGACTAAACACACTTCCCTTTTCCACATCCAACAACCTCGCTTTCCAACGAGACATCATACTCGATAAAACAAAAAACAGCAGACGGATTACAGGACCACTACTACTACTACTACGACTACTGCGGACCGTCTCCAAACCACAAGAAGCGACCCTCCATCCTTTCCTCTCCCATCTCCCTTCTCTAACCTGTCAAGAACCAAGACTCAGCCAGCCAAGGGTTATATGCAACCATCATGGAGGTCGATCCGTTCGAGGCGCGTCTAGAGTTCCTCTCATTGCTGGGCAAGCTCAATGCGTCACAGCACTCAATTCAGAAAGTCGGGAACTTTGCGATGAAGAACCGGAAACTGCACGAGGATCTCTACAACTGTATCATCGAGGAGCTGGAGCAGGTGAGGTCCCAACTATTTCCTTTTTTCCCTGTCTTTGTTCGTTCTTTCATATGATTACGGTGCATATTAGTAGAGGGGCGTCGTCATGGTTTTGTCACTCGACGACGATTTTTCAAGGAAATACCCTACCCAGGAACTGCAAACTTCAAGAGGAGAAGAAGTTGTCAACAGGATATCATGGATCAACTCTTTGACCAGGAACTAGGGCTTGTATCGACAACGTTTTGTTACTTTTGACAAGGGGTGCAGCAATGCGGTCCCAACAGGCTGGAATATGCTGACTCGCACAGAAAAGTCGGTTTACCTTTTTCATCAGTGTATCAACAGCAGGGATATCTGCACACCGTTTTGCAGATATTAATCGCCGTCGTCGTCGTCATCCTTTATCTTGTTGCTGCTGTTGTGTTGTTGTTGTTGTTGCTGTTGTTGTGTTTGCATTTTTCGTGCTCGACTCTTCGTTGCTTTTTTTTATTTCTTCTGGCCCGCTCGTTTGTATAATAAAATGACTACGAGACCTCACAACAACGGATAACGTGCAATTGGAACGAGCATTTTACATAAACCATTGACAATACGCAGTACACCTCACACCTTCCTTCTCTCTCCAACACTCTGACTATTTTTTTTTGTGTCTGGAGTCATAACCAGCTACGCACGTCCACCATTATCACCCTCCACCTATCAACCTCAATCAAGCGCGCGCCTTTCCTTTCACACATCACTTGACGCGTGTTATTCTCCTTGAAAGGTGCTTTCAAGGCATATGCAGTCAATTTATGGCTGCATGCTGGCCCTGTCATACCCTTTCCCCCTATTATTCCTCCCCTGGCCCCTGACCTCATTGCCACCTTCCTCCCCTACTCCTCTTTAACGCTTGTCGTTCTGCTTTTTTAGCCTTACGAGTCCCCTGTCCAAAACCCTACATCTCCCATCCTATATCCCCTATCAACCAATATTTTCCTTATTACAAAAACACGCACTAAGACGTCCTGATATTCATACCACCTATCTCTTCTTTCTTTGCATCCTCTCTCCCTACCTCTCCCTACCCTTATTGGAACTGGGTTCAACAAACGCTAGACAAAATCACTCAATACGCGGATGAACATCTTTTACGTCCTGGACTCGATATGTCACCAAAGCCACAAGGCCGGCTTCCATGGATACATTGATCTCATCCAGAAGAACCTCCCCAAGATCATCGAGTGCGTCACACCCAGCGGACCCAAAGGAAACGTCAACGTTGCTGGAACCAAGAAGGTAAATAATAAACTCCTTTATTTCGTTCTTCAACACGCGAATCAGGATGCCCTGTGTTGGGTTCCGATCATTTTGTCTCTTCACGTCCAACTTTTCACGTTTGCTGATCGCTGCATGTTCTTTTACTTGATAGATTCTCGAACTTTGGCGAGTTAGGAAGTTATTTAGTGACAGCGCGCTCGACAAGGTTGAGAAGCCTCTGCTTGATAGGGAACTTGGGTAAGGGACCTTTTTGACAAAAATAGCTCAGATATTCATTTTGGCGTGCAAGGAACTACAGCTAACATAAGTCGTTCTTTTCTTGTATTCTCGGTTGATAGAGCAAATGCACCAGCATCGTTTGACACTGGATTCACAAAGGACGACATTTTGAAGCGCATGGACGAGGACAGAGAGCGAGTAAGGAAACCATGCCTGTGGCGCCGAATCACCTCGTCACTGAGTACCTTACTTTGCATACATCCCGCTACCAATGTCTAACAAGCGCCCCTGATCGTATTCTTTTAATGTATTAGCACAAGAGGATACGAGAAGAGATCTGGATTCGGCCATCAGAGGAAGATCCAGGAGCAGAGTTTCTCCAGTACTGGGACGACGTATCGGATCTGGATGAGGTCGATTATGAAGACATGGAGGCCGAGAATGATAAATATTTGCCGGGATACCCTTGGGATCTCGAGTTTGACCGGTTCTTACCCTCGCCTGCGATCTTCAAGCTGAAGCCTGGTCTCTCTGCCAAATTGACAGAGGCGATTTTATCTGACACATCGAAGAACAACGGCAGCAGTAGTTCCAGCAGTGATGGTCATATCCCATCGGCGGCAAAGAGGTTGACTAGCCCGGAGGGAACAGTGTCGATGGCAGGAGGGCCTGCCAAACCCTTCACGCCAGCACCAACCTTGATCCCTGTAGCGCCTGCTCTGCCTGTGGCACCGTCGTTGCCACCTCTGCCGCCACCATTGCCGCCTTCATTATCATCCTCAGGAGCAGAGACGGCAGCGGCAGCGGCAGGAGCGGGACAATCGACGAAATCCAACTACTATAACCATGACTACCGCGATCATCACTCGCACTCGCACGCGCACTCACATCCACACAGCCAACACCAGCATCCTTCCCATAGTTATTCAGCGTCAAACAACACCAATAGCAACAGCAATAGCTCGTCGCATCACCACCAAAACTCCCATCATCATCAACAACAACATTACCACAGCAACAGTAACAGCGCGAACCATTCTCGGAGCCATTCTTCACACTCGTCATCGTATTACGACCATGCGATCCCTACTGGGCCTGCGGCGGACACAGTGGGAGCAGTAACAGCAGTAGCAGCAGCGGCGGCGGTGGCTCCATCGACATCTTCCAACACCTCTTCTCGTCGGGGGTCACCTTCTACTTTCTCGTCATCTCACCATCCTTACTCTCGGTCGTCACAATACCATGAACGGATGAACAGCAGCAACAGCAGCACGCATTCAGGGTACGCGAATGGCCGTGGTGGCGCTACTTAGTAGATCATTTTGCCTTTTTTTTTTTTTGTATTTTGCATAAATCTCTTTGTATTATCTATTGCTTGTGCCCAACATACACAACAACAACAACAACAACAACCAGAAATCAGGGGGAGGCATACGGGTGCCATTTGTGAGATGGATAGAACCGATATCTGTGGTGTCCAAAGGGGAGGAAGGATGATACTGACGCGGGGGGTTTTTTTCTTTTATCTTTCTGCTTTATTATTATCCACTCTCTCCCTTCTCTCTCTGATTCTTCTGCATAACTTTGTCAGAGGATGGAGTGGACAGGGAGTGAGTAGTGTTGGTAGGCCCTAGTGATAAAACTAGAGGTAAACGAACAGGATGGTACTAGGAGAAAGTGGTAATCGTAGTGATAGAGAAAGGAAGAGTCGGTAGCGGGGGCAGCAGTGATGGAAGGGGGTGGGAGATGGAGACTCAGGAACTAGATGTTATTATTATTACTGGCAATCGTTCTTGTAAATACGAACATAATCGACGGCCATGGCACGATCGAGGCCGTCCTCGGGACCCCAGGTCGGGTACCAATCGCCCTTTGCGGCATAGAACTCGTTGATGGCGTGGGGCGACTTGTCGCTCCAGGGTTTGCCCCCGACCCCGTCGGGGAAGTATCCTGCCGTTCCTGCTACCGCCACATTCATGATCTGTTTTTTTTTTGTAGGGGACAGATCAAGAAAAAATGAAGAAGGGGAGGAAGGGTTGTTAGAGAGAGAAAGAGTGTGTGGGTAAAGTCAAATGTTCCAGCGGAGGGAATGAAAACAACAAGGACGAAAACGTACGAGGTAGAATTCCTGATCAAAGGGCGCGGCATTCGAATTTTCCCAAAGGTTCTCGACCCAAGGAGGGAACTTGCCCTTTTCGAACATGTTGTTAAAAGGGACATCGAGCAATACGACGCCGTCGACAAAGGTCTTGATCCCCTGGGGGGTCCAGTCGAGTGTGAAGATGTGGAAATCGTCTGCGAATGTTTTGCCGGCGGGGAGGGCGTATTCTGCGTGTGTCATTTGGAACCTGTTGAACTCGTATGATGGTCCTAAGGTAGATATAATCATTTACGAGAGAAAGAGAAGGACATTGTGTTGGCATTGGTTACGAGAACAAGCTGAGCATGTCAAGAAAAACACGACGCGTATTGATTAAATTATCAAAGGGCGCGAAAAGACTTACCCCAGTGCAGAGTAGAGGCGACCTTGTCGTAGCCTCCTCCGGGGTACTCGGGTCCGTTACCGCGGGATTCGACCAGATCGATTTCTCCACTTGCGGGCCAGTTTCCGTACTGGTAGTGTGCTGGCAACATCCAAATCGCCTATATCAATCACCCAGAGGTTCAACATAAATATACAGTAAAGAATACGAAGTTAGTATGAACCATCATCTTTCCAAAGATTCTTGGAACGTGGGCTCGCTCAAAAGGGAGGCGGGATACACAGAAGAAAAAGACACGCAGAAAAACAAGGAGAGGGATAACTTACAGGCCAGATCCATTTGCCCTTGGGCATCTTGGCTCGAATTTCAACCTTTCCAAACCGGAACTTGAAGCTGTTGACAGACCTCACCAAACCGGACTGGACGGGGTTGAGGATATTACCACCAGCACCCGCGATACGGAAACATCCATAGTCATAGTTGCCGGTACACTGAGTTCCTGGATCAGACCCCCAGACGTCCATTTTCCCGCCGTTGTAGAGGGCGTCGGCGCCGATGCGATATTCGGTCAATGTTGGGCGGATGTAGAAGATTCCGTCGCGGACGAATGTGTTTGTGCGGTTGTTGAGGTAAGCCTGGACCTCGAAGTTTCTGTGTTCAGGGGGAGAATGGTGTCAGAGAAGGAGAGGGACGCATGAATGGGAGAGACAGAAGAGCGTATGTGAGTTGCTTATGTGATTGCGTATGAAGGGTGAAGTGCTCGAATGGAATGGGTGGATGGACTTACCCGCCTCCGGTCAGGGTGATATCGTGCTATTGATTGATAAGTAGAACGTGTTCAGAAGAAGGGATTAATTCTATGTGGCTGTGAGACTGGAACACAAAGCGCTTTCAAGCAGCATCAGTGCAAAGCAGTGCAAAAGCAGTACAAAGAGCAAGGAAAGGAGAGAAAGGAAAGGAGACGCAGAGGCACACGCACAACACCAAAATTTATCCGCGCCTACCGTCTCCCACTCCTCACAAAGCACAGGCACACAGCGCACAGGACACAAGACATCCAAACTCAAAACGGTCAGGGTCACAACATTCCATTAACACACACACACGCACACACACGTACGCCCTTTCCTCCTCTCCTTCATTCTCGCATGAAACAAACAAAAAACTTACCTTCCAAACGGAACTGTCGAGCTTGTCAAACTCATCCGAAAATATCAGACACCGATCCGCAATCCCAGCACTCGCTCCTCGCATGTCCTCATCCTTTTCTGTATTCTCTCCATCACGAATCATAAAATCTGTCTGCTGCTGCTGCTGCTGCTGCTGTTGACCATATTCAATTCGTGCTGCGCCCTCAGGCTTATAGTCGACGCCAATCATCTTGTGCAGTTGCTCGCCTCCAATAGACGAGCTTATATCAAGCGTGGCATGGAAGCTGCTATGGTCGCCTAGACCAATCTCGCCGTTGATATCGACATGGCCGCCCTCATGGTGTTGCTGTTGTCGTTGCTGTTGTGTTTGTTGTCCTTGTGCCTCGTTTCGCGGGTGTTGTTGTTGGTGCTTGTCGGCGGGGGTGGTTTGCTTTGCAAGGGCGGTGGACGTTGTTATTGAGAGGACGACGACGACTCCCAATGCTAGGAGGATCGCTCCATGGGGCTTGCTTAGGCGATGGGGCGAGATCTTCATGGCGTTTTTTTTTTTTTGATGAGAATAAGAAATGGAAAATTGGCACTGAAAAATAAGAGAGAGAACAAGAAGAAGAGGACGAAGTAGAAGTAGAAATAGAAGATGAAAGGGAAAAAAAAGAAGCGAGCAGCGAAAAAGATAAAGAAGATAAAGAAGATAGAAAAGGAGAGAGGGAATTAAAAAAAAAAAAGTACGAGGATGAGAGGGAGGCATGGAAGCAATAACTCCTTCGTCTCGTACTATATCCTTCCTTGCCCCCGAACTAAGAAGGGTTTGTGTCCGAACGATGAATGATGGTCATACTTGTTCCTTTCCACTTCCGCCTCTGTCTCCTTCTTTTCTATTTCGTGTAGGTCCTTTCTCCACCTTTTTTTTTCCACATCCACGCCTGTGAGTATGCAGTGTAATGTGGCACCAATAACAAACAGATGAGCTCATTATCATGTTGCTTTTCTTCCCCCTTCCTTTGTTCTACCCATCTTCCGTCCTTCTCCCTTCTCTTTTTTTTTCTCCCTTGTACGCCCCAGCCGGTCGGGTACAATGGATACAAAACTTATGATACGGATGCACTTGGAATGCCCAAATACTGACAGCATACACGAAAGAACGAAAGAGGGCAAAAAAAAATGGTAGCACTGTCAACACGCACACAATCAACCAATTAACCAATTAACCAACCAACCCAACCTTCTTCGCAAGCGCACCAATTCCCCCCTTTCTCTCTCTTTCTCCTTGATCTCGTCGCCTTTTTCTCGTTTCTTTCTTCCTTCCTCCCTTCCTTCGTCTTGCCCAGCCTCGACCTCCTTTCTCCTTACTTCTCTCGCGTCACGCCTAGTCTCGTTACGCCTCGTCATGTCTCTTCGAAACCCCAGTTTAGCGAAACCTTTTTTTTTTTTTTGTTGGGCCAGAACACAACGAAGGTTGAGGGGAGAGGGGTACGAGGGGAAGGACCAGAAACCAAACTTACGATTCGTTTGGATAATGAGGGTTGGGTTTGAGGGGGCAAGTTAAAGGAAAGAGAGAGAGAGAGAGACAGGGCCGAAGAGAGACAGAGCGAGAATAGTGAGAATAGAAGCCGAAGGGAGAAAGAGTGAGAATAGAAGTCGAAAGGAGACAGAGTGAGAGTAGAAGCCCAAGGGGGACAGACTCTTGGATGAATATCACCTATGAAAGAATTGGACCCTGCACATCACTACCTCATACATTCATTGCACACACACATGCAAACATACATTCACACATACATAGTAAACAAAACGAAGGAGAAGGAGAGAAAGAAAATCCACATCCCTTCATTTACTCCCTCCCTTGCCGCGACCCCTCTCCTTCTCCTTCAACCTTAGTTTGTTCGTCCGGCGAAAAGGAAGAAGGGAAGGAGTGATAGGATGCACACGCAATGGCGAGTTATGCGTGAGCTGTAGGGAGTACGTGGATAGTGAAACAGGCGCATGTTGAAAATTCATTCCTCCTCCATCCCCTTTCACCGAGATATATGGGAATCGGTCATGCCCAGATTCCTACCGAAATGGCGGGTGGATTTTCATAGTTATGCTGTTTTGCAAATACCAAATTTCGGTGTTATCAATAGGAAACGAGTAAATCGCAGGACTAAGGAAAAAGAGGACATCCAATGATTGGCATAACGTCGTATAGTATGCTAGTCTCATGCGTTTTCGCCAGTGTAATCATCATCACCCTCACTGCTCTCCGCATCCTCGTCGTCCTCCTCCTCTCCCTCTTCCGCGTCGGCTTCGTCGCCTTCTCCTTCCTCGTCCCTCCTATCCTGCATTTGTTGCTGCACTCCATTTGGGCGACTACTGCGCGAAGCGTGTGGTCCGGAGAATCCTTGACCATGACCGTGACCATGGCGATGATGATGATGTCCTTTGGCGCTCTCCTTCTCGTCATCCCTCATATGCTGCACAGACTCCGCCTCAATCAGCTCCAGAAAGTGCCCAAGCTGGTTCCTCGCCATATCTTCTGCGTTGCTTTTGGTGCTCCTAGGATCGCAAATAGTATCGACCTGATCTGCGCTCCACTGCCAGTGGATCCTCGCCACAGTTCCCGTAGGTCGCAACACGGGCTTTTCCTTGTGAGTCGCATGCGACAAAGGCTGGAACTGGTGGCATTTGAACTCACTGATGTCGTAGATCCGCTTCAGGCATGTCTTGAGAAGAATCGCCGCCTCGACCGCAACACTTGCCCTGGCCATCACTCTCATTGGAAGAACAGGTTCAAGACTATTATCATGATGATCTTCTCCACCAGACTCGGATACCACTGAATCATCACCCCCTAGACCCACAACGTTCTGCGCGTTCGCCTTCTTCGACTTGGACTTGGGTTTGATAACAGTACTCGTGGTCTGGTTAGCAACCTTCTTGCCGCGCTTTGGTGTCTTGTCGTTCGACGTTTTCGCCATCGAATCATTATCAGAGACCGAAGCTCTCGATCTCGACGACATTTCTGTCAAGCTGTGCAGCAAAGTCATGCCAGACCCAGCAATGATCCTGTTCAAGTAAAAGATCACCAACAACACCTCCTCCATAGTCCTATAGTCCAGGTACGCGAGGTTTTCAGCAATGAATCGCACATAGGTGCCCTCAACCTACATGACCCATAATGGAACGTAAAATAGAGTTAACGATAGAAGTCGTCACTACAAGAGCTCTTAATGCACCATAAAGCAAGCAATGACGGCAGTGACAAAACAAGGTTACCTCGACTTCGGGTGATGTCAAATCAACCTCCAGCACCTTGACAAGTCCAGACAGTAACGTGTTTCTGGGCTGCCGCTTGTCGCTCACCAGATTGTACATGTGGCAAATCATTGCCACCGACTGGCCCGTCTCTGCAATCAGCTTGTATCCTACATATGCAAATGTGTTTCTCCTATTAGTGTGATTGCACATAGCCCATAGCATCAAACCGCAGTGCATATTGACAAGCGAAATCTCCCATACCATGGACATCAGCTTTTGATCCGCGCAGACTCGTCTGGTACGTGTAGACAGTGCGGATACACTCCATGCTCTTGGCGTAGATTAGTGACGCGTGTTTCTGGTGCAGGTCCTTATGGATCCTGAGAACACGCGAACAAATGGTGGCGTCATCGCTTGTTTCCAGTGCCATAATGACTGGCATACAAAGCATCGGGTGGACCAAAGCTTGGAGAGTGACCTGGGTTATCACATCGATTGCATTCACCTGCAGAGTCTCGTCCGCCACCAACGCGCACTTTAGGATCTGGCCCAGATACCGCTGCATAATAGAGCTCCCGATACCCGCCTCAAGATGATCCTCTGCTTTGGCGACAAGGCTGTATCCAGTTCCTTTGCCCTGCTCAGACGTCGGCGTTGTCTGGATCTTGAGGAGAAAGCCCGTGTAAATCTGCAACAACTCTGTCTGGAGCGAAAACTCATGTCCAGCAAAGACAGAGTCCATGATCTTCACACTCCTTGACGAATTCATCAGTATCGGAAACGACATGAACACATGGCCTAGTAGTAATATACCACGCGTCATACGTTAGTGGATGGCGACTAGCCCAGCGCAACATGCCGTATGTAAGATGAAATGAGCACTCGACTTACCCAGGCTTTGAAGCGCGCTTTGCTGCAGGGCCAATGAGTATTGGTGAACACAGAGCGACGAAAGAATGACAAACACGTATTCCTGCGGTGAGGGTTGCATCTTGGCCTTGAGCTCCACCAAATGGCCATCCTCTGGGTGGTCCTTGATGGCCCTCTCGAAATCATAGTGCTTGCAAAGCAATCCAACGATAGTCATCAGTCGCCGGGTTTTGTTGTCCTGGATTACAGTGCCGGCTCGGAGTTTATGAACGTCGGCGCTGAGGAGATCGATACACGTCTGGAAGAACTTGCACAAACGGGCAGAGTGAAGGGTCAAGGTCCGCACGGTCAGGCAAAGGACATGGACCGCTTCTGGGAGCAAAACCACAGGGCACTTTGCTACAAGGGCCAAAGAGAGCCTTTCAGCCATCTGGGAGTCGTTTGGAGTCATGTCCTTCACAACTGGAATAGCGTCCTGGAAGATTCGAAGGACAAACATGGTGATCTTCCAGTCCTCAGAGGTCGACGAGCAGTGGAGATACACCAAAAGGGAGCTGAGATGTTTCGCCTCGATGAGCCGTGGTTCCGCCTTGATAAATGTATGGAGAGTGTGTACAGCCGAAGCCACCCGTGACTTGGGTGCATCCTCGTCCTGTAATGTTTGGATCAAGTCAACGAGACAGTCGACAATCACCGCACATGTCCTCGAAAATGCCTGCCGAGGGTCAGAAAGGTTATACTGGTCGGTCTTGCGTTCCTTGTTTAGCAGCCACTGGATAACAGAGCCAAATGCCTCCGCCTGCGGAATCGACAGTTTCCCAACCATGTCGATAAGAGTCCTGGAGCGCTTTGAGATATCGCGCCTCTGAGAGGGAGTTACCGGTGCGATATGATTTGTTCCGTCAGCGTGATCTCCATGGCTTTCATGTGAAACGCCAGTTGCGTTGACAAAGGGACTAAACCACACCTCGCTCACGCTCTTGATCGCTAGATCTTTGACTGTGTGCTCGTCGTCGTACACTCGGAGAAGGAGTTTCTGCGAAATGTCGTTGCACATATCTGGATCTTCTGCCTTGTGAAACATGTCCTTCAATAACCGGAGGACTCTCTTGCGCACGTTCAATCCGGTATCCTAAATGCCAAGGAGTCAATTCGCATGTTAAGGATTTGATTGAGCCGCGATGATTTCCGCGTACTCAATGAAGATCAGTATGAATAATAGCCTTACCGAGATTCTGTCGCTCACGATGTCATAATAAGCTTTACGGATAGTCGCGTCCTGAAGCATGTACTTGCCCACCAGCTCGAGAGCAGCATCGCGGACAGAGGGGCTCTGGTCTTGGAGGCGGAGTGCAATCGTCCTGCGCACGTTCAGCTGTGACAGCACTGCATAGTCACCTGTCACAATGAGCGAGAGAGCCCTCAGCGATTTGGCGCGTAGTGTGATGGCTCCTCCTTCCAGCGCCCTTAGAATACGCGACAACATCATGTCGAATGATAGAAACAACTGCTGGCGCGATGTGAGGTACCCCCCACTTTGTTTGACCGATTTCCTAGCCAAAGGAAGTACGGATCTTGGGTGCGGCTCTTGACTGTTGAAGAGTTTCCAAAGCTTGAGCGTCTCAATCGCCAGTGCGTTCCATTGGTCCTCGCCCCAGGTGCGGCCATCGTACTCCTTAGTCGTTGCGGAGCAAATGACGGCAATCCACTGCCCGATCCAAGTGTTTTTGGCTGCCCTGATAGCGGTGTCATTCAACTCGTTCGACCCCAAGTACTCTATCACATTGTCGTAATTCGCCTGCAAATACGACAAATCGGTCATTGCGGTGTTGATAGAAAGATCTCCGTAAAAAGGCTGCTGTTCGTCGTTGGATGATGCCTTTGCTTGCTCTGAAGCATCGACTGTAATCCGGTTCGAGATTGTTTTTATCCTAGCCGCAATCAGGCCCAATGTATCGACAGCCATCGTCCTTGCAGCAAAGTCTGCTTTTGTATCGTCGATATATCGCGCCTACATTGCAAAGAATACTAGGATTAGGGAACAGCGCACAAGCACGATTTCGTGGTATACGACGCGATGAGTTGATGTGTACAATGTTTACCATGGCTGTGCTGAAGATCAAGAGATAGAGCTCTGCACTGGGCCATTCAGGGTGTCCGAGAACCGTGAGTAGATCCGTCACCAGAGTATCAAGAACGGTTCTGTAATCGGCCTCCACTGATGACTTGGTACCCTTCATAGATCTAGACAGCAACACGTTGAAGATGTACCCCACGCTCGCCTTGGCACCTTCTATGATCCTCTTCACATCGTCCAACAGCTAGGTGGCACAGATGATGGAAACAGGTTAGACTTTTGATTACACTCAGAACAACATATGCATGAGCAACTATGCATCCCATACCTTCCGAGATTCGATCTTCTGAGTAGAAGGATGAAGATGTAAAAAGTCTGCTGGCGGTTCGACAACGAGAGGACTCTCCGAACATGTCTGGACCAACTGCATGAGCAAGGCCGAGGAAGTATGGATCTTTGAGCCGTCGATAAGTCTGTAACCCTTGATCACTTTCTTCCCGTGTGGCAACTTGATGAGCAACGACAGGATTTCCTCCAGAATCCATGTCCTTTGCTTCGAATGCTTGGCAAAGACCTATAAAGAGACGGATGTCTTTCACTGTTAGAAATCATAGCCAGTGAGCTTTGCGCTTTGAGAGCATGCAGCGGTGAAACACTTTCAAAACTCACCATGCACAGTAAACTTGATCCCGACTGTTTGACAGACTCTGCTTCAGTCAGCCCCACCATCAACTCCGAGGATGTGTCGATAAAGAACAGGGCCAGCCCGATGTATACCCACTTAACGATAATGTCATCCGACACTTCTGTACTGCCTGATCTGCGTAATCTCTCGGATATGTCGCAAGTCGTACCAACGATAGACAATACCCTCGATCTCAGGGCGGTGTTTCCGGAGATGGCCTTGAGGATTCCAGACCCCTTGGACAGTCCGTTGTCATCCTTAGAGAACTCCAGCGCCGGCACTAGAAATTTCTCCACATGGGTCTTGAACACACTCAGAGATGCAACCAGCAGCTCCTCTGGAAACAAGTGTTGCTGAAGTCCCCTTGCGTTCAGGATCGAGAGGCTCAGCACGACATGCTCCAAAGACAATGAGATCCTATCGAACAAACGATCAACCACATTGAGGCGATCCTCCCCAGCGGTCGCAAACTCCTCCGAAAACAGGGATATCACATCGATGGCGTCAAATTCGTTCATGGCTGACTCGAGGTACTTCAAAAGCGTCGACAGGGTGTCGATTTGCACATCAATCAATAGTCCTTGCTTAGACAAATCCTGAACCGAACGATCAAGATGCTTCAGCTGAGATCCCGAAAGATGTTTCCTAGTGCCGTTATTTTCGTCCGCACTCTCGACTGACTCCAAGAACTCGCTCACAGTGTCTTCAAACTCTGATGTTGGATCTATAACAAGAAACAACAAGAGTGTGAGTCGAGTTAATAAATATCCACCGCACCCTTAGTTCCTGCAAGACTGTAGATGGTAGATGGTAGATGGATCGTGTCCAGCGTTACTTACCCACTGGCACACAAGAGGGCGTCCTTGATGTGGCTGTTGCGAGCGTGGAATTTGTTGAAGAAGCTTGCGAAAAAGGTATCACCACTTCCAATAACACGCTCCTGTTGTTAGAAGGAGTGGCAGGTGGGTGTGTGGGCTCGAATCTGATGGGTGGCGCTGCAGGAGGAGCCCGTGACTTTAACTTTTTAGGAGCCCTTGCCCGGATGTCGAGCTCATCGTCTGTTGTATCCTGAGCCCCCCTCTTTTGTGAGGTCATCGTTGGTGGACTGACATCTCTCGCTTCCACGCTTCCTTGTCTGCCGTCCAGTGCCCTTGACGGCTGTTGCGGCCGAAGTGCTGTGTTTTGCTGACGCGAAACCGCGCTGTCTCGGAGCTCGAGGAGCGCATCATAAGGGTCGAGTACGGGTAATTGATAATCGCCCTCGGGTTGGATAGTTGATGGTCGCGACATTGTGCAATGATCCAGGACTGTTTGTGACAGGCCAGACAGAGGCTGGTCGTAGTTTGGTGTGAAAGGCACACTGCTCGATGTGATCTGCGTCGCTGACATGAACCGACTAGAATCAAAGTAATCATAATAATGTGGATTAATTACTGAATGTTACATGGGGCCTGCGCTGCGTTCGTCCAATAGAGCGTTAGAGAACTTACATGTCGTCCACGTTTGCGTTCGAGATGATAGTTTTCAGGTACTCGGTTTGAAAGTTGAAGGCATGTTGTGTGAGACCTTGCTGAGCCAGCATGTTCTGGACCGTTGCATCTTTTGGTTGTAGAAGTCGGAAGTCAGAGAAGGCAATACTCAACGACGGCAAGTCGCGGAGAACTAGAGTTATTTGACATAAGAGAGTTGCATGGTGGTGAATATACAAATATGTAAAAATGAAAATGGTGGCGTTGCACGTCTCTCATAACTTTGGACATACTTGACTCTGTTGACGTGATGGACGACAATGCACTGTACTGCACACCAGCCTTTGCATTCGTCGGCAGGTGACCGATGGCCGCAGGGGTATCGTCGATCAGCTGAGGTTGGCACTGCTGCTGTTGTTGCTGTTGTTGTTGTTGTTGTTGTTGTTGCTGCTGATAGTGTTGCTGGTGCTGTTGCTGCTGCTGTTGTACATAAAGTTGTTGTTGCTGATGCAGCTGTTGCTGTTGCAGAAGTTGAGGGTGTAGCTGATGGTGTTGATGTTGTGTGTTCTGCATTGCGTAGGTGTGGGTATGGGGTGGAATGGGAGACTGGCCGGGGAGGTCGTTGCTGTTGTGTGCGGCCATGATCGCTTGTTCGTGTGAGTAAGGAAAGTGCAAGCAGGAAGTGGCGGTTAATGAACAAAAGAAAGACAAAGAAAAGGGCAAACGAGAACGCACAAACAGAAACGCCACCATTTTCAAGGAGCGCGATCATTTGGGACCTGTGTGTTGTGGATGCACAAATGATAAGACTGCTTTCAGAAATGGTGGCAACACGGGTTGCGAATCGGAGACGAAGGGTATGCTTTGCCCATGTAGCCACCTCTGCCTAGAAAACGTGCCAGCTTGCTCACTACTTGCCCGGCGCTCTCAAACTCGTTCCAAGTTTCAAGCCGACATTCATCTTGGCGCAAACCAACTGGAGATACCTAAGAAAATAAAATAGCGCGCCACACCGTATGTCTCCTCAACACTCGCTTTCAGCGAAGGCAATGCAAATGCCATCTACTACGCCCCATAAACGCATTATTGGCAAGAGGATCGATAATATACATCCAAACGCTATGTCTGTCATCGGTGCCAAGAAAAAGCGTACGGCTTCTTTTTTCCTTTCCTTTTCTTTTCTATCCATTTTCTCTGCCATTGTGTTTTTGTCCGCACAAAAAATACTGTACCTGCCATTTGCAAAAGCATAAACATAAATCAAGAGTGTTTGTGCGCCATTATGCATAGTCTACCTTCTCCTCCCAATGGTTTATTATGTCGCGAACACAAAGTGCTCTCAGCTGTTTTTTCTTTCGATGTCAGAATAGTTTGCAGGGGACCAATGCTTCGTCGATATGTGATTTGTCTCTTGTAACCTCGTTCTTCAAGGAAGGTACCTGTTCCAAATAGTCCTGGCCAACCACGACCACTCCCTTTCCCCACTTCCATATTTCCTCTGTTAATCCACTTTTTCCTCTCTTACTTTCTTCTCTTTTCTCCTTTTTTCATCCCCTCACCCTCCTATTCCATTCACCCCCACGCATTAGACCAACAACCTCGCTCATACTCTCATCTTCAATTTATTCACTCTACCAGCCACTCAAAATGTCACTACCTCCCCGTCCACGTCCTAAAGTCCTCATCGTCGGCGCCGGTCTGGGAGGTCTCATGCTCGGCATCCTGCTCGACAAGATTGGTGTCCCTTACCATATCTACGAACGATCCCTCGAAGTCAAAGCCCTCGGTACCATTTTTCTTTCTCTTTCAGATTATTCCCCCTACATGACCTCTCTCTCATCACCCTCCGTTTTGTACGCTTGCAACTAACAGTTTTCTTCTCGTCTACTTTATTTCCTTCTGTAGGCGCGTTGATGAGTTTTTCGGGGAATGTGTTACGCCTATTCGAGCAACTCGGGATGCTGGAGGAGGTCTTGAGTATCTCGATCCCGAGCGCAAACTCAACAATATACTCGGAGGACATGGACTTGCTGGCTGACCTCGGTATCCCCGGTTACGAGAGCCTGTATGTCCCATCCTAGTACCCTATCTATTCATATCTCTCTTTCACCTTTGCGGTTATATACCCAGGACTAATCGTCGTTACAATACTTGTTTTCTTTACTCAGGTCCGGGTACAAGACAATCTTCTTTGCAAGACCAGATATGTACCATCTTATCCGGTCCAAAGTACCCTCACAAAACATCACTATGGGCAAAAAAATCGTCTCCGTCATCGACACACCTTCCTCCCAAAGTATCAAAATCCTTTGCTCCGACGATACCTCCTACGAGGGCGACATCCTGGTGGGTGCTGATGGCGCATACAGCACCATCCGTCGAGAGATGCATGCCAGGATGGAACAGGAGGGATTGCTTTCGGAAGCGGATAAACAGGATTTTACGGTGCCGTATGTATGTATGGTGGGCACGACGACGGCGAGGGATCCGGACAGGTACCCTGAGTTGAAGGATGATGTGGCCCATTTGCATCATGTCATTGGTAACAGTACCCGGTATAGTGTAAGTTTATTTTTGGCAGGAATTATTTTTCCCCATGAAAAGGGTTTGTCCAAATTGACATTGAGTTGTTCATTTCTATCTCTCATCAACCTTCTCTCTCTCTCTCTGTCGTCGTATCAGTGGACAACAATCACGATCTCAAAGAACAGGATCTGCTGGAGTGTCATGGCCCAAATCAAGTCCGAATCCGAGGCCAACCAGCTCCGACTCTCCAGCACAGAATGGGGTCCCGAAGCCGCCGAGTCCATGATCAAGGAAGTCCACGATTTCCCCATCAAATTGGGAGGCGGAGCAGGAGTGCTAGGCGACATTATCGACGCCACCCCTCCAGATGTTGTTTCCAAGGTCATGCTCGAGGAAAAGTTGTTTGAGCAGTGGTCTCATGGACGGATTGTCTTGATCGGTGACGGTAAGTTAAAGAGAGCTGTGGCTAACGACTAAGCCAGTTGGTTCTCCTTGATATATTTTGTTGCAAGGTGAAAGACGTAGTGGGGGAGCGTTTTTGGGGTACCTCTTTCGCGTCCTTCTTTCTTGGCCATGCTAGCTAGCCTAACTGACCTCTCTGCTTTTTTTTTTGCACCTGCTTCTCAATTGCTTCTCCCTCTGGCCCTAGCTTGCCACAAGGTAAAAAGATGAAGAAAACAACCTTCTCCCATAATCACAAGCAAACTATTCCCAACAATAACTAACCTTATCTCTCACCACACATGCGCTCGCACATACCTCCCAATCTAGATGCTCCCAACCTCAGGTCAAGGCGCGATCAACGCCATGCAAGATGCCCTCATCCTCACAAACTGCATCTACGACCTCCAAGACCTCTCCCCCTCAACCCTAACCACAACCTTTCAATCCTACCAATCCCAACGCTATGACCACGCAAAACACTGTATCGCTTCCTCAAAACTTAACGCCAAAATCTCGTCCGGCCAAACTTGGACCGAGAAAGTAACGAGGTACCTGGTTTTCAATTTCTTGCCAAAGTGGATTCTGCTGAGGACTTTTACGCAGCATGTGGTGTATAGGCCACAGGCGAGCTTTTTGCCGGTGGTAGAGGATCGTGGGTCGGTGGCGTCGTTGCCTCAGAAGGTGTCGTGGAGGTACCAAGCTGAGTTGGATGCTGCTGCTGCTCATAAACCGTAGATGGAGTGGTATATTTTTTTGCATGCCCTCGTTTTTCTAATATATATTTTGTTTCTTTTTAATAAATCACGTATCCTCAAAAACTGATGAAGAGGAGGGACAGCTAGAGCTCAAAACTATCGGTCAGGATGGAAAAGTAGGTCAAGGTAGTCCAGACCGGCCGCCGCTTAACAATCTGTCTCATCACTCCAATCTCCCCACTGCCCTCCAACTCCCTCTCTGTATCCCGTCCAAACCCTTCAGTCTCCATAGCCGTCAACTCCACCTTCAATTTGTCGTCAGGACCTGTCGCATAATACTCCAGATCAATTCTCCACCCATCACTCACAAACCCGCCCACATGTCGAATCACATAATGCGTCGGGTAAGGGAATGGATCCGAAGAACCCAAAGACCAGGACGAGAGATGGGTATCGAAACTGGCGACCGTCCAGATGTACTCGGGGTGGGTACACAGGATGGTCAAACGACGCAGACCCGTCTTGGGATCGTAGTGGACATTCTCGGCGGTGAGCTTGGGTGCGCCTTGGATCAAATCCGTCAGGGGTGCGGCCGACTCTGCAATAGTCTTGTTGGTCGTCTGAGCACGGATATATGGGGTCGTGTCAAGGACATAGGACTCCAAGAACTGGTTGAAGGGGTAGATAGCGTTCCAGTCCGTAGGGTTATCGGACGCAGTTCGGAATGTAGATTTGGCATTGAACATGGACTCGACTTCGGTCACATAGGGCTCGTAGAATGGACCGGGGTCGGCATGAGCCAGGTAGAGGACCGACTCGCCAGAGGCCATGTTGCGGACATGCTGGACAAAAACGCGCTTGGGGTGGAGTTCGTCATACGGAGACATGATCGCCGACGATAGGAGAACAGTGATCAAGTGGAAGGCAAGGAGGCCCAGAATGATTCGCTTGAGGACTTTTCGACCAAACCGGTGAGCAAAAGCCAACAAGGGCGGGCAAAAGACAAACGTGACGAATCCTGACAAGACGGCCACGATGTTATCGACGGGGGCATCGACACCGATGCGACCAGTCAGGGGGATAAACATATCCAGCAAACTAAAGCAAACGAACGAAAAGTACGAGGTTGGGAGGAGGGCTGCGATAAAGTAGGTCGCATAGTCGACGCTGAACACCTCCGGTCCATCGCGGCGTTCCATAGCAGCCTTCTTGTGGTTGAAGATCAAGGCGACAGTGATGCTGAGGGCAAAGAGCGCAAAGACGTAACTGCTCGCGAGTCCGACATAGGAGACCACACCGAGAGCAATGGTGAAGAATAATTGGAGACTGGAGAAGGCGCTCAGCTCGTTGGCGCCACTGCTAGCTTTCTTGTTGTGGAACAGGTACTGGACCGTGAACATTCCAGCCAGGGACATGGGTCCAAAGAGGAAGACCGACAGCCACTCGTGCGAGAACCACTGCATGGATGAGCCCAGAGCCTTGAGCAAGACGACCGAAAAGTTGGGCAGGAGTAGTGCGACAATGAACGAAAGGAAAATCGAAACTGTGCCTCGGAACGATGGACGAGAGATTTGAGACGCCATCGTCAACAGAGCAACACCGCCAATCAGCACATGGGACCGGATCGCGGCTGTCCAGGAGTAGGCGACAAAGAAGAGCCCAAACACATCAAAGAAAACCACGCTCGACGTCATCTCGAGGCCGACCAGGTTTGCTTCGTTGGTCAGATATGTCGCCAGGGCAAGAGTATTCTCGCCCATGTGCTGGGGCAGGCCGCTCTCCAAGAATTCGTCCAGGTCCAAGTGGGTGTGATACAGGTAACTGTTCTTGTACACCGCCATGTCCAGTCCAGTGAGATTGCCATAGTCGTAAAACTGTCGAAAGTCGGTGTCGGAGAGGATGAGTCCGGTAGCAAACAAATCGTTCGCGAGGACAGTTCCATGGGGGTAAGGAACAGTTGTGTAGGCATCGATCATTTCCCGTGAGTTGGCCTGGAAGAGGATCTCGGGACCAGATGTGCCGCATGCCTCGAGATTGACGACAGCGCGGACCTTGTCTTTAAGTTCGTGCTGAGTAATAAAGTAATGCGACGCGTCCTGCAAGGACTCTTCTCCTCCGTTGAACACTATCGATCGCGCACGGTTAAAATATTGGAAAATAAGAGCATGAGCATGAGCATAGATAGAAGAAACAAACATTACACAAAGAAAATTAAAACAAACCGATCGCGCCTACGGAAAATGATGCTGTTCTTCTTTGGAGCGGGTCGGAGGGACATGATGCGAAGGATCTCGATCATAACACCGCAGCCGAGGGCATCATCAGCAGCTCCGGGGCTGCCAAGAGTCGTGTCGTAGTGAGCATTCAGCAGGATGGCATTCTCATCGCACTCGGGGCCACAGGACAGACGGACGACGATGTTAGTCATGTTGGTGTACATCTTCATCACCACTGTGTGACAAGACCATCAAAGGGAGAGAAGGAAGAGAATAAAACAAGGCTTAGTTCATGTCGTAACTTGGCCATTACTTTTATCAAAAAGCACGATGACGACGATGAAGGATGTTGAAGGATGGAGGAGGAGGGACAGAAAAAGAGTAGTAATAGAAAGACGAACCTTTGGACATGAAATCAAAGCGGTGGGATCCATCTCCGACTTGGACCCACATGTCAAAGTTGGGCAAATCCTGTGCACCTCGAAGGGACTCGAGTCTGGCCTGGTCCTTCAGAGCCGCGAGTTCCTTGATGAGGTAGTTCTTTGTCTCGAGCTCCTGCTCTGTGCCGACGACTCTGTAGCCAATATCCCTGGTCATATGGCGGACGATGACTCGGACATTCTCCTCCGAGAACTGGAGCTTACCCGTCACGGGATCTTGGCCTTCATAGACAGGGACAGGAAGCGTGTAGTGGATCTGGAACATGACCATGACGATCACGGTCAGGAAGCCAAGGAAGACCGCCCAGGCAGAGAGGATGGTTTTGAGGCCAGAGAAGCCAGAGTGGGTCTTCTTGGCGGCGCCAAGGGTGTACTGACTGTTGGTGCTGGTGGATTTGCGATGGTGGCCTGTACTTGGATTTTTTGAAATCCGGTGGTCGGCCATGAATGCGTTTCCAAAGGGGGAACGTATTGCGGCGTCGACTAGAGTCTCGGGGGAGAAGAGGGAGACGGTAGGGGTATGGTTGTTGTCTTGGTCGTCATTGTCAAAGGTGTTGTTGAAATGGCGCTGTTTGAGGGCGTCGATAGTTTCCATTCAGGCAGTTGTAGAGATGAAGACAGAGAGAGGAGAGAGAGAGAGTAAGAGAAGATAAAAGAGGGCGATCTATGAGAAGGCGATCTATGAGAAGGCGAGGTAAATGGTCATAAAAATGTGCTAGAGAATTGTATTCGTCAGAGGAGGGAAGGGATGGAAGTAGAGGAAGGAAGGGAAGTAGGTAAGGAAGCAAGGAAGGAAGGAAGGAAGGAAGGAAGGAAGGAAGGAAGGAAGGAAGGAAAATGTCGGTACTCTTGCCAGGGGAAGGATGGGAGAGGAAGAGAAGGGAAGAGAAGAGAATTGACGCTGCGTTGATAAATGAATGGGGCGGGCAGGCAGTGGCGAGTGGCGATGAAAATGAAACAGCAGCCTCTGTACTGTACATGTACTTGTTCAGACTGTCCGCTGGACAAGGTCGGGGGTCATGCCCCAGAAGTGGGGGGGATACTGCGATTCAATCAAGCAGACAGGCACAGGGACCATGAGGGAGGAGCTTGGTTTGGCTAGGGGTAACTTGATTGACAAAGACGATAACTTGCCCCAATGCTCAATACTCCGAGCCCAAGCAGGTTATTTGCAAACCATACAGCCATTGGACTATCATGGCTACTGCCTCAACCTACACTCACATCAATATCGCAACAATACAGACACATAAACGTAAACAAAAACAAGCTGCCAGTTCTTTAATCCTCCCTCGTGTCCCTTTTGTCCTCTTGCCTCTGATCTGTCATCCCCCTTCCATTCTTTCTCCTATACTTCTATTCTTCTTCCTGCCTTCCGAGTGAGTGCCACAGAAAAAGCATGGGCCACATGGCGTAGAGCACATACAAAGGGACTCCCACTTAACCCTATTTCTTCTTTGTCTTTTTGTCCACCTTTACACCTCGTGTCCGTGTCCGTGATCGAAACAAAAACAGGGGGTAGCAATGAGACCAAGGAAAGGACAGACAATAAAACAATAAACACGAACGGGTTATAATTCGTGTGTCTTGTGCTCTGCATGTTGCGCTTTGGTCAATCTGTGTTTTTTCTTGTAAAAGCGATAATCATTCACCATACGTCGACTTTTCGGACTTTTTTGCGCTTTGTTTGTTGTGCTTGGTTGTCAAGAAAGGATGAAGATTCACCCTTCCCCCCCCCCCCTTACCTTCACTGGAGAGCCCTCGGATCACCTTTTCCCTTCTGAGTCAGTTCTTCCTTTTCTCACTCTCCCTTCTTTTTGACGCAAACGACCCTGTGATGCCCTCTTGTGGTCGTGTCGTCAGACAAGGGACGCATTCAAGTCAGGAGTCTCAAGATCGAGGTTGATCGGAGATTGCACGACCAAAGGTCGCGTGCAAATCAGGGGCACGCACAATAGTAAACAAATGGGCTATTTCCGGCATCATTAACCTACTATTTGCTCCTCCCACCACTATAAAACACTGCATCACGTCTCCAGAGAAGCTACAGTAGCTAGGTTTAGCTTTATTTGACCCATCAATGAGGAACAAGGGTAAGGAAGGGTCACCTCTTGGAGATGATCCTGCAGTCGGCAAGACCTAGAATGTCAAAGGAGACAATGCCTCGGCGGGCACGCTCAACCTCTTCCTCGTCATAGATGTCAAACTTGCCTAGAATGGGGTTGCCATCATCGTCCAGTTGAACAGGCGTCCTGAACTTCCGTGCGAGTTGAACCTCTGCCGTCATGTCCGTCGTCGAGTAAGAAAGCACCGTTGCCTCCTTGAAGTCAGAGATGATAGGCTGATACGAAGGACCCATCTCCAATGTCTAATAAAACCACGAGCAAAGTATGCTTAGTACGGCATTCAAAATGCATTTTGTAAACGGTGTAACTAAAAGAATAGTTTTCACGTAGAACAGGCCTATACCTTGAATGCAATCACATCGCCAATAGCCAGGCTGTCCTCTGATTTGGGCAGGCTGTGGTAGTCCCGAGGAGTTACGTCCACTTCAGACGGGTCGTCAGACTCCTTTTCAGCGGGCACTGTCTTCTTGGATCCCGAATCCTTCTGCTTGACGCCGGTCTCAGGCTGAGGTGTTTCCGGTACTTCTTGGGCCGTGCCGTTGGGTTTCTTCTGGGTGGACCGAGTGACGCGCTTTGGGGTCGTCTTGGTTATGAGTTCGCTGTCCTTGAGGTCGACGCTGGTCATGATGACTTTTGGTGGCGTAGAAGCTTGAGTAGGTGCTTTCCTGTTCGCCTGAGGAGAAGGTATCTTATTGTTGTTGTGAGCAGAGTCCTTTCCGTTTGCTTGGGGTGCAGCCTTTCCAGACGTCCGGACGGGTGGTGTTGCTGGCGTGGCGTCGACGAGTTGGGTTACTGCTACGGTGTGTCTCTTCAAAGGGTTGCCCGAAGTATCTGATCCAGAGACTGCCTCTTCACGAGCCTCGGCGAGTTTCATCTTGAGAAGCTTTCGACGCGCGTTCCGGGACTTTGTCGCACCCATGCCCATTCCTGGAACTATCCTGGTGACGGCAGCCTTCTTTTCATCCTTCTTGTTGCTGTCGCTCTCACTGCTGCTGCTGTCGGAATCACTGTCGGAATCACTGCTGTTGGAATCGCTGTCGCTGCTGTCTGATGAGTCCTTGTTGCTATTAGAGGTGTCACTGCTGCTGCTGCTGTCGGAAGAGGAGCCGGAGGAAGAGGAGGAGGACATCGCCACTTTCTTTGGCTGAGATGTTGATTCTGGCGCGAAGCGGACGTTTCGTCTTTCGTTCACGGATTGGTCAAGGTCAACGTTCACTGTCCTGTTGTTTTTCGATCGCTTGGTGCCATTGGTCTCAGCTCCCTTGGAATTCTGGCCGCTGGTGTTTGTCTTGGTGTTGTTGTTGGTGTTCGTGTTGGAGGCTGCATCCCCCTTGTTGTTCTTTTGATTATTATTCTTGTTTTTCTTGTTGGCCTTTGCTTGCACGTTGTCTTTGGAGGGCAATTGCTGGCTGTTCTGTTGCGGCTTGTTGTTGTTGCTGTTGTTCTGCTTCGCCTTCTTGTTGTTTTGTTGATTTTTCTTCTTGTTGTTCTGGGCGTTGGGCTGTTGTTTCTGTTGACCCTGTCCAGACTGCTGCACCTGTATGTTGTGCTGTTTGACAAGTGGTGCTGTTGGTTTCTTGTTGGGTGGTGTGGATTTCATCTTTTTCGACGCTTTCCGGTCTGCGGTGTTTGAGAGTCCAGCATCCTCGCTCGATCGCTTCTTTCCTCCTGACACTGGAAGATGACGCGGTGGCAAGCCGTCGCCCTTTTTCCTGATCATGACCCTACAAAAAGCCAAAGTAAAGCCATAGCTCCATGTTATTAACTCGGTGCATTTTGGCCTGTTTCTCCTTGTATTTATTAGATATGCGAACAACTTGTTGAGCAAACAAAGAAACATACTGGAGAAGGTCACCATCTTTCAAAGATCCAGCAATGGTAGACGCTGGCAGAAGGAAGAACCCATCGAGATCGAGACGCGTTGTCTTGCAGTATTGGTCCAGATTAAAGCCCTTCCTGACGACCCGTTGGAGGTCGTGGATAGTCGAACACGAGGCGGGGACCTCGTACCAGCACTTGTATGCTGGAAGAGGGTCCTCGAAGGTCAGGCGGATTCGCATGGTGATTGGGAAGGAGTGCTTCTTGGATTTGTCAGCGATTGGGTTCCTGATCAGCGGTTAGGAATGAGCTGCCGTCCTGTCGTGTGTGGAGTCAATGCACAAAAAAACAAAAAGTGCAAGGCAAGAAAAGACGAAGCCTAATATCGATTAATAAGCCACCGCTCCCAAGCTACAAGAGTTTCATTTATGCGCTCGATCAGACAAACTTGCATCACATCACTCACTCGTTTGTTTGCCACTTCCCCCCTTGCTTTCTTCACCCTCACCTTCATCGACAACACAAAGCCATGGCTACAATCAAATCAGATCCCAACAAAGTCTCATGGGAGGAATCGGTACTTGCAAACAACCATACCTCGACACTCAACTGTGGACAAACAAGCAGGTAATCTTGGCTATATTTTTCATTGTACAACGTACTCTAATCAGCTCAACCGCTTTGCCTCCTTTGATGTAATTAGGCCTTCCCCATCCTCTGTGAAACTTGCCTGGGCGACAACCCTTACTTGCGCATGGTACGACATCAACACTCAGAACGAACCAATGTCATGGATAACCGGATTAAGACACCGACCTTTCATAAAACAACAGGACTAATCAAGAGCTTATTCCTTCTACCAAATAATAGACCAAGCAATCACAGGCAAGAGCATGCAAGGTTTGCGAACGACCCTTCACAGTGTTCCGTTGGTGCCCAGGTGTAGGCATGCGTTTCAAGAAGACAGAGATTTGCCAGACATGCTCCAAAGTTAAGAACGTCTGCCAGACCTGTCTCTTGGATTTGGAGTTTGGTTTGCCTGTGCAAGTCCGTGATACCGCCCTCGGACTGGAAGACAATGCTCCCCGATCGGAAGTCAACAAGGAGTACTTTGCTCAAAACATGGATGCACACGTATGTTGTTTGACCTTTTGTTATCGTGTGTCTAAGGATCTGGACGCTTCTTTGCGCTTTTCAATGACAACATGGCTGACAAATTTGCTTCTATTCGCCTTTGGTTTCGTTTACTCGAATAGTTTCAAGGCACAGAACACGGACTTGGAGAAGGAGGATTCGGGAAGGCAGAGTCGGCAGGACGTGAGATGTTGAAGAAGCTGCAGAGGACTGAGCCCTACTACAAGCGCAACAGACAGCACATTTGTTCATTCTTTGTCAAGGGAAACTGCACGCGTGGAGCTGAATGTCCCTACCGTCACGAGATGCCCCTGGAAGGAGAGTTGAAGAACCAGAACCTCAAGGATCGATACTATGGAACCAACGACCCTGTCGCCCGCAAAATCCTTGCTGGACCCAAGGCTGGAGGTGGAGGACGGCAATTCACCCCACCAGACGACAAGACCATTGTAAGCATCCATGTCCTTTTTCTAACGTTTCCTTTTATCTCGCGCATATCCAAGAAGGACCAATTGCTAATCAATTCTCGACCTTTTGCTCTTATGTTGTTTAGACCTCGTTGTTCATTACTGGGCTGACGGATGCAGTGCAGGAGAAAGACTTGAAGGGGTTCTTTTACGTGTTTGGAGAGCTCAAGTCGGTTGTGATTGCGCGCAAGAACAACTGCGCGTTCGTCAACTTTGCAACCAGAGCAGGAGCCGAGTTGGCGTTTGAGAAGGCAGGAGGAGGCATCAACCTCGAAGGCGCAGCATTGAGGGTATCATGGGCAAAGTCAAGACCTGTTGGCGCCAAGAGTGAACAACAGAAGGCTGGCCCTACACCTGTGGCGGTCATGGATGCCCTACAGGCGGGCCCACCCCCTCCCCCCGGTAGCAATGCCAAGATTGCCTACCCTAGCCAGGATCCTACCTACCAAGGTTCTACCAGCAAGTATAGGTAGACATTGTTGGTGGTTGGCATGGGTTATTGTGTGCAGCTAAGTGACTTGAATAAAATAGCTCGTTTTGTAATGTGGCGACCGCTCTTTAGTCTTTATCTCTTCATTGCCTTTGTCTTGTACCTGTTCTTCGTTCGAAAAATGGAACAGATGCTAACTTCACACCGCGGCTCCTTCGAGTAGCAAGGGAGGAAAAGCGAGCCAACCATTAACCTACAAAACACCAAGGGGAGACTTTTTGCTCTTCTCGCCTGCAAGGGACAAGGCGAGGACTTTTTACTTTTTTAGGTTTGATTTGGGGAAGAAATGGACTTTGGTGTAAGGTCATATACAAAGCAACTATTGAAGTACGAAAGGAGGAATGTGGGCTGTAGACACAAGAGAGTATTCGAGGATGGGCCAATGGACTATGGTCTATGGTCTATGGGCTATAAACAAAAGAGGATATTCAGAGAGGATAAAGGGTATATATGGTATGGAAGAGCAAAGAAAAAGAAAAAAGAAAACACACTTGTGCGGTATGGCCCAACTCACAAAGCAAGCGCCAACAAAGCGGTATATATATGAGTGTGGTGTCCATTGTGTGTCCATCGTGTGTTTATGGGGACTCGCATTGTGAGTATGGCAATGAAGTGGCTCTCTTAGTTCGGTAATTATCACCCTATTTGTCCTTCACATTCGTTCCTATCTAATATGTAAGTTTCGACCGACCGTTGAACTACCGGATAACAAGAACAACTACAAAGGAATATGCAAGGACATGGGCCGTTTTCGTGTCCAACAACGGGCTTGCGGGCTTGCTTGGTCAGTGTTCACAAGGCCTGCAATATTAGGGAATAAACGTGAGCTAGGGTTGGAATAAAGGAATATCTCCGCGATCCACCTCCTCCATTGGTGCCTTTGTTCTCAGAGAAAGAGACTTCTTAGATGCTTGATTCAGGAATCCTGCGTGAGTTCCTTGACGTGACGGAGCGTGGCCTATGGGTTGTCTTTTGGGGCTACGGCAGCAAGATCCATGTTGATTTGGGACACGTTCTATGAAAAGAAAAAAAGGTGCACGTGTAGACTTTTCCTGGTTTTCCAACAAGAGCCCACTACAAAAAAGCAAAAAAAAAATAAACCAGTTGGCCAATTTTTCACATACCAAAAAACCGATTGTCAACTCCCGGTAATGGGATTCCTCTGTTCGTCGGTGTAACGGCCCGTGGACTTTTGTTTTCTTTACTTGATCCAAAAGTGAAAATCTCCCACACTGTCCAAGCGGATCTTTTCTTTTCTCACTCGTCGGAATAGGTGCAAAAATAGACGGACTTTGATGTTCAGTGTCCAATGTTCTATGTACTAGCCAACTGCGTGGGTGCATTTTTTCTTTGTCCCTGAATAGCCTGGACTCTCTTTTTTTCCAATTTGCTGCTGCCCCTGGCGAAACGGTGTGCTCGAATGCCGAGGGAAGGGGCGAAAGAAAATGCACTCATCCAATTTTTTGGCGAGATGGGAAGGAAAAAACCCCCCAAGAAAGATGGAACTCTGCAGGGGAAAAAAAAAAGAAAAAGTGTAAAGAGACGGCGGTGGTGGTGCAAGGGGTGGGTTGCGCGGTTGTCTGCGCCTTCCTTGTCACCTCTTTGTTCGTGTGCGTTAACGAGCAGGCCGTTGACCACTTATTGCCCGTTCGAACGATGAACCTACGCGATTGTGGTGTGCGAATACGTTCATGGTGAGTTTAACTCTCGCTGTAACTTGGCGAGTCTGGGGAATGAAAGAAAAATGATGGGGGTTGGACAGTGAAGGAAGGAAGGTACAATCAAAAAGTATAGAGCGAAGGCGAAAAGGCAGGCAAGGAAGAAAACAGGCACCCTGTCTGGACCTGCTTGGCACAACTATCCTCCCTTTTTTTATCTGGTCCCGCGAATAACGTGTTTGGACGAAGGATGGTAAACAAATCGCCGCCATCTTAAATTTGGGTTCTTCTTTCTTCTCTTCGCTCCTCCTTTCCTTCGTCCTTTTTCCCTTCGCCCTCCCTCTTCCTTCCTCATCCTCTTCCTCACTCCTTCGTCACTTCAAAGAACAACACTCGGCAGCCATGTCGAGTCCTTCTCCAAGCGACAACACGATCAGTCGTATCGACGGTCCTCCATCCTCATCCTCTGCCCCTCCACTCAGATCCACTAGATCCTCCCTCTCCACAGCAACAGCCGCCACCAAATTACCTACCCAACTTTCACCCACCACCCCTCAACATGTTACCACCCAACCAACCTCTCGAGTCCTCTCCATGGGCGGACGGTTGCAGGCTCGGTCGAGCAAACGTGCACCCGCCATGACTGCAGATCCGGAACAGCAGACCTCTGAGGGTGGGGTCCGTCGGCGAGCGGCAATAGGAACAACAGAGGCAGCGGCAGCAGGAACGGGAGACTCTGACCCGAACGGAGAGGATGGTCAATTGAACGAGAAGCTACAGCACTCGGCCATCCAAATCGACGACCACGACAAACCTTCGGGAGTGACTTCGCACCCCAAGGACAGCGTATTGGAGGACACCAATGGAGTAGAACTCAATGAGCACCACCGTACCTGGACAGAACGCATGCACGGTCAACGACCCGATCGACACTTGTTCCCCTATCGTTCTGTCAAAGAGAACTTACGGGCAGCAAGAACCTTCCTCCGTCGGTTCTTCTTCCTCCTCTTAATTATCCCTGCCTGGGTGCTCCCCAATATCATGATGAACAAGGCCGAACACGAGCTCGAGACCTCTCACGGTGCTGCTCCTACTAATGGAACAACATCAGGAGCGCATGGAAGCAACTTTACAACCACACCTTTTGTGTCCTTTTCGGGGGGCGCAGAGGGGGCACATGGACCGGAACTGAGCAAGGGGGTCAACATCGCAACGTTTATTCTCAACATGTTTGTAATGATGCATCTTGGCAAGGCTGCGGGTGTGGCCCTGGAAGAATTGGTTCCCAAGTTTGGCATGGTAAGCACCTCTTTCACATATGTATTAGCCTTGGTGTGATGTTGTATGGTGACAGGCATTGCAATTTGCTCCGAGGAGAGTTTTTTTTTTCTGTGGGCGAGGGTGAACGCTCTCAACTCAATCCCCCCCCCAAAAAAAAAATGTGAGTGGGAGATACACAGGGGAGAGGGAAAGGGGGGTGCCATTGCTTGGTAACTTTGGACGGAGAAAGGGAGCAATTGGTGTATTTTTGGGTGACAGATCCAGGGTACGCACGTAAACAGATATGAAAAAGGGTTTGGGCTCCCCCACATGCCCCGAAAACTCTTTCATCCTTCTTGTGTCTTCTCAAACAACAGCGCTGGCATGGATGACATACTGTTGCTCAATGATGATGCAAAAGGTTAACTCTATGAAACGTGGTGTATGGTGGTGCATGCCATGGCATGCGATGAATGTTGTTTTCAAGTACCCTTCCTTCCCACCTGTTACTATGCGATTGCCCTCGGCATTGGTTCTTTTCCTTGTTGCTTACAGGTGTATCAATCCAACCCAGCCCTCTCTCCTTAAATTGAGATTATGTACATACTATGGTACAGGAAGTTTGATGTTCCTCTTTCCTGTTATTTTTCTAACCAAACATAACATGTCATCAACTTGCTCTTTCTTTATCACGAAATAGAGTATTGTCAGTGTCCTTGACGCCATGACTAGCAGCACAGTCGAGCTGGCTGTTGCAGCCTTTGCCCTCCGAAATGGACTCGTCCAAGTTGTCCAAGCTGCCATGCTCGGCGCCATCCTCAATAACTTGCTCCTGGTAATTAATTTTCTCGTCTCTCATCTCGTATTATGGCTTATGGCCTTTTTTGTGTGCAGATTATCTTACCTCCTCTTTTCTCTCCGCCATCGTATTCATGTCTGATGTATGTAGATGCTAGGGATCGCTATTTTCGTCGGAGGTATCTACAACCACCAACAAGAGTTGAAGAAGGTATGTACCATCCGCCTCACTTGCCTCGGGTGCACGTGTGTACATGCACTCTTGTCTTCTATGCGTGCATGTGCGACGAAAAAGTAACCAACCTATGCTTTCGTTTGTGCTGTGCTACTTTTAGGAAACAACACAAGCAAGTATCAATATTCTACTCCTCACATCCATCGCCTACGTGGTACCAGTGGCACTCGATAAGGCTCTAATGAATGCCCGGACAAGTAGCCTACCTCTCAAAACCGACCCGACCTACCTGGCCCGCTATATCGAGGTCAAAGAATCCGTGGATGTCGATATCTTGAGCCTCTCCAAGATCATGGCCATTCTTCTGTTACTCATCTATGTTGCCTGTCTCCTCTACCAGTACCACAGCCGAACTTTTATGGTCACTCCAGAAGCTAAACATGAAGGTCCAAATACGGTCGAACATCGGTACACGCATTTTTGGTTTGCGGGAGTGGCCTATGTCTGTCTGCTTGCAGCGCAGATCTATTCTGCAAACTTGTTGGTTCATGCAGTCGAGGGACTCGGGCGACAGTACCATTTGAACGATTCGTTTGTCGGGTTTGTGCTGTTGCCGATTGTGCTGGTCGCCGACTTGCAGGAGGAGGTGATTGCGATCCGGGAGTCGTGGTCGAATCGGTTGGATAAGGCGGTGTCGTTGATGGTGGGGTCCTGTATGCAGATTTCGTTACTGGTGACACCAATCTTGGTCCTTTTGGGATGGATTATCGATCAGCCGATGACGCTCCGGTTCAGTATTATGGAGGTTGTGATCTTGGCCGGGTCGGTGGTGTTGGTGAACTATTTGATTGCGGACCATGAGACGAATTGGATTGAAGGTATCATGTTGATTGCCCTATTCTTGATGTGCGCCTTTGCCTTCTACTACATTCCGCCTGTGACGATTGGAAAGGGCGTGGATACCCTAGCGGAGATGACCGCAGGCGACAGCAGTGGAGGGCATTAGCATTTCTTGAAGCCTCGTTCGTCAAATCGCTAGCATCCATCCCTTTGTATATTTTTTATCATGTTTTTTTTTATTAATAAAAGCTCGTAGATAGTATGTATTGTTCTTTGTGTTCTATCAATGCTCTTTATGCAGTAGCGGGGATGGGCACTGCTGCTCCTGCTACTGATGGTACTGCTGGTGTAGAGAGAGAAGCGGCGGCGACGATCTTCTGCTGCTGCTCCTCAGCGGATCCGTAAAGGATATCATGACGTTGCTGTTCAGCGACACGGATCTGGAGTTCCCGATCTCTGCGCTCGAAGTTTGTGAATGTCGTATCGGAACCATTACCGAATCCTCCCAAGAATGCGGCAACGAACAGCCACATCTATTTGATTTAGTGGTGTTTGATGGGGATGAGGAAGGGGTGTGGGTTAATGAGATGAGTCAGTTGTACGAACGAATATTTTTTTCCCTTCGATTTGCATGGGTGAATGATGATAAGGCAAAGCAGGGGAGGATGGTACCTTTTGAGGGGGCCTAATGGCGGCAAACCTTGGCGAGACGGCGGTGAGGACACCTCCGGCAAAGAGGGCGACTGTGCAGTATTTGACGGCTCCAATGGCTCCTCCGCGCATGGCCTCGGTGGCAGCGGCATCGTCCATTCTTTCCGAGATCAGACGCATGTTTGGTTATATGTAGTGTTGTTGTAGTAGGTGGGAGGTGGTGTGAGGGAGAGGGGTATCGAAGAATGCAAAAGAGAGAATGCGTGGGTAATTCCGAGACGGATATGTGAGTGAGTGAGTGAGTGAGTGAGTAATGAGTGATGAGTGATAAGATAGAGAGAGAAGGAGAGAATGAATGTGGATGGGGGGCATGTTTTGGATCCGGTGCCCTTTTATATCTTTTTTCCCCTTCTCCCCTCTCCCGCTGAGTTGGGCATTTTTCTCGTTTTCTTCCGAATGCTCAGCGAATGAGAAGCAAGTGGGGTTGTGGTTACGCCCAATAGGCAAGCGATCGTTTTTCGTTCAATTATCGAAAGAGAGCGAGAGATTGCTTGATTTGGGCCTTCCGGTCTCAACCCAAGCGCAACTCCCCACCTCCTTCCTCTTCCCTTCGTTTTCATTGTCATTTACAAAAATCTTCACCACGTTGTCCAGCAGCCACTCATCTCCACACACCTTGCCCATTGCCTGTGTTTATATCTGATAGTGTTGTGGAAGGGTGAACAAGAATACCCACGAATCATTTCGATAGTGAGCTAATTAAACCCGTTACTTCACTCCACGGTGAGGTAAAAATTTTGCTTCGGTCAACATCTCCATCCTAAACATCTAAACATGGCTATCGCAATATCGCAATTGAAGCTGCATGTATAGGAACCATTACCTCAAAGAGCCGTGTGGGCCAACACTCTTCTTCATACCAGTAGATCCACTGCGCAATTGTTCAATGAAAAAAAAGGCACAAACAAGAACTGTGTAATTACTTCTTCCCTCTTCATCGCTGTGAGACATTTTCCCTTGTATCCCTACGGGTAAAGCAGGGATGAGCATTTCAGCCCCGATTTCCATATTTGTGTTCCCTCCCGTGGCTCCGTGCTCTTGTGCACCACAATTCTTTCTTTTCTTTTCTATCTCACTTTGATTGCCTGTCGTCATTCTTTTTTTTTTTTTTTCTTTCGTTCTTCTTTTTCTTGTTCTACTTGTCTTTTCCATCACCTCTCGAACGGATTACCACATTCTCCTTTTTATTATTATTTCCGCTCCTTCAACGAACAAACTGGCAGAAAAGCACCATATCAAATTGGCCCACAGATCTCCATTGGCATTTCAACAATAACGTCAATCGATAACGGTAAAGGTATGTTCCATTCTCGGTCTTCAAATACTGTCAATTGATGCGACAAGCGCTGTGTTGGTATGACTACTTATGTTTTAGTCGTGCTATGTTTCTTTAATTGTTGTTGTCTTTTTTTTTGTTTCTTGTGTGTAGAACAGAACGATATATGAAGAGAAAAAAAATATGGAAGGGAAGGGGTATATGCAATATAGAAAGGAAAAAAAAAAATCATTCATCATCATCATCATTTCTCTCTCTCTCTCATCTTCAGGAACGACTCTCAGCTCCAGTAATAGCCTTAGTGAACGTCTGATAACCTCCAACCCCACCAGGACGCATCATCTGCCTCATCCGATCAACCTCCTCTCTCGCCGTCGCGACCCTCTTTTCAACAGTATTCTTGGCTTGATCCACCAGATTTTGTGCGCGCATGGTCATTTCCCGCGACCGTTGCTGGATATCACTACTGGATTTCTCGATAATGTCGTTTGACAGCTTTTGGACTTCTTCGGCCCGATATTGAAGGTAGCCTGTTGTTTGGTTCGCTGTGTGGAGGAACCCGCCTGCGCTTGTCAGCATCGATCCCAGTATGTTTCTGATTATGGTGTAAAAAAATAATAATTAACGGTGTGAGTTGAGATGGCGAAGCAGGAACAAGCACAAGTGATCAAAAACTGGAGAGATACAATATCAGTAAAAAAAATAGTGAGACTGATAAGAAAAAAAAACGTACCGTACGACGTGATCGTACCACCATCCGAGAAGAGGCACAGACTGGACAATTCCCTCCAGAGTCCATGAATCCTGGTGGCTGTAGATCATCGGTCCCTCGGGCGAGTCTCGGAAATGCAAGGTCGTCGTCGCTGGCACTTGCAAGGAAACCAAAGGAAACAGGCGTGGCCTCAAGTTCTGAATCAGGGAGATGATCGCTGTGTGACCACTATCATTTGCACATTTGAAAAGAAGAAAGGAAGACAGCATATTAGTTAAAAAGTACTGAAGTAGAGCGAGCAGGAAAGGAGGGCGTTTGCTTGATTTGTGAGCGATAAGGGCGACGGCGAGGGTCGAGGGTCATGGCCACGGTCACGGTCCATGACCTGTGCTGTGGACTAAAGCGTTCTTATTTGTTGACATTGCGGTCATTGTTTTGTTGTTGTGTCTTTTTGTTGTTGGTTTTTCCCCGATGTCGTGAAGTTCTCAAATCCACATGCTGCGCTCAGGAAAATGACTTGAACCCCTGAAAAGCTGAAAGCAACAACAAAAGAAGCGTGCCTCATGCCAATGTTCCTCCTGTGAGTCAATGGGAGTCAAAGGATGGTCGATATTCGATTTTTCCTGAACAAACTATTCTGGGGTGTGGCCACGGTCCCCTTTATCATCCTGCTCCATGGTCCTTATGTTACGTGCGTTTCCTGTCGCTCTCGCCTTGAAGGATTGGTTATATCCTGAAGCAATGCACACATGTTTGCTTTGTGCGTCGGTGTCTCCTGTAATTATTATCGCGTGGTAAATATGTCCGAGAAACGTGGGTGGATGGATGGGTAGGTAGGTGGGGTCCAAGAATGGGACACACAAGTGTGTAACACCGGTAATTGTCCATAGGTGTGTTTGTGTGTGTTCGGTCTGAGACAGTGATGTTGGTGAGGCGGGTTGTCCTATACGTGTGCTTCTCAAGCACGACATGCTGAAGCTCTTGTTTATCCATGTAACCATCCAACTCTTCCACTGAAACTAGCTCCTGATAATAATTGGCCTCTCTGTTGCTGCATAGAGATCATGTCATCCTGAATTGGTTTTTGGTTTTTGGTTTTTGTTGTCATTCTGTTGGTCCATGTGCCCCATGTGGTTGTAATAATTCTCCTTCGTAAGCCCGACATGCCTATCGTTGAGCGTTGGCCCCTCTGCCATATATGTTATGTATGCAGACATGAGTGCGTTTACAGAACACTGGAGACTTACTCATAGACAATGTTGGTGACTTCAGGCTCGTCCTTGTTGAGAGAAATCCACACCCTGAACACCTTACGAATATTGTATTTGCCTTCAATCGTCAATGCTGGATGAATGTACCTAAAATAGTTGACAAGGACACGTTCCCACACAAAACAATCGATGGTTAGTTTTCATTTTTCCTGCAGGCTGCAGATAAAATAATATCCATTCATCAATTGCTGCTCCCAACAAAAAATAAGCAATGATGACTTGGGAATTGTGTAAGCAATGGGATTGAGCTGCAGAGGGGGAAAGTGGCACGATGTTTGAAAAATTCAATCGCTGCCTGCAAAGCTAGGCGCGCGTCGACTGCAAGGACAGAGAGTGTGTCAATGGCAATGTATGGGCGTGTGTATAATAGCGATAGCGAGCGGATGTTGTTGGGACAATGGTTCAGGGACGGTATTGTGCCAATGGTCAAGTAATAGATAAAACCAAATAATATTGCCAAGTTGGTTGGTTGAAGTGAGGACTGAGCAAAAAAAAAAAAAAAAAAAATAGAAATATGTGTTGACACATGCAAAACATATAATAAATGAATTGAGAAAACGCCATTCACACTCGGGTCATACGACGGGTCAAAGGGTCCTCTTCGTTCGTCATAGGGTAGCACTTGACATGCAACAATTATATGAACAGCAACCAAAATACTCAGCCGCCTCCTACGTTGCCAAGTCAACACTAGTCAATTCAATGACCATGCTCATTTTCCTCCTGATAAACATTCCTTTTCTTTGGCACGTCTTCTTTTGACCGACCAATTGCCGATATGACTTGCACGTTAAAGTATCGCATGGTCGTAAATGAAGAGAAAGAAGAGGGAACATAGGGCAGGTATGGTTGAAAATACCACATGTTTGTCCAAGAGCCGCTTTTCACGTTTTGTGTGTAATCCTTGAAGGCAAGAGTATGCTTGTGCTTAATCCCTCTCCCATTGAACATTGAAGTTTGGACCATTTTTTTTTGTGAGTTGAGCGTGAGAGGAGGAATTGTTCAAGATAGAAAAAAGGGGGCAGTGAAAGTGACGGCGGGACGGGAATGAGATAAAAGGAAAGATGAAAAGAAAGTGGAAAAATCTCAGAAAGGATATGATGGACATGCTTACTTGGCGTCGTCTGTGAAAAAGTCCTCAAGGATTTCCTTGTGCATTTCCTCGTCGTAGCTCGTCAGGCGGTTGGCGATCCACCAGATAAACTCCATGTTCCTATCTATCCATGTTCGAAGACGACATGCGAATGCAAAAGGATTAAAAAAGAGGGGGAAGAAGGAAGCAGTTGATATGGTTCGTTAGTTGAGTGGCCAAACGTTTCTTGTCTTCGGGTTATGAAAGGTAAAAAAGGGATCATATGAAAAGGTTGAGTGGGAAGGGTGCGGGGGAGGGGGGGGGGGGTTGACTTGACTGAGCCTTATTTTCCTGACGGATCCATGACGGGAGTGCAAGACATTGGGTACTTTGCTGCAATGCCTTGTACTTTCTTTTCCTCAACTCTCCCTCCTCCACAATACCCCAACCCGAACTAAACACACTCACATCGCCCTTTCCTTTAGTCCTTTGTCCAACCCCAAAAAAATCCATTTGGCGAGAGAAAAAGAACGACGACATCAAAACGTGTTTGTCTTTTTCTTGGTTTTGGTTGTGCTGCAGAAGAAAGGCTAGTTTCGTTTGGTGTCGGTTTTGCAACCGAAGGTAGACGAAGCAAGTGGGCGGCAGCAAGAGGGGATAAGAGAAGGAAGAGAAACGGCAGCAGGAGGTTGATAGCGAAGCAACAACATACCGGTAACGACATCATGGTAGTTGCTGCTGATATTGCTCATGTCGCTCAAGCTGCTTCTCGAGGATGTCTCGAAGCCGGAAGACTCCATTGTGGTGTTCATGGTCGGTTGGTTGGTGAAGATGTGAAGGGTGGAGGTATGGAGGTGAGAGGTCGGGATGTAAGAAGGGAGGTGGATGAGAGTGGAGGGCGAGTGTGGAAGAGGACAAAGGATGGAGAATAAGTGAGATGTGAAAGATGGAATGAGAAAAGGACGGGATGAGAGAAGAAAGAAAAGTGGGAAAGAGGGGAAGACGAAAAACGACAGGAAAAAAATCTCCAGGGCATGAGTTCAGGGACAAGACAGAGAGGTGGGAGGACTGATGTGTTGAATCTGATTTGCTGGGTCGCAGATAAGGTCAACACTTATCCATCGGTATTTTGGTGATGTTCGTTCCTGTAAAATGAAGAGGAAGACGACGCGTTTGTGTACAACACATCGCGTCTTTTCGCTACAAAGTCTCACTCTCTTCCTTGCTTCCGCATCCTTCCATTTCGTGAAAAGAGCATCCATCGTTTAACGGCGACACCCTTGTCGATGTCGTCTTTTGCACTTGGTTCATTCATTCCAACATACATGTTTACTACTCTCCTTTTGTCTATCTCCTTTTATTCCCCTTCTTCCAACAGTATGTGCACGATCCACCTTGTCCGCTGCAGTAGCGAGATCAAAATACTTGTCTACTTGTTATTTTTATTCACAAAAGGCAAAATAATAAAATACGCGGTGAGATGCAAGAGAGATGAGAGAGATGACCAGAGTTGCCCATCATCTTGATAACAGAGGGTGACCGCCCAAACAGGCCAAAGCGTCTCTTCGTCATGTTTTCATCAACAACATTCTCTTCGCCTAGCTCCCTTCCGATGCAAAAGAACACGTCGTCGATCCAGATGGGGCAGAGCGAGGTCCAGCGACCCATTACGACGATCATTTTGTTGTTCCTTTCGTCAATCCTGATGCTGGTGGTGCTGGTCCTGGTGCTTTCGACTGCGCATACGCCTGTGCCTCCCAAGCAGCCGCGTTAGCCGCTGCAGCCTCTTTGGCCGCCTGCGCTTGAGCTTCTGTGATCGCTGCTGCTGCCGCTGCGTCTCCACTTGTTGGCGTTGTTGAATCTGGCGAAGCCATTGATCCGCCTTCGCCCCTCCCCGCTGCAGCTACAGCGGCTGCTGATCCGGGTGCACTGGGAGCACGGTTCTGTCCTGGAAGTTGAACGTCTACCGAGAGCGCCCTCACCGTCGTCGTTAAGTGGAGCTGGTGGGCACAGACCAGGGCAGCGATATAGATAAATGAGATCTTCATCTTTGTTATTGTGTTGTTGTTTGGCTGTGTTTGTGTTTTTGTTGATGCTGAAAAAAAAAAAAAAAAAGCTTTGTCCTCAAAAGGAAGCGCAGGTTAAGAGTTCGAAAAACTGACAATGGCCGGCAGGGTTTTTGGTTGGTGATTTGTACAAGAAAAAAAAAAGGACAACGAAAAGAAAAAGGTAAAGGAGATTGAAGGAGGAAAAAAAAAAAAAAACGCCTCCTGGTGTAATTGATGAGAAATATTTAGTGTCCTTTTTGATGGTCGCTTATTACGGCTCATCCATCGCCTTCCTCCCCCTCCGTATTTTTTCTTGCTTGTCGCAAGGTGTATGTAGTTGTCCATCTTGTCCATTGTCCCATAAGAAAATCATTTGCCATATAGTAGATTCTGCTTGCTTTGTTAGGTTTATTTTATACAACGACAAGGCAAAAAGAAAAGGGACAGGGCCAGTAGGTGGGTGGAAGAAGGAAAGTAGATGAGAATTAGGGGTGTAAGTGATGATTTTTATGCAAAAAGTAAATATATTCAGTCTACTACTACTTATCTCACTCCTCCTCGGGTGAATTTGGAGAAACAACCTCTTCCTTCAACTCACTACGACGCTCGTACAATCTTCCCCGTCGTCGTTCCAACAATGGCGATCGTCCCGAAGAAGAAGGCGAAGACACAGACTTGACCGACGGAGTATTGTTTCCAGTGGTATCCTCCAACGACTGCATGCTCAAATAATGCGACGAGATATAATCTTCTCCTGACAGACCCGCCCGCTTCCTCATCTTCATCTTGTTTGTCGCCCAGTTCCCACCCGGCGTCAGATAATTGCCTGAAGCGCCACTGGTATCAGGAAGCTGCGGTGCCGGCCCCTTCGCCGGACTAGGAGTCGCCGTACCAGCTGCTTCTGCGGCTCGTTGTGTTGCTACTTCTGCGGCTCGTTGTGTTGCTGCTTCTGCGGCTCGTTGTGCTGCTGCTTCTGCGGCTCGTTGTGCTGCTGCTTCTGCGGCTGCTATCGCCGCTGCCATTTGTGCTGCTTGCGATTGTGGGATTGGACTTGCGCAGGCCAGAGGGATTGTGGTGGTTGTTGATAGGAGGAGCTGGTGGGCAAAGACCAAGGCCGCTATAAATCCAAATGTGATCTTCATGTTGGGATAGTTTGTTAAAGTGAAGCGTTGAAAATTGCAAGCCGTGGTGAAGAGGAGCAGTTGTTGTGGGTTGAGAAAAAAAAAAAAAAAAAAAAAAAGGCGGAAGAAAGAATGAAAGAGAATGGACGAAAGGTGGCGCAAGGAGGCCGGTACACGGGGCTATTGAGTTCAAGAAAAGTAAGGAAAAAGGGAGGTGGTAAGAGGGGGAAGGTTAGTTAGGACATTGAAGCCTTGTCTTTACTTGTTATCCTTGACCCTTTGCTCCCTCTCCAAGGGGTTAGACAAGCAACGCATGCCGACCAACCAACCAATTGTACCAAACGAGCACTAAAACAGCCAATTAGTTGTCTAAGGGAGACCACACCCAGTCCGTTCTGGCTGCTTGCGTCGTTTGGTGTTTCGTGAGGTTTACACTCCCAGTTGGCTTCCCCTCGTCGCCTTTGTATTTTGCTCTACCGCCATTCTCTTCTTGTCATGGCTCGAAACTCTTCCTTTCTTTTCAAGCAAAGCACGGGTAGTGTTCAGACCATATATCTTCCAGAGTTACCCTGACATACCTCTCATTGACCAACAACTGCTCCTACAAAAAGTCTTCTTTTTCTTCGAGATCCATACTGCACTTGTTGGAACCACCACACATCCCTTTCTCACTATAGTAACCTCTTTTTTGTTCCCATCACGTCTTCTTGTGTTCATGCATCTTCATGTGTCACATCTCGATATTGCACCAAAACGTGCGCCGTCGAATACTCGATCCCTTACAATCACTCCCAAACAAAAAATAAATAAGAAACTATCTTTACTCGGTAAAGGTTTAAAAGTGCCACAAAAAATAAACCTCAGACCCATCAATCATCAAGTTCATCCTCCACTTCTTGACTCTGTGTCTGTTCCTCCATCTGCTCTGTCTGCTGTGACTGGCTATCAATCATGATCAATGACGGCTCCTGATACAACATACTCGGAAACGTCGGCAGCGTCGGCATAGACGGCATGGTAGAAAAGATCAAGCTCGCAGGCGGCGAAGGGAACGAGGGTGGGTCTCCTCGAATTTGCTGCTGCTGTTGCTGTCGAGTGGTAGCGCCGGAGGGATACTCGTTCTCCTTGTCCTCACGAGCGGCGGTTCGTCCTGCCGGCGTGTACGTCGCAAAGGGCCCCTCAATCACTTCGAGTGACAATGGAGGTGTCACAGAGCTCGATAAGGTCGACATAGGCGCCAGATCGAAACTTGACGGGAACGCGACTCTCTGGGCCAAGGCGACTCCTCCAACACCATCATCCTCTTCCTCATCTTCTTCGTCCCCTTCCTCCTCGTCGTCCTCATCATCGCCTTCCTCTAGGACTCTGTCAATGTTGCTGCCCCTGATTCCGTATCCAACTCGACTCTTGAGATGTCTCTTCTTCCCACCAGCACCATAACTCCTACCGCGAATGTTCTTTCGTTTCAGTCCAAGCTCCTGTAGACATGATGCCGTCAACTCCGAGGGCAAGGAGGGATCGTTTTGAACGTGTTCCCTTTCCTCGGCACCGCCACCGCCACCAGTCCTGGCTTCCGCCTCCTCTTCTGTCTCATAGATAAATGACGGCAGAGACTGAACTGGTCCTCCAACAAATGAATCCTGAGTGGGCGCCTGACCACCGACAATAGTAGACAGGTCGTCCTGATGATGGAGAGGAGGGTTGTGGTTCACAACAGCAGTCTTGAGTGGGGTAGTCGAGGATGAGGGCTCTCCTCCACTCCTGCGACTGTGGGCATCACTCTCGTTGACATTGGACGTCTCTTCGTGAAAGAGAGGGACAGGCGGTAATGATGATAGCGAGTCCTCAACAAAGACGCGCTTCCCCTTGGATCCTGATCTCTGATTGGCTGTTGCTGTTGTTGTAACTGCTGTCTTTTGGCCAGATCGGTAGTTTCTCTGTAACGGCTCTTCCTCCTCCAGCGACAAGGGAACCATCTCAAAGATGGACTGGGCTTGATCTTGGGGTGGGAGAGGCGGCGGCGCGTCAACAAGATTGACCACATGTCGTGAAGGAGCAGGCGGTGGTCGACGGAGAGCTGGCTTACGAGGCCCAGCAGCGGGTGTGTCCTCTGCGGTATCCGCCTTGACAACATATTTCTCCTGAGCGGACGACGCGTTGTTCTCGTCAGTGGAAGTAGATGTGGACGTTTGTTGATGTCTAGGTCGGAAGGCTGAATCCAGTTCGAGGGTATCATCGTCCTCCATAGCCTCCTTAACGCCTCCCATCCAATTGGCAATTCTCTCGACTTGTACCGAAGGTATAATGCTCGCGTGGTCGTCCTTGGAGCTGGCAATTGAGATAGCAGATGCTTGCTTCTTTCTGAGATCAATGCCATGTGGCGCTGCCACTCCTCCACCGGCTGCTCGATCCATTAGGTCGTCCAGATCCACATCCTCCATCGCCTTCTTTGTAGTATATGGGTGTTGTCGCTGTGTATGTTTTGTTGTCATTGAAGTAATAGGATGGCGATTAGTGCTGTCGCCCTCGGTGGTAGTGGCCAGGCTGAGATAGAAGGGGCTACTCTCGGGCATACGCTCATCCCCATCCTCATCAAGATCAATGGGTTCCATCTGTGAAGGAATTGAAGGCATTGACGACGACAGACTGATCGCCTGCGAAAGCTTATCACCCGTCTGTGTTGGCTGTTGCTGGCGTTCGGAGTAAATTGAAGTCGAGATGGAAGGTGATGTTGTGGTTGGTGTTGTGGATTTTAGTGGTAAAGGTTTGGCCCGACTGCCCTTTGGGAGGCGTTCTGCAATGCTCGTCACGGTGGAGGCGGCACCAGGGTTCTTTTTCGACCGAGATGCGGTTACGGTTGTTGTCGATGATGCCGCAGTGCTCTTGGCGGTGGTGGTGGCGGCAGTGGCATTCTTCTTGATATTGTTGCTACTGTCGCCATCGCCGCTTGGTAGCTCGTTCTGTTTACCACCTCGTACCCTCGTCTCCTTCCTGCTAGACCGCACAGGCGCCGCCGAAGCATTGTCGTTGTTATTGCTGTTATTGTTGGTGTTCGGGGTGGCGGCCTTGTCTAGGACCCTGTTGAGTATTGATGACATTTTGGGGGTGTTGCTGCTGTCGATTTTTTGGTTGCTCTTGCTGGAGTAAACTGGTTTTGGTTTTGTTTGTTTCCTTGTTGTGGTTGCGGTTGTTGTTGTTGTTGTTGCTGCTGCTGCAGCAGTGAAAGTCGAGGCGATAGAAGAGAGAAGTAGTTGCGGGGTGTCAGTTGTGTTGTCCTTTGTCATAACAAGGGTCGATTGTCTTGTAATGGACGGTGACGAAGAAGGCCGAGGTGAATTTCTGAGTGATGAGCGAGGAGAGGAAGGTGATGATGCCTTCACGTCGTCCTGTCCTTGCTCCTGATTGTTGTTACTGTTATTGTTGTTTTGAGTGTTGCCAGAGAGGAATCGCGTCTGGAAGAGATTGGAGGAAGAGGGAGAGCGGCGTGTGCGTTTCGACTCAATCCAGCCCGAGGAGGTAGAAGGCATAATACTCAATCGTGACGAAAAAAAACGGTGGCAAAAATAATATGCTCTCCGAGTGTGAAAAAAAAATAGGACAGCACCAGAGGGAGAGAAGGTTGGTGGCAAGCAAAGGCAGTTCAAAAAGAGAAGCAAAAATGAGACCGTGCCGAGGGTCGAACTCGGGTTACAGGATTCAAAGTCCTGGGTACTGGACCACTATACTACACAGTCGAATTGGCTTTTCTTTTGACCTTTAGAATAACCTTAATTGAACACATCACAGCGAATCCCTTAAGGGTACACGTGAAAGTTGGTGGCAAATCACGTGACAAAATGGCGGCATCATGAAGCAAAAATGGGAAATTTGTTGGCTACCTGGAGGCGCAGGCCACGGAGCTTATTGCTGCTCCAGTTGGTAGCGCCAAAGATCGTTCATGACACCGTGTCGAGAGTCGAACTCGGGTTACAAGATTCGAAGTCCTGCGTACTGGACCACTATACTACACAGTCGAATTTGACCTTATCGCAGTGCAATCCATTAAGGGTACCAAGTGAAATTGGTGGCAAATGCACGTGACAAGAGAATGGTGGTGAAGCAAAAGAAATACCATTGATGAATCCACCCGGCGCCATTGAGCTACTAGATAGACAAGTAACAAACTCAATGAAAAGACTTTTGTCTCCAACAGAACCATAACCATGATATTAGGCGTTTGTTACGATATTTTTTAACATGTTTCGTTCTATCGACTAAAAAGTATGCAAGTATGAGTGAGGGAAACACAAGGGTGCTTCCTTGATATTTTGTAAAATGACTGTGAAGATGAGGGAGATTTGGGGGGAAAGGGTGGGGGGAGGAAAAAAAAAAGTGCAAGAGTAAAAGAAAGAGAAAAAAAAATGTGTGCTTTCTAGATAGAGATGGTCTTGAAGATGTTGAAGCCAGATCCTGCTGTTGAGACGACACATCCTGGGATCTGACGGTGCCAGTGCAACTCCTTGACGTCCTGTTGACCCTGATGGACGAACATCAGCTGTGGGGGCACCTCCATACCGGCATCGTTCACAATCGCCTTTTGACTCGTTCCGTTCAAGGTCTCCTCGGCATCGTGTTCCACAGAGAAGTCCCAGAGAGTGATCTGATCGTCTGCTCCAGCAACTGCAAGCACAGACTCGTCCGTAGGGTGCCACTCAATCGAAGTAATAGGAGCCTGGTGCCACTTGAATGTAGCAATAGGTGTTGGGTTCGCGGCGTTCTGAGAGAGCTGACGGAGATCCCAAACACTGAAAACGCCCTCATCCGATCCAGAAGCCAACATGTATGGCAATTTCCTATTGAACAGCGACAGAAAAAAGAACCGTATGGCAAGGTTAGTTGATGTAATGCACTAAGCGGTGCAGTACAGACGAGCACGTCAACAATGAAAACAAGAGAGAAAAAAGACGTACTTGTTCCAGCTGATGACATTGACATCAGAGTTGTGGACCTTGGCCTCGAGACCAGCACGCTTCTTGGACCGGATATCCCAGATCCTGACAGTCTGATCGGCCGAGCAAGAGGCAAAGACACCCTTCTCCGAGGGAGACCACTGCAAATCTTCAATCGAGCTCTGGTGGCCCACAAAGGGAACACGGTCGGGTGTCACAGCTCCTGTAGCGCAGTTCAGGGTTGTCATGTAGATCTTGCCGTTCAAATCTCCAGTCAACAAACGTCCAGGAACAGTCTCGGACCAGTCCATCGCAAAACCTTCGCACCGTCCGTGAGAATCGATGGTGTAGATGGGCTTCTTGGCAGATTCGGGAATGATAGCTCCGGGCTGGTCCAAAGCACGGATGTGAGAAGAGAGATCCCAGAGGTGAACCTTTCCAGTGTCGGCCCAAGTAGCAGCAACCTGCTGATCGCGCTGAGGCATTGCCTATATGTCATAAATGGAAGTATTTGTCAGCAAAAACGTTCTTTGTAATCCCGAAGCACAATCGAGCGATAAGAGCTGGTTTCTCTTTCAAGCCTTACCCTGACACGGTTGACGCCTCCAACGTGCTTCATGCTTTTGTACTCGAGGATAGGGTCTTCATCGACATCATCATCATCACTGTCATCATCACTCTGGTTGCCGTCGTCGTTCTTGGTCTTGGCGAGCTGAGACATCTTCATCACCAGAAGCTCGTTGTTGTTGGCCTGGTCGGCCTGGGTTCCTGTGACGACGTAGGTGGTGGCAGGGAAGGTGCAGCGCTCATCTCCCAATTGGTCCCAGAGAATATCGAAACTGAGGCAGGGCCATTTGACGTTCATGCTGTGCAACATCTCGTAGGCAGACTGATCTGCCTCTAACACCTCGTCCTTCTCCAGTGCCTGGCCGGGCAAGTACACACGGATATCCTTGTCCTCGTCCTCCTTGTCCTGATCCATTTCGATTTCGTTGTTGACCTGGTCCATATCCATATCTATCATTTATATTGAGAGGTAGTAAATTCCAGAAGAGAGAGAGAGGTCATCGATTGTCAGTCACCTGCTTGAGTTACCTCCTGCTTCAACCAGGAACCGCCTTCTGCGAAAACCATTGAACAAAGAAAAGAACATAACAAGTACATCACAACAATTGAGTTGTAATGTACTTCCAGGTGCATTATATATCTCCTTTGCCATACCTTCATCATCATCGTCGTCGTTCTCAATAATAACCTCCTGGTCAGACTCAACCTCGTCCTCCCAGGGATCCTCAAACTCTCCCATTCCTTCGTCCTCGACTGTCACACGGCTTCCGACATTGAAGGCCGACTTTGCCTCACGCATGTCCTCATCGTTGTCCTGAACTCTCTTTGACATTGTTGCTGTGTGTATTAAGTGGTTGGTGGTGGTGATGGCAGAGGGGGGAATTAGTGATGGTATACAAAGAAAGAAAGAAGAGGGCACAGGGCAAGAAAAAAAAGAAGGATGGAGCAGCTGCAGCAACTTTTTTTTTTTATTTTTATTGGACATAAAAACAGTGACTGTCAATTCCACTGTTAACACTATCTTTGTTTGCGACCTTCATTGGTTTACCTATCAAAAATGCGTTGAAGAGAAACGAAGGCGTTGCGTGTTGGTTAGTTGTCAGCATATCAAGGTCATTGAAAGCAACAACAAACCATCCTTCATGATGAAGAGAGTGGCTCGCTCAGAGAGAAGATTAGATAAAATCACCAAGGCCCGGCTGCAAGTCTCCTCCATCCACTTGACACTGTATGCCTTGTAAAAAAAGACAAGCAACCCCTTGACGGAGGTTACAAGCCCTCTACAAAACATCCTTGCCAAGTAGGAGAGAAGTTTGCTACACCAGGGCTCCTTTAAGAGTTTTTGTTATTCATGTATTATCGTCATCGCGAGTGTGTATGTGTATGTGTATGTTGTGGGTTGGACCTGGGGGAGTTTGAAGGGTGTTGCGCGTCAACAGCAGGTATGAACGTGTGTTAAAAAATGAATGATGAAGGAGGTTTGTTTTTACCTGCGGTGTTTTCCATTAGTAGAGAGGGCAGTTTCTCCAAGCTGACCAGCAAACTCCTCCTATACTTCAAGAAATGGTTAGGACGCGTTGGAAAGTGCAAAGAGTGAGTAAGAGGTAAGAAGATGAAAGGAATGGCAGTGGGAACTGAACCACCATCACTTTCACCTTACTCGGTTAGCGAGCCAGCCGCGCCTCAGTGAGCCAAGCCACTCGGCAAACAACGATCTCTTTTTTTCTTGTCCGACATCTCACACCCTCCACTCCCTTTTACTTCTTCTCTCACCACTGTCAACCAAACTCAACAAGCAAGCCATGGACTTTTCTCAGTTTAACGATGCCGAGCGCAACCACCTCCAGCGCGTCATGGAGCAGAAGCAGGTACACTTCAGGAAGCACAAACACATTCTTCTCTCTAGCCCCCCCCCCTGCGTCTATGTCATGCAGGAAGTGGCACAAGAGCCCTGCAGAGCGCCTTTTGGGACACTGGTTGAAAGCGGGGACATAGACGCCGTGGGACGTGTTTATGAACAAAACGCTGCCAAGTACATACCCAAAACACCCCCAATTGACAGCTTTCTAACCATCATCCTCTTCTTCCTTCTCTCTTTTAATCCTTCTGCCGCTATCACTGACCACCGCTTCCGGGATACAAAATGGGACAAATCAATTGGGACTCAATAACAACCACAACAACCCGACAAACCCACACGCCACTCCCCCAATATCTGATCAACAACAACCCATGACACAATAGATGAAGGACTTCTTGAAGTTGTACAGTGGATTGGTCGAGCGTTGCTTCACCGACTGCGTCAACGACTTTACTTCCAAGGCATTGACCACCAAGGAGGTAAGAAAAACTTTGAATTGCCCTTTTTTGGCTTATGGGACACACGTACACACGCAAAAAGTGGAGATCAAAACATGCCGGGATATAGTCAATTGCAATACTGAACAACCCTGCCCACCTTCAATCCGTCGTTTTGGACACCTTTCGCTCTATATCAAATAGGAGGGTTGCGTACAGAAGTGCGCTGACAAGTTCTTGAAGCACTCGGAGCGTGTCGGTCAAAGATTCGCCGAGGCCAACGCCGAGATGATGGGAGGAAGCAAGTAAAAAACGTATACAGTCAAGCCGTAAACAACAAAGCAGCAAAACCAACAATACAGGATTTTTTCTTCGCCAAGTGTATGTAATAAAATTATCGATAACCCTTTCAACACTTTCGTTAAACAGTGCAACAGACACACATTGGATACACATCAGGGTCACACACAAAGGATGATACGAGTTCATAGAGCGGGCGAGCCGACTGGTTGCAACATAATAAAGAGTTGGACGAAGCGAACTTGGACATGGTCAAGGAGAGAGAGAGAGAGAGAGAGAGAGAGAAAGACTGAGATAAGGGTTATGGCATCTTATATGGCAGCAAGGAAGAAATGAAGGGAAACAAAGCACTCGCGAATTGTTATTAGTGTGTAAAATCTCCTTCTATCCCACAGCGCAACAGTTCTCTAAAAGCGATCTATCCTCGGTGCCCAGAGTAACCTCCGTTGGCATTGATTTGCCGAAGGTACTCTGCTCCAGTGGTAGCCCCGACCGTGTTACTCGATCCAGTGACATACATGCTAGTAGTGTTCTTCCTGACAGAGGGGCTCGATCCGTTGCTCTGGCCATAATAAGGTCCAGAGCTCTTCATGTCACCACCTCCGCCACCTCCACCTCCACCTCCACTACCACTGACTGTCAACCGCCGAGAGGAAGCCGCAGACAATGAGCTCGAGGAGTGTGAGGTTGGGTTCGCATAGAGACTGGTATAATGCGATCCATACTTGCTACTACTACCAGATCCATCAAAGCTGGCATTGCTCTGATTGTACGCAGATCCTTGGCTCTGGTTCCCCTGGAAACTCTGGTTTGCGCCCGAGTACGAGATGCTGGCGCTGACATGTGCTCGAGTAGATCGCACAGATCCAAACGACGTCTCTGCCTCAGTCTTGACCTTCAAAGGTCGCGAAGAGACTGATGAAGATGGCTGACCCGAGAAACTATTATTGATAGAGAAATTAGACATGTTAGTGAAACATGCTTCAGGGTCAATGCATTCATCATCATTCACGCATAATAGAAAGGAGCGACATACATGGTGCTGCGACGTCTAGAAGTCGAGGAGCTGTTGCTGCTGACGCTGCTGTTCAAGGTGCTGTCAGCTGCAGAAGGAGGAGGGCTGAAGAGGGAGCGCACAGGAGTGCGAATGTCAGAGATCCACTCGTGCTGGAGTCCCTCGCGAGGTTTCATGCGCCTCTCAGGATCCCAGATGAGGCACTTCTGGAGAAAGTCCAGGAAAAGAGGGTCGCTGCACTTGAGGGCCTGCCCCAAGGTCTTGGATCCTGGTCTACGCTTCTTGCCCTTCGAGTTGACCACCAACTTGGGGCTTCCACCATGATCTATACGAAATTAAAGTTGTATTCATAAACTGTTAGCAAAGGTGCCATTTTTCGTGAACGAGAGCGTGAACATATATGCATTATCAAGTGTGAAAGACGCACCGAAAAAAACCTTCTTGCGAGAACTCTTCTCGATCAAGTAGCGGTCAGGGACACCCTGGGTCTCCATGATGCAGGACAATTGCTCCTGCTCGTTCTCTCCAGGGAAGAGAGGATATCCGGTGTAGAGCTCGGCAAGGATACATCCCAGGGACCACATGTCGATGGCCATGTTGTAAGACATGCCCAGAATGACTTCGGGGGAACGGTAGAAGCGGGATTGGATATAGGTGTACACCTTCTCATTCTCAAGACAACTGCTTCCGAAATCAATAACCTTGATGCTGGACTTTGTCGGGTGCTTAAGCAAAATATTCTAATGTGCGTGAAAACAGGCAAGCTGTGTTAGAAAAGCGTGTACATACAAGGCAGACGAAAAAGAACCAAAGTAGTGCATAGAGAAATGTTGTGTTTACCTCAGGTTTGAGATCACAATGAACGACGCTGTGCTTGCTGAGGAGGTCAAGCGTCTGCAAGAGCTGGGTGCAGAATCTAGAGTATTCAATGAGCACATCGTGAATGTCAGTCAAAGTACAACAGCAAAGTGGAGAAATATCACCTTCAAAACTGACTGGCAAAGAACATACCGCTTGATGAGACCAAGACTGAATCCTTGGAAGGAGTTGCTCTTGATGAATTCGTACAAGTTGATCGAGAGAAGTTCAGAGGCAATGCAAAGATGGTTGCGGAAGTAAAAGTGGTCCGTCATACGGATCAAGTTGTGCTTCGCCTCGGGGTCCTACAAATCACCAAGTAGCATCGACAGGCCGTATTAATTACAAGCAATAACCACTGTGCTCTCCATAACTGGTGGCACTAAAGCAACATTAACTAATGACTTACCCATTTGTTCAGGTTATCCAAGATCTTGACCTCGACGACAGCCTGGCAATGGAAACGCTTCTTGTTCCTAATAATCTTGATGGCAACGTACTCGCCCGTCTTGTGGTCGTAGCACTTGGCGACCTGACCAAAGGAACCCTTGCCGAGCATGTCCAAGATCTCGTAACGGTACATCAAATGGTCGTGGTTCACAATCAAGTAATCTCCCCGTTCATCATCATAGCCTACACATTATTGAAAGAGAAAAAACAATTAGTACTGCAGTGCATGATGAAAAGCAAAATGACGAGTGCGTAAAAGAGATAGGCTTACCAAAGTTGCTGTTGCTGGCTTCCACACTGGCAGGCTTCTTGTGACGACAGTTTTGTCCAACATAGTATACTTGAGGGTACTCGCCAATCTCAGCTCGCTCATACAAACTCAAGTAGGGTGCATAGAGCTTCAAGGCGGCATAGGGGGAAAGTGGAGGGAAGGGGCTGACGCCCGATGAGGTGGGTGCGCGAGGTGATTTTGGATCCAGACCGGGTCCAGCGGCGCCTTGACCATAGATGCTAGCGCTGGGCTGGGCGTGCTGACCACCTGAGGATCCGGATGGGTAGAGCTGAATGGGGTTCGAGATGTTTGTTGGGGCAGGTGCCTTGACCGTCTGGTAGTTCGAAGGCGATGATCTCGCCGTGGGGGTCTTCAACTCGCTTGTAGGAGTCTTCTTCAAGTCAGAGGGGCTGGGCAGTTGACCGGAGACGGTTGAAAGTCGAGCAGAGTTGGGGGCTGTTACTGATTTGGTGACCTTGGGTTTCATGGGTCCATCGTTCGCCGACGAACCACTGTTAGTAGCAATGCTAAGAGAGTCCACGACTGTCGAACGACGACGACTGAGACCACTCAGTAATCCACTCGAGAAACTCCTGGTCGTCTTTGGCTTGGCTGCATCAGCTTGAGCCGCCGCCGCAGTCTTGGACGAGTTTGAAGTGGGAGGGGTCGACAATCCAGAGAAGCTAGTGTCACCGCGCTGGGCCTTGATTTCATGACTCGAGGCTTCCACTGCCTGTACTCTCGCCTTGCTGGCCGCGTCTCTAGGAGTCACAGTGCCTCCGCGCGAAGCTCCGGAGGGACTGGGGATCATGGATCCTGCAGCGCGCGAAGCCATCGTGTTAGAGCTGTTTGTCGATCTCGAGGTAGTCGACATGTACATTGGTGGAAGGAGAGTCGGTGCTGGTTTGGCCTTGGGAGGATCCATTGCCGACAATGTCTATTTCATGATTTGTTGAACATAATAAGTGCCGTTAATAAAGAGACCCTCAATACGTACACAATGCCCATATGTCAACACGAATAAAGTATTACCTTTCCGCGTTTGCGAGTTGCAGCCTGAGTCTGCTGGGCACTTGCGCTCGAGAAAATGGACGTTCTCTCCTTGGCGTGCGACACCATCACGCCAACGTCCTTCATCCTTCCAATGCCGCCGCTCTCTTCCCTGTGGTGGCTGCTTCCGTTCGTGCGCACAGGTGCGTTGGGGATGTCGAAAATAATACTACGGCGGTGCGAAGCGTTGCTGGAAGGTGGCTGCCTTGGAGCGGCAACAGGTGCAGGTGGTGGCGGTGGTTCTGCCGTTGCAAGAATGACCTTTGGTGCAGGGGTCTCCTTCATGTCCATGACGCTCAAATGTTTGGTAATGTCAGCCACTGGAACTGGTATCGTATCAGCGGTCTGGGGGAGAGGGGTGCCAGACTTGCTACTGGGTGTTGATGAGACCGGCGAACGGTGAGGGTCGGCCCGTTGAACGATCGGCGCAGCTGTCTCGTCTGCAAGAATGACAGACTTTCGAAGAATCGATTGAAGTTCTCCAGAGTACTGTTGGGGCATTTGGGGTTGCTGGGGGGTCATGCCTGGGGTTTGAATACCAGAGCCGGAACTACCTGCAGGTGTCCGCGATCGGGAACGAGGGGGAGGTGTGGGGCGGCCTCGAAGGTCAGCTGTTGGGGTTGATGGAATACCGCTCCTGGATTTCGTTCTCAGCTGAGGGATACCACTGGGAAGATGGGGAGACGCAGCCCTCGAAATGGACTTTGTTGGCTGCCTCGGCTCCTCGTGATGGGCGCTACCGTTAGCGTTGCCAGCACTTCCGCTGTTCCCATTAACGCTGCTGTTGTTATTGACGACTGATCCTCCATTGCTGTTTCCATTGCTGGCGTTTTGGAAAGCCGCGTAGAAACTCTCCCGCTTGTGTTTCGCCCTAGTCTGATGATCACGCTGCTGGAGCTGCAATAAAAACTGTTCCTGTTCTCGCCAAGAATCACGGCGGTTGAGGCCAGACTCGTTTCCAGAAGATCCGTCAGCGGCAGTTCCCTGTGATTGAATCTCACCATAGGCCGATGACCGTGTAAGCATATCCATAGTGGGGACAGTTGGCGACGATGGGTACGGAGGGAGAGTGGGTTCAGAGGAGATGTTTTGACTGCTCGATTGTGATGAGCGAGCCTGTAACGTGCTGTAAGATTCAGATCGTCGGTACTGGTCCCGAGAAGGTGTCAAACTGTCGGAGGCGGTTTTCCTAGATGTCAAATTTCCGTAGCTAGAGTGATGTTTTGTCGATGGCCAATCCTGTGCGGGTGTGCTCGGGGATGATCGTTCAGCGACCTTGGGTGACGACTCCATAGGAAGAGTCAGGGGTATAGGCCCAGACGAGTAGGATTTACTCCTGTAGTGGGCATGAGGCGCAGGCGAAGGTGGAGCCTGCAGGATTGACTTTTGATACTGAACATGTTGTCCTGAGCTGCTCCTGCCTGAACTCACAGGGCTGGTCAAATTGGTGAGGGGTGAGCCGTCCGAGTTGGAAATGGACGAGGGTGTCATGGGTGACATGGGTAACTCGGACCTATGTATTTTTGTTCAGTCATAGCAAAGCGTGTGAGAATTAATAAACAGTTACGCACCATCAGCTCTCACAGACAATTTTTTTTTTTTTTTTTTTTTTTTTGACAACATGACAACTCCACGTCTTCGTAGCCGGATGATATCCAGTCGAAGGGGATGAGAGTGAGGAACGTGTTTCATCTGTTTGAGAACATCCATTAGTCCTACTCCAACGATGAGGCCCGATGGCTAGCTTACCCTGCGCTCTGACCACGATGGTGAGGAGAGGAGGATCCCTGCTGCTGGTGATGTTGCATCCTGTGCTGTGCTACGTCCATGGCGGGCTGTTGCTGGAGAAACTGCTGTTGATAGTACTGCTGTCTGAACGCGTCCTCCTGCTGGTACTGTTGTTGCTGGTCGTAGTGAGGCAAGCTCTGGTTGTATTGAAGCTCCTGTTCGTGGAAGCTGAGACGAGAGGAAGAAGACTTCTTGGGACTAGGGTCGTGCTGCTGCTGCTGTTGCTGTTGTTGTTGTTGTTGTTGCTGTTGCTGTTGCTGCAATTGGTGCTGGTGGTCCGAATTCTGCGACTGGATCCACGAATTGGGTACTTGAGGGATGATGGCTCCGATGGACTGACGAGACTTTGCTGGCAGCGATTTGCGGTAGTTGTCCTTGGACTCTGTGTTGTATTCTTTGTGGGAGTTGAATATAGGGTGAGGAATGAAGAAGAAGAATACAAAATGGAAAAGGGATGATCAGCACGGTATTGGTTTATGCATTGTGGAGTGTGGAGTGTGGAGCGGGATAGGAGTGGGAAAGGAGGCGATGACTGATAATAATAGTGTGCGAGATTCGGACAAGTGTTCCCCTGTTTCAAGAGACTTTAGAATGCTGAAAAAAATGAATGAAGGTTGTTGTGCCAAAGAACACAACCAGGAAGCAATCGACCCCTTTGTCCGGAGTTGTCTCTGTTCTTATCGTGGAGTCGTAAACCAACAATGAATTGGCGGCTGTAAAAAAAAAATGCGAGCCGACATATGCTAGTCGCATGGCACAAAATAAAAAAGATCGCAAGGTGGGTGGCCAGGGGGGGAATGGTGGGAGGAAAGGAGAGGAAGCAAGAGAACATAACGAGGAACGAGATGAAAGGACGGTGGTGGATAATGGCATGATGGATGAAACGGGACCCTTAGGCGCCCAGTTGGTGTTTTTCACTCCCTGCCAGATGTTTGTATTGTCCTTCCAGTTATCGAATGTTCGGTTGCTGACCATAGTCAGCTCCTTTCCCTGTCTTGTTGCTGTTGCGTTGGTGTGGTTTGATGGTCGAGTCGAGTTGGGTGTCAGTGAACACCGATTGTGCCATCATAGGCGCACAAGACAACAAAGAGAGTGACAGTTCAATCTATGCACGCTCAGTAGTTGTTGTTGTTTCTGTTGCTGCTCACTCGCCTTTCTCTTTCGAATTGCGCACAATCCCCTCGCTTTGTTGCTTTTCTTGATGTTGGCGTAAGGTAAGATGAGGGGGTGGGTGTAGGTGTTATGATGAAAGGAGCAATGAGGGTTATATCAGCTGCCCACATTGTTCTTTTCTCCAAGAAAGAAGAGTCGTAACGTAACCCTCTTTCAAAGTTCTTGTCTTCTTGTCTACTTGTCTGCATGCTTGTCTGTGTTGTGTCGATTGTTTGTTGTCTGTCCTTTGAGTGTTCTTGCACCACCACCGTGATCACTTCTCTGTCCGAGAGATAGATATATTTCGACGGGCCGTGATTCGTTCGTTCGTTTTTTTTTGTTTGGGAAAGAGACGCCAAAGGGGATTGAGTAATAGAGAAAACGAGGGTCGCTGTCCTCCTTTGCCTCCCTTTGTCTCACAGCCATTCTCCCATAAACAGACACCGCCTCCAGTGAACACCACTCGATCCAAGTAATTGAAGTACCAGTGAGACTCGACCATGCTTTTGATCAAGGAACAAGATGAAGAAGCACTAAGCACTTACGGGAGTAGTACAACGACCCATCCGGTCCAGACGCCGACGAAGGTGACGAGCCATGACCTGCACCGTCGACGCCAAACTCGTGTGCAGCTAAACTCTTGGGCCTCCTGCTTTTGGGGGTCACTGTCAAACTGGGTGTGGTTGAACTCGAGAGAACATTGTTGCCACTGTTACTGTTATTATTGCTGTTACTGATAGGGTAGGACGGCAGGTGAGTCGGTGTGTTGTTGACAAACAAAGGTGGAGAAGAGGAGACAGGATCCTGTTGATACTGCGATACAGGACGACTCCTATGTCCCTGTGATACTGCTTCCCGGTCGCGCTCTCCTCCCCCTCCTCCTCCTCCTCCTCCTCCTCCTCCGCCTCGTGCTCGAGGAATCGAACCCATTGCTCCTGTTGCACCTCCGTTATAATACTGTTGTTGTTGTTGCTGCTGCTGCTCAGTTATTGTCGTCGCTGGTGTTGGTCCCGAGGATTGATAGTACTGGTTGATGTTGTTGTTGTTGTTGTCACCAGAGTAATAACCGTTGCGGCTATGGCCATTGGTCGTTGGAGGTGAGGCATAAGGAGGAGGAGAAGGTGGGACGAACTTTGAGGAACCATTGATAGGCGCTGTCATGATGGGTGGTGGAGAATAAGCATCGAACTCTCTAACGGGGATCTTGCGCAAGGGTGGTGGACGAGGTTTGGGCGACGACAGCAAGTGCTGTTGGGTGCTGGCAGAATCCAGGTCCAGCCTGGAGCCCTGCTGTTGTTGTTGTTGATGGTATTGTTGCTGTTGTTGTTGTTGTTGTTGTTGTTGTTGTTGTTGTTGCTGCAAGACTGGCTGTTGCTGAGGCTGTGGGGTAGCCTTTGGGGCGATGAACGACTTTCTCCTTGAGAAGAAGGAGGACATTGTGTTTGTGTGTGTGTGGGTGGAGTATGATGCTACTTGGCGGTATTAAATAAAATAAGGAAACGGATTCTTCAAAAGTGAGACTTTGACAGGGCTTTTTTTTTTTTGGCTGCCGGGGATGGGAAAGGGTAGAGTAGGGTAGAGTGGGGTGGGATTACAGGCAAGAGAGTCCTCGGGCTAGAAAGTAATAGTAGAAATAAAGAAGGAGGAGGAGGAGGAAGGGGAGTAAAAGAAGAAGAAGAGGAAAAGAAGAAGATGATGATGAGGGATGATTGTCGGAGAGGAGGGATGATGATGGGAGGAAGAAAGGGATGGGAAGGAGAAGAGGGAGAGAGAGGGAGAGAGAGAGAGAGAGAGAGGGAGAGAGAGGGAGAGAAAGAGAAAGAGGAAGACTGAGCGACAACAATAACTCAGAGCGGGAGTGAGCAGCAACAAAGGAAAATGAAAAAAAAAAAAAGAGAAACGCTTATTTCACTTTGATTTTGAATTATTGGCACTTTCCATTTCATACATCCCATCCCTCACGATGGCAATCGACAAACAATTACCGCTTATCGTTTTTTTCTTTTATTACAAATGGGAGAGAGACGTTGCGTTTTGTGCTTTGCATGATCGTGTCTGTCTGTCTGTCTGTTGTTATTGTTGCTGCTTCCTGCTTGAATGCCTTTTAATGTGCCTTGTGCTCGTGTTCCCTTTCTCTTTCCGACCCCTGGATGAAACGCAGAAAGAAATAAAAAAAATATAAAGTCGTGAGAGCACTCTCTCGTCTCGGACGAGGACGAGGCCATGGATGATGATGATGATGATGATGATGCTATCGATGGATGGCTCTCGTTCCCTTCCTTCTCCCTCTCTCACTCACTCACTCTCTCTCTCTCTCTCTCTCTCTCTCTCTCTCGCACGCTGCACTCTTCCATACACACCCTTAACTCCCAAGCTGCATGTCCGCACCATCCGCATCGTCGTTCATCGTTGTCCCTGTCGCCGTCGTCAAACGTCCGACGGACTTTTTCATACCTGAAAGGTATCCAATGCAATGTCGCTCGGATTGAGAGCCACCATGTGCCGGGAAGCAGGGAGCAAGAGGGGAAGAAGGGGAGGGAGCCAAAAGGTATGATATGAAAAAGCTCTCTCCCATCCCATCCCTCATCTTCGCATGCCTTTTCCGCCACACTCGATCACAAAAAAAAAAAAAAAATTCTCGCCTTGTCCCATCAAACCCCTTCCTATGGACCTCCTCTCCTTCCGTCCTCCTTCTCTCTCCTTCATCCTCTCCCCCTCTTCTTACTGTTCCCATTCTCAAAAATACAACTCACTCCCCTATGGGCTCATTAAATGACTGTTGGTTTGCTGGGAAGAAAAGGGGAGAAAGTGACAGAGAGACAGAGAGGGAAAAACCTCTTCCATTATTTTTACTACTACAACTTCATTCCAGAGATATCAGCCTCCAATTCTTTCGTCCCTGCCGCCTTGGCCTCCCGCAAGACTACCATCCTCCCTTCCAGTTCGCTTAGTCTCTGTCGGATCATAGCCATCTCCACCACATCCTGCAAACCTATAAACCACCACGGTAACAAAAAGAATATTCATATGTCAAAATGCGTGTTATTCTAGATCTTGCGAAAAAAAAAGCAGGGAGGATGGCTTGGTCGTAGACACAGACACATTTAGACATATATGCACACACACGCGACGATGCAATCCTACTAATTATTTTACCTTGTTGAAAAACCGTTTGAGCACTTCGAAGAGACCCCGGAACAAATACGCCAAACCACAGCAACGGGTCGGGGTTGCGCTCCTTCTTCTTCTTTTTCGTCTTGGTCACTTCATCATCATCACCACCACCGGCAGCCGTCGTTCCTGAACTCGTAGGATCAATCGTCGCCATGCCAGCCGTAGGAGCCACTGACGATGACGCGTCCTCCGATCCTACTCCTCCGCCACGTCTTCTCAATCCAGACTGACCCGGTTTCTGCTCCTGATCATCATACCCTGTCCCGCTCCTCTGTTGTCGGTGACTGTCCGAGTCCTTCTCTGCTGCTTTTGACTCTTCTTCCTGAACCTCCTGAAGTCTCTGTCGTTCAACCTCCTCTGCCCGCAAGTCGCGGATCTCGATCTCTGTCAACCTATCCTTGATCAACCTACAATCGAAATTGGGGCCACAAGGGAGGGGGGGTATTAATTATCGGCGAAATGATAAATTTCGCCATTTTCTCCTCTTCCAAAATGTCATTGTCCAAAACGTATTTTTGTACTTGCTGATCATGGGGTAAGCAAAAAGCACAACCCTCCTTTTTCACCTCATCTTCTCCATAAAAATTATAAAAAGCAAAAAAAAACTTACACGCCTCGAAGAGCCTTCATCCGATGATCATAGCAATCCGCAGACACGTTCTTGGGCCCCATAATGTACTTTGCCTGCGAGATCAACTCGCGTCCCTAAAATGAAATAATATAATGGTCAAAAAAAAAATATAACCACAAGCGTGTGGGGGGGGGGGGGGGGGGATGCGTTGTTAAAATCACAAAAAAAGATACTTCTTGACAATGATGAAAGAGCAAAATTCGTGTCAATTGAAGAGGATAGTAAAGTGGTGGGTGTTCATGTTTTTTACCTCTTGGAAGCGGGTAGAGATGCGAGTCCAGGCGGTGAGATGCTCGTTGACGAGAGCAATGTACTCGAGGACTAGGTCGTCCAGGTCTTGACAGACTTTGTTGTGTACTTGTTGTTGGACTCCTGTCACGTCTGGCATATTTTTATGTGTTTCTTTGTTTTCCTTTGTGGTGGGTTGGTTGTGTTGATGGTGTGTGCCAGCTGTTATGAATGAATGAATGTGTCAAGGAAGAAAGGGATGGGGGTTGTAAAGCAGGGTGTGAACGAAAAGTCGACCGAGCGAACCAAAAAGAAGACAGGGGTCAAGTAAGGAAAACGCAGTCGCGCTCCCTTGATCATTTTATTTTCGAGGGCAGGATATCAAAATAAAGACATCTACAGCTTAGGAGTAACAACAACACCATTGATACGACGCCCCTCCGCAAGGACATCCTTCAGGACCTCATCAAACCCAAGCACTCCACCCTGACTGCCCTTCTCCATAATCGACATCCCGTACTTGGCCCACTCATACAACGATTCATACACCCGTCCATCATACCGCCCAATCGCGCTGTTCAACTGGTTATCCGACAGATCGTACGCGTCTACAAGTCCAATAATCTCATACCTCAACCCATCAATCAACACATCCCGACGCTCACGCAACCACACCACCTGGCGTCTCGAAACATATCCATCCTCCGTGAAATCGCCCGCCTGCTCCAACAGACGGTGGATCGCGTGCAGCTCTGCAAGCTGCTTCAGCACTGGTAAGAAACCCTTGCTGGGGTCCTGACCCTTGGACACAATAGTCTGCTCCTCCTTGGCAAGGGCCTCGAAAAAGTTGCGGACCAGCATACCCTCACCATGGGTTCTGGAGAGCTCAACCATACGCACCTGGGATTTTGCCATTGCCTCCTCGCCGGACCCGTCCTTGAGGATACGGGTGACGACCTCCTGGAGAACACGGGCCTCGCGGTGCCAGAAGGCCGCAACAAGGGTCTCGCCGCTGACGGGCTGACCGGGGACGATGGTGGCACGTTCTTGCTCGAGAGCGTTGGCGTCCTGGAGGGCGAGTCTCAATCCGGCGGGGACGGCAGATAGATCCTTGGTCTTCAAAGCCGCCAAGATGGTCTTGAGCAACCAGCGCGACGTCTGAAGATGAAGAATCGTGTTTTCACCTAGTAAGTAATAGAAACAAGTACAGGAGTAAGATTAATACCATTTGTTTATAACCAAGAATTTCATCCGCAGTCTTATCATACAAGATATAACATACCTTCGACGGTGACATCCTGGAGGGTAGTGGTCAAGATGTCCACAATACCACCGCACCACGAGTAACCATGCCCACCACAGGCACGACGAGCATCCTCCATATGGGCGGTCGCAAGATCCGAGGTCAATGCCTTGAGTCCCGAAGAGGTCGCATGAACTTCAGCCATGAGTCCAACCTCACCCTGGATGACATTCTCCAAGTTACGACGATGCATCTCAAACATGACCCGACCCGTCATCAACATGGCATAGCTGAGCGCCAACGAGGTCGTCAAGCGGAACCTCTGCATCCCATGATCAATAATCTTGATCTCCTCACCCTTATGAGAAGGGATCCGGTCTCCACCCTGAAGACGAACCATCGAGTACCGGATCGCAATCGTCAAAGCCTGACCGAGTGCAAAACCGGCATTACGAACAATGTTGGCACGGATGGCCACCATGGTCGAGTAGTTCATCTTGGCGTTCTTGGCAGGCTCGTACTTGCCATCGCGTGTGACCTTGGAGTTGCGCATCATCATCTGCGAGCGTGGGATACGAACATTGTGGACACGGAGGAATCCATTGTCGATGGTGTTGAAGCCAATCTTGTTGCCCAGGTTACCCAACTCGATGCCCGCCATAGGGTCATGAGTGCCGGGGGCACGGATCTGGAGTAGGAAGGGATGGACGCCATAGTCCTTGCCGTGAAGGATCAGACGGGCGTAGATGGCACAGTGGGTGCTGGACTGGGCCAGGGCGCCAGGCCACCACTTCATGGAGTTGATGGTGGGGGTGTTGATCTCAAACTCGTCCGTCTCGGGGATGAATGTGGCGGTTGTCTCCAACTTGCGCAAGTTGCTTCCATGGGCCAACTCTGTCTGCGCGTAACTGTTTGATATGAACAAAAAAAAAAAAAAGGCAGGGGCAAACTGAGTTTTAGTCCAAACTGTGGGTTATGATTTCTTCGGCTCAAGAGACAAACATTTATCGAACTGTGAACCGTGGGATAAGTAACTTTCTTTACCATCCAAAGATCTCGTAATTCTCCGCCCTAAACGTCAAAGTGCAAAAAAACGGAAGGAACCTGATTAGCCGATGAAAAAAAAATAAAACTTCGATCGTTTCCGAAACTGTGTTAAACAAACGAATGGAATGGATACGTTACTTGGGGAGCCAGATCTTTTGCTGCTCATCCGACAGCTGCGTCCTCAAAGTAGGAATGAACAATGCCTCATGCTACAACATATCAAGTCAATTGGTGGCAAAAAAAAGGGGGAGTCAATTACTGACAAACAGAACGATTCAATCAATCGGGAAACACCCCCCCATTGGCAAATCACATCAATTGACAAAAAACAAAAAATTACCAAGAACTGGGGAGTAGAATCTCCAAGCATACGCATAGCGACCATCATATCCTCCTCACTCCATCCATTCCTCTTCCTCATCTCCACCAACTTTGCTGCCTTCTCAAGCGAACGGACATACATCTTTTCGCGGCTCAGGAAGGGCTTATCGGCATTGGAAAAGACTGGGTCTGACTCGAGGAGGGTTCGGATCCGGCGTTGGGGTTCCAGGATCGAGCCGTGAAGGAATTGAGTGAGAGACTCGACGGGGAAGGAGACGAGTGCGCGCTCGGAGGACAGGGCGGGGACTGTCTTGGAAGGGTCATAGAGTGGGGGGATGAATGGAGGCATGGTGGGTGGTTGATGGTTGTGGGGTGGTGTAGTTTGATGAAGGGAATGAGGAGAGTAAAGGAGACAGGAAGAGAAAGAAAAGGTGATGCAGAGGACAAGAGCAAATGGGAAAGAGGAAAGAGATGAGATGGACTACTTCTAATGAGTGAAGGAAGAGGAGAAAAAGAGCAGGAAGGAGGACGTTATGAAGAAGGAGAGCAGTTCACACACTGTCCCCGACTAGGGTTGGATTGGATTGGCTGCGAATTGGGTCGGCGGTCCCTGTCACTGCTCTTCTTTCTCTTCTCTCCACAGTCCACACACCCTACCCCGGCTGCCCAAACCAAAAAAAAAAAAAAAAAAGCGATCACATCGAACAACTTGTTTGTGCACCCACCGACCTGAATTAACTCGATCGGAGTACTCCGATGCGCCCTCCCCTTTGCCGGTCGCACCGTTGACTGGGCCAGATCATCGCAGCACCGATAGCCCTTCTCCTTACCATGGCAGCCCATGGACCACATTTTTTGCACCCAAACCCACCTTCGGCTAATTACTGTCCAACGTGTCTTACTCTTCTATACATCTACACATTCTATGCAATGATTACATGTTTGAAAGAACAAGTTTCTTTTGTTTGTTACTTTGCCAATAGATGAGGGGGGAGGGTATCGAATTGAATGCAAAGATATCCGATGGCAACTCCTATCCTGTCCGTCCTTTCTTTCCTCGTTTCTCTCTCGCTCTCTCTCCTTCATGTATTCGGCGACATCTTGTTTTCTAGAGTCCCTTGTTGCAGTTGTCGACAGCATCAAGAACAGCCTTAGTGATATCGAGCGGCAACTTTATCTCCGAAGGCAAGAACGAAGCGAACATGTTGACAGTGTCGACAAGACTCTTGAGCGAGCTCACCGCATCCGACGCTCCCGAGATTAACTTGTCGATCGTACCCTCCAACGTCTTCAGGACGCCGCCGAGCAGTGCTGACACTATATGATACATTCCAAAAAAAAAAAAAAAAAAAAAAAAAAAAGAGAAGAGCTATTAGTGATTCTGCCATTCGTGTCTTTCAATCGACAACCCCTCGAGTGTAACAAACAAAAAAATAAAAAGAAAAATAACATACCTATGGTTCCCATGCCAGCAACTTGATCCTGGATCAACGGTAAGGCAGCCTTGAGCACATATCCCAGAATAGTCAACAATCCACTACAGCTCTTGGGCGCTCCCATGCAGGTAGCAACACCCTGGGCAGCCTTTGCAACCGTTCCAAAGACGTTCAAGGCCGTGTCGATGAGTCCGTCGATACCGGGTACAAGATCCGCAATCGGCTGCTTGAAGACCTTTGCAATCGCCACCAATTGAGCCAGAGCGGACGCGGCAGTTGAGGCAAAGGTGCCAACATCCGTGAGCGCGTTATCGACGACACCCTCTAGGCCGGTCAGGGCGTCAATCACGGGCGAGATGAGGGTCTTGAGGGGTTCGGGGATCATGGGGATAAAGCCTGTGATGGTGTCAAAGGCCGTGTTGAGGACACCCTTGAACGTGTTGACGATGATTTCGCACAACGATCCCGCTGTAGTGATGGCTGCCACGTCTTCTGTAATGGCGGCAGGGGTGGTTACAACAGGGGTTGTTGTTGTTGTAGTAGTGGTTAAAGGCTTAATATTCTCATCTTCAACAACAACCGCGGTCGCCGTGGTAGTAGGTGACACCTCAGTCGTTGTCGCCTCATCCGAGGTTGTGGTTGTCTCGGCTGTGGTAGTAGTCGTCACCGCTGGAGTAGTAGTGGTTGTGGTCGTGGTTGTGGTCTTGATACGTTCTTCCGTTTCCTCGTCAGGAGTCTTGGTGGCGGTAGGAGTAGTCTCGGTAGTAGGGTCGCCGGTGACGGCAGAAGTGATAGTAGTGATTATGGCTATCTTTTCCGTAGGTTCGCCGTGGAGGTGGTGGTAGTGATAATGTGAGCATCGGGGGTGGTGAAGTCTGGATTAAGACCATCTGTACATCCACCTTTCTTGCAACCGTCAGAGCAAGCGCCATCCATTGTAGGGACTGCGCCGGGATGGGTACAGATGTAGACGGCGTTCGACTTAAAGTCACAACCAAAGAGCTCGTAGCCGCAGACATTGCCGGACGAGGTGCAGAGACCGGCCCAGGAGTGGCCCTTCTTCTTACCCTTGTCGCCGTCTTTGTCGTGCTTGTAACCATACTTGCCTCCCTTGTGGTGGTGATATTTATGGTTGTTGTTGCACTTCTGGGCACCGTCACCACCGGCAAGGATCTCATCGTCGTTTTCGGCCATGTCATCCTCGTCATCGTCATCGGCGGAGCCACCAACAGGCTCGTCCATCACATCAGTCTCCTCGGTGTCATCAACAGTATGGATAGGCAGCATCGGTTTTGCCTTGGACGGCAATACTATCACCAAGACTGGGGCCAGAGCCGCACTTCTCGGGGGGTTTTGTGGCAGGGGACGGGCATTTGGACGTATCGCTGGGAGACGACGGTGCATTTCTTCTTGGAGCCCCCGTTGTTGGTTGCCTCGAAACCAGGAGCAGCAGCGTCACTGGACTCGGCCAACAATAGGATGGGCTCTGTGGGGCAGGTGATGGTGTCGACGATGATGTTGGTCGCAGACAAGGTCGATCTGTTCGCCTGTTTTGTTGGTTAATTTTTTTTTTTTGGTGGCAACACAACATCCCAAAAAAACAAAGCTCGTATGATTAGTTGTTGCTCTGGAATGTATGCAGTGCACATGCAGAAAAGAAATAGCAAACAAATACAAACAAACAAACAAACAAAAAGGAAACTTACAGAACTCTGGCTCTGGCTTAGGATGTGGCCTCTTGTGGTGGTGCTTCCCAAGATGGTGGTGGTGTCCGTGGTGACCATGGTGCCCGTGATGATAATGTCCATGGCGATCGTTGTTGCCAGCCTCGAACTCAGCAGGCTTCTCAGCGCGATTGGCATCCATAGGTTGGTTGCTGCTGTTGTTGGGTCTTGTTGGCCTCTGTTTGTTGAATCAGGCCCACGCATGTTGCGAGCGCGAGGATCGCAATCGTGGGTACCGGCAGCTTCATCCTTGTAGCTTATGCTCTGGTGGTTCGAATGAAAAAAGGAAGAGGAGAGGGGGGGGGGGGGGGGGGGGGGTAAAAAAAATGGAATAAAATCTAGTTGACGAACTCGTTCTTTAGATGATGTGAGAGAGACGTATGTACAAGAGCGAGAAGAGGGAGATTCATCGTGTAGTGTATATGAGAGAGGAGCTATAAGCAAGTTGGAAGGGTAGAAAGAAGAAGAAAACGAAAAATGAATGAGGGACCTGATAAACAAAAATGTTGAGATCAAAGATCGCGTCAAAGAAAAATAAGAAATGATATCCTTATAGAGAAGAGTAAGGGGTTGAGTATAAATGAAGTGAATGGATAGATAGAGGACTTGGGAATCGGGGAAGGAGGTGAGTGAGCATGCTAGCTAGAAGATATGTGAGTATGTGTGTCCCTTTTTTGTTTGTTTGTTTGTTTGTTTGTTCGTTTCCTCCCCTTTTTTTCTTTTCCTCAAAGAGGGGAGGGAAGGGGGAAGGAATAGAGCAATGCATGAATGTATGAAATATGAATAAATGCGCAATGCCTTATGGACCCTCCTCTTCCCTCTCCTTGAGTCTGTGGATAGGACTCATAATCCATCTGTATTCTTCTTCTCCATTTTTCCTTTTCTCTCTATCTCTTATACTTCTTCCATAGTCGCCCCCCTACGGGCGTGGATGAACAAGGCAATCATAGTCCAATAACACCACCAACATCAGCTGGCCCAGAAGTACAAAGGCAAACCACCGCGTTGTTCGCCCTTTCCTATGGCAGCTTACGCGACAATCACCCACACATGGCATGGAACTTCAAAATGCGATAGAATTTAATTATGTTTTTTTTTGTACAATGAATGACAGGAATGCTACTTCTACACGGTCAAGGCAATGGCAATGGAGACCATGGCTATTGTCACTGCGGCCCAGGAGGATCCTACTTGTCTTTGACCAGCATTGCCCAAAACAGTACCGCCAGGAACTGGGTCCCCAGATAGACCTTCTGTTCCAAGTGCAGGGTCCGTGACATTAACAGGTGCAAGTCCAATCCTGATTGCACCAGGGGTAAAGTCGTACACGGCGTAGACCTGTCGGAGGAATGGGTCGCCGAGGATGAACATGTTGTAGTTGCGAAGGGGCATGATGAGAGAGACGCAGGTGGTGGCCTTGAGGTCACTCGTGCCGACATAGTCCGAGTAGGGGACCGAATACCTGACTCCATTGAACGAGACACCAAAGGTGGTGTTGCCCTTGCAGGGGAGAGTGTAGGCCTGGCTGGTCTCTGAATAGTTGGCGCCCGGGATCGTGGCATGGAAGGCCGTGGCGAAGGAGGCAGGGACGGCAATGAAGGAGGTACCGGTGTCAAAGAGCCAAGGAGATGGGGTGTAGCCCTCAACCTCGGCATCTCCTACATAGGCCTTGTCGCCGGTGAGGTACCACATTCCCTTGCTGATGCTAAACCCGGTGGAAATTGGGACCTGGTTCAAGGAACCAATGAATTTTGTGTTGTCGATGCCTCCGAACAAGAACGATCCACCTTGCTTTGAGACCAGGGATGGCGAAAGATAGACAGAAAAGACGTTCATGTCGAGCAACTTGTCCTTGTAGATGGTCTGGAGTGGCGGGATCGCGTTGAGGACTGGAGAGCTAGGCATGAGACCAACCAGGCCGGCGATACCTGTACCATATGCGGACAGGTCGAGGGCGTTCTGGGTGACATCCAAGATCTGTTGGTTCTGAATCACAAGACCTCCGATAGCGACACGATCGGCCACAATGGGGCCGGCACCCCATGTGCCGTCGCCGTAGGTGATGTTATATGAAAAAGGAGTCTTTGAGCAAGTGTTGCAGGTGTAATGGGGCATGTCGGCACAGTGCGTGCCCTCGCATTTGTCGGAGGTGATAACAATCATGTCAGAGCCGGTGTCAAAGACGACCTCAAAAGACTGGGGAGGGTTTCCGAGGACGATGGTTCCAGTGTAGCCGAGGTTTTTAGCATTGGAGATGACTGAGTTTCCTAGGTACTTGGCCTGGAAGCCAGGACCACCGCCTGGTCGGGCAGGAACTGAGGCAGCATTGCCTTTGCTGACGGGGACTTCGTAGACGGCAGCATGTGCTGTTGAGGATGCAGGTGAGAAGGAAGAGATAAGGAGGGTGTTGAGGATGACAAGGAGGGAGAGAAGGAGTGGGCTATAGCGAGATGGGCGCTGACGAGACCGATATAACGATGATGATGATGCTGTTGTTGCTGTTGTTGTCAGGGGTGTGCGTGGCAGCATGGCGTCGTTGTTGGGATATGATTCTGATGTGATACTACTGGAGTCGTTCCTGTTGCGGTTGGACCACATTAACGAGGTCGTACTGTAGGTGGCAACAAAGGGGGCAAAGAAAAAATATTGTCCACGGGTCAAAAGGAAGGAAAAAAAGGGGGAAAGTCGGCAAGCAGGAGGATCTGTTGTAAAGTGTTGCTGGGGTTGTTGGTAGATGTCAATGGGAAAACTAGGGCTGAATGTGTGTATGTGAATGAGTGATGAATGCAGAGAAGGGTTGATGCAAGAAGAAGGAGAAGGAGAAAGAGAAAGAGAAAGAAAGGAGAGGATACCAGAAAAGTATTGTACGGGCTAGAAAAGGGTGGTTATTAATATCTATATAGCGCCAGTTGAGCGTAGCAATAGCAATAGGAATTTACGTTTGTTTTTTTGAGAGCGTCTCGCTGTTGATCCGTTATGATATGGTGTGGAAGACGAGAAAGGTATGATTTTGAGCGTAGAGAGCGGGAGAGTGAGTGTATGTGTATGATGAGGGTGAATGGAGAGTGCAGTTGAGCAAAATAACGGATGAACTTGGAGTTGAATGGAGGAGAGAAGAAGCGGGAGTAAGAAGGAATAGAGAATAAAGAGGAGAGATACAAAAAGGGTGTGTGTGGACCAGACACTAGTGTAAGCAAAAGAAGAGTGAATGGTGGCGACTGTGGCGATGGTTGGAGAAGGGAGAAGGAGGAGGTGCGGAAGAAGGAGGAAGGAGCGAGAGAAGTGAGAGGCTGATAAGAAAAAAAGACAGAGTGGTGCTCAGGAACAACGTTGATCAACAGCCTATTAGAAAAAGAGCGACAGGGATAGGGGTGATGGTATGTTGAAAAAGGGAAAGACTGTTAAATAAAGAAACACAACAGCCACAGTCCAAAAGGGAAAAACGAACGGCCGGACAGGCTCAATGAACTGGATTGAACGACACATGGGGAACATGGAAGAAAGTGAGTTCATGTATCATTGCCTGCACACACGCGTGGTCATTTCTCATCTTCTTCCTCTTCCTCTTCCTCTTCCTCTTCCTCTTCTCCTTCTTCTTCTTCTTCTTCTTGGTCGCAGTAAATATCATTAGTGCGCTCCCCCTTTCACCCTTTTTCTTTCTTTCCCTTCCCCTTGGCCATTGGCAACAAACGTCATGACAAGCGCCAAGCATTCGATCTTTCTTTTTAGAGGGAAAAGAAGGGGTCATGAATAATACAAATGAATGAATGAATGGCTCCTGCATGGTGCAACCTTGTTCCTGCCATCAATTGAAAGCCAATTGATACCCAGTGAACGAGAGAGAAAGAGAGTGAGCGAGTGGATCCCTGTTCTGCTATACTTTTCGGAGATTATTTTTACAACAACTGGCTTGTCTTCCAAGGTGAGTCGAGACTTACCCTTTCATCCATCCTCATTGTATGGGTAAACTTATCTATCCAGCTAAACAACTTGAGCATGGATCACCATCTGGACTATCATCGCCGTCATTTCTCTTCTGGGCTGTGAAGCAAGAACAGCAGCACGCGTTGTTGTCTCCACAAACTGTGGCAACTACGAAACACTACTTTTCCTCCATTTTGCCGAAAAACCATAGTCGTTTTCTAGGAACACGTCCACCCCAACCTACTGTGGCAACTTTCCTTCTCGCCCTTGTTGTTACACACAGCTGAAAAAGTAACACCTGGGACAAAAGAGGAGGTCATTTTGGCGTGGTACCTTTTGGACTCCCCTTGTTTTCACTCCCACACTCTCACTCTCTCCCAAACACTCAAGTTCGGTGTCGTGTTACACATTCTTATCCCTGTGGGGAAAAGAAGAGACGAAATTAGATGCAACCTGAACACTCACAAAGTGAATAGGGATGACCACATCCGAAATAGAGCGTGCGAACAAAAAACAAACACAACCAAAAGAAGGAAACACGGGCTGCAAGCGCGACCGAAACTTCTTGTCTCTCCCCTCAATTGCCTCCTCTTTCTTTTCTCTTCCCTTTCTCCCTCTTCCCATCTCAACAATTCATCTGTTTCTTTCCTCAATCCTCCAAAAGCACATCCGCAATCACCACTACCCCTTTCTATCCACCTTACCACAACAGCACCACCACGGACAGGCGAAGGATACAAGCAAAATGGCAACAATCCCTCTAGGATTAGGACTCGCCACCGCCAGTCACCTCTACCTCTGTCACAGGAACCTCCTCCAATCAGAACAAGAACGACAGCACCATGCGGAGCTATCAGAACGCTGTGAACTCGACTTGCTGCTCCATTCTCTTTCAGGAAAAGCCCTCTTCTCAGAACTCATCGATCTTCTCGATTCGACCCTCCACTCTCATTCTGACAGTGACGGCAACAAAGGCAATGATGACGATTTTGGGAGCATGAGCTGCGCTGGCTTCAAGAAGAAGAAGAAGAGTAGTCGTCCTGGTCACCGTCATCGACGCTACCACTTACAACAGGAGCAGGAAGAGCGGGAACAGCAGGAGCAGATGGCGCCAAGGTCATGGCCATTGCTGCTGTCGTCATCGACGGTTAAGATCGCAGAAGGAACAGGAGCAACTAGTGGCGAAAGAGACGCTAATACCATTAACATCGACAAGCAGCTACAACAACCACAACTGCAACCACAACAACAACAAAACACATCGCCTGATCTTAGTTCCAGAGACAGGATCTCAAGGAATGCAGCTGCTGCTGTTGCTTCGTCTCAATGCCAACCACCATCATCACTGTTACCGTCGTTGCAGACCCATGCTATCCTCCACGGTACATACTCCCACGCCTTCACTTTGTTTATTCCATGCGAAAAAAAAAATTGAGAGAAGGCAAATATGAATCCAAAAGTGCATAACCGAAACGCCCAGCAGCACTAACAAATTAGAGTTCTGTCGTCACTCTTGTGACCCTTTTTTAGATCATGTGGAGCTCTGGATTCAGGCGTGTCGCCAGCTTCGTCTCGCACAGGAACGCAGTGTCAAGGAAACCACGGACCGAATACGCGCTCGACAGCCAGCCTTCTGGACCCTAAAAGCCAACATCGTCGTTTCTCTCGTGTAAGGCCCAATTGGGATAAACATACGTTGCGCGCGGCGGTATTCTGGAAAGTGGGAAACTATCGTTAGTTTACCCTTGTGCTCCATTCCACTCAAACTGACATTTTTTTTTTTTTTTTAACGTTTTCTAGATTGGGTACAGGAATGCTGGCTGGACTTTTCAAGGACCGACTACCATTCACCAATATCATCCCCCAATTATTCACGCAACTTTCAACTACAACACCTACACCATTGTCACGCCCGAATGCAGCAATCCTCGGACCCAGTCTCTTCCTCTGCGGAGTCCACTTCTTTACTGCATTCCGGACACAATGGACACTCTCCGAACTCTATCCTCCTCCTTCTCTTCCTTCTCCTTCTCGTTCTCCTTGCAGTTTTCGTTCTCAACAGCAGGGACTGAGACAGAGACAGAGTCATTTAGTATTCTTGGACCGGACTAGAGCCGTGACAAGATGCTTGGAGATTCGAGAGAAGCGAATGTTGTACCTCATGCAGCAAATCAGAGCTCACGAACGGCGGATTGGTCCGACAACTATCACTACTGCAGAGATAGCTATGACGAGAGGAGCCACGTCTCGCACCACACTTTCTTCTAGAAGTCTAGTGGATCCTTCTAGGACAACCACAACAACAACAACAACAACAACATCAGGAACAGAACTAACGGAAGCAGCAGTGGAGGAGAGGGTGGTGGTGGTAGGATTAGATGACGAAGCATTGGGGCTGGAACCTAGTTTGGTATGCATGAACACCACACGGTTCTTACGGGACCCTATTGAACAATCTCGTGTCTTGCGGATGGAGCTGCAAGCGTTGAGAGTAGACCTCAAATCCCTGCACGCCATGATGATGCTGTAAGCACATATGACACAACCAATGAAAGGAACGAAAATAAAAAAAACCAAGAAAAAAAGACTCCGAACTTTATTCTCGCACACGATATCTCCTCTTGCCAACTCCAACTCCACCTGCAAATCCCTTGGTGCCAACAGGAGGTCGCGGGGCTTCACTCTCGGGGCCAGCAAGGATGCGGTGCCGGACCACCAGAGCCCCATAGAGGATCGCGGACAGGAACCCGGCACAGAGGGCTGGAAGGGATTCAGGCATCATGGCACCCAGGACCGCGGTTCCGAGGAGGAAGTACTCGAGGCGGATTAGGACCTTCCACAGGAATTGGACCCATGTGTCCTCTGCATCGGTCTCGGCGATCAATGATGCTTCCTTAGCTGGTGCGTCCTTGCTGACCTCGGGTTGAAGGGAGGTGGCAAACGCCAGTCCATCTTTGTTGTCTGAGGCGAGACTTGTTCCTGAGACTGGAGTCGATGAGACGCTGTCATGTTCCTGAACTGGTGCCGCTACAGTAGCCGGCGAAAGCTTTGAGGAGGTTGTATCCAAACCTGTCATCTCCTCCTCGTCAGCACCGTCGTCCTTGCTGACTTGCTCAGCCGGTTTGTTGTTGCCCTGCAGCCCCTCACCACAGCCTGCATTTTCAACCCCAGGAATTTCAACTAAAGGCATGGGCTCAGTCGATCGGGACACAGTTTCTGCCGTCTCACTGCCCGCAAATGCAAATGCAAATGCAGATGATACAGATGCAGCAGGTGACGGTGGGGTAAAGATTTCCAAGAAGACTGGTCGAGACTCGTTATCGCTGTCGTTCCTGTTATGGTTGTTGCTTTGGAGTGGTGGTGGTGAGCCTTGGACGGATGAGGATGATGCAAGAGGAATGGCATAATCATCTTGATTATCAAGGTGAATGGTATCGTCAGTCAGGGTCGGTGCGGCGATAGTGGTGTCCTTTGACTCCCTTGTCCATGCAGTGTTACGGGGTGAGATGGGAAGTTGGAGAGGGGGCTCTTCCAGATCATGAATGACAGAAAGAGGGCGCGCCTTGATGTTGGTGGGGGTATGCAAAAGGTTGTCGAGGTGACCTCTCTGGATGAAGGAGCCGAGGAGGGTTGGTGGACTCTTGGGTGTCAATGGAGGCGATCTGAGACCCTGAGCAGGAGTAGAAGCACCATGTGGCAAAGAAGGGTCAAGAGAGGGGATGGTGTCTTGTGTCGAGGTCGAGGAGGCGACATAGACAGTAGCCATGGCGTCGGGTGCGGTCATGATCTTTTGGAGTGCTTGACCTTCCTTCCTACTCAACGTCCTACTGAATGATGATGAAGACGACGACAACGACGGTGATCTTGATTTCTCAGGGACGACGACAGGTGAGGTTGACGCAGACAGGGGGGAAGAGGAGGGACGAGACGAAACAGCAAGGTCGTTCAACAACTGGTCATTCTCCGTGCGGGCAGGGTTACTATCACCATCCCCCTCAGTGCCGTCCTGCCCAACGTCCTTCAAACGTTTCCACCATTCGACCGTTGATACAACAGAGCCGGCGGCCTGAAACTTCTTGCGCAGAGTCTTGACACCCATCCTCAGTTCCTCCAGATCATTTGTCAACCTCCTCCGTCGAGTTGAGCCTCCGTTCTCGAGATAGGCATCCGACAGGCCAGGTTTGCCTTGGACCCGCAAGAGATGGTCCTCGACCTTGTAGAGCCGCTTGGCGTTGTCATGGAAGGATTTAGCGAGGGTTTCTGTCCGGGCATAGAGTTCATGCGACTGGAAATTAAACTCGTCAAGCCGTTGGGTGATCCGATCGAGGCGCTTCTGGATTAGGGCCTCGAGCGCCAGACGGGAGGCCTCCGAGTCGGCACGGGATAGGGGAACGACTCCACCGCTGCTCGTCGAGAAACTCCTGCTCCTGCCTCCAACGATGCCGCTCACGTTGTTACTGTTATCCCTATTGTTGCTGCTGGTGGAGAAACTCCTACCTCTGCTAATAATGTCGCTGTGGGGTTTGCTGGTGGTGGTATTGATGTTGCCTGTGCTGTGATTGGAGTGGCGAAAAGGGCTGGATGAAAGACCAATCGGCGCTGTCTTTGGTCCCGTTGTTGTAGTTGTTGATTCTTGGTGGGAGGTGTTAATGGTGTAGATCCTGGAGGGTGGAAGGCGAGTTGGTCGCCGGGATTGGCGCGAACCCTCCTCATTGAGGACGGGGATTGTATGGATTGTATCCGAGTCGGTCATTGTATGAATAAGAGTGATATGCACAGGTATGAATTAAAGAGTGGAGAGGTGAATTGAAGTGAATTGAAGTGAAGAGAAAAAAAAGAAAAGAAAAGAAAAGAAAGAAAGAGGAAGAGAATATAAACAAGATGTAGAGTAGAAAAGAGAAAAGATCAGCACGCGCAAGAGAGAAGAGAGAAGAGGAGAGGAAGGGGTGAGAGCAAAAAAGTGCGAGACAGGGAGTGCGAGAGTTCAGCAGATCAGTGGCATGTCATTTGTGAGAGCACCTGAACAACTGCAGCTGTTGCTGGGCGTAAAAAAAAGAGTGTCAGCAACGAAAACAAACAAACAAACAAACAAAAGGAGACAACAATTGCCAACTAAAACAAGGGGATAGTGAGACTCGGATGATGCAAGGCAGGGGTCCAAAGTGTCGAGCGTGCTGGATAGGGGGACAGAGAAATGAATGTGAACGATATCAAATGTCAGGAACAAGGAGAGGAATAGGAGAGGAGAGGAGAAGGGACTACTGGAGTAGAGAAGGAGAAGAAGAGGGAACAGATGAACGAAAAGAGAAAATAAAAAAAGGCGAGCGATGATGAGAAGGAGGAGTTCTCGCCGAAGAGAAGAAAAGACGTCCAGACTGAAGACACCTGTCCTCTGATTGGGTGGTAATCTCAAGTCCAGCCCCAGCGAGACAAACAAGCTGGTGATGCTGGTGGTGGTGCCTTGCCTTGCATTAAGCTTGTCGGTAAGTGGTGCATACACACACCCTTAAGAGCAGTCCCGCCATCTTTATCTTAAAATGATGAAAAAGGGCCTTGTTTTATCTTTTTTTTCTTTCTTCACCCCTCCTCAACCAACGCTCAGCATGGCCGGAATGTCAACTGACCAGGACACTGGTTGTAATGGCGTCAAACACGGTCTACCTCGTCCCACAACCACCTCACACATCACAACCAACGACAACAACAATAGCATTACCTTCGCAACAATCGCAACGAACAATACAACTACAACGACGGCCATTAACGAGAACCGGTACTACGATGAAGCCCAAAAGATCTTCTACCCTCTCACAGGCATCCGTCCACTCACCCCTGGCTACATGGACCTCGCCCACCAACCACCTGTAAAACTCGACACGCCCAAGAAGCTGCTCGTCATTCTCGACCTCAACGGAACTCTTTTCTACAGCGCTGATAACAGCTGCAAGAACCGCACCTACATCAAGCGACCTTACTTTGTGGAGCTTCTCCGTTTCCTCTACGCGAACTGTCGGGTCATGATCTGGTCAAGCGCCACGCGCCAAAGAGTTTCAACGATGATGAAGGGCGGTGGTTTCATAGGCGTCGAAAAGATGGACCGTGTCTGGAACCGGGAGCACTTGCAACTTCGCTTCAAAGATTTCCACCGCAAGGTTTTGACGCTCAAGGATTTGGAGTTTGTCTGGAGGGCTATCGAGACTGAGCGATCTGAGGCAAAACCGGAACAGTTATCGGCGGGCGGACGATACGAGTTTTGCTATGACCAGACCAACACCGTTCTCATCGACGACTCTCCACACAAAACGCAGCTCCAGCCACACAACTGCATGATCGTCCCGGACTTCGACCAAACCCGAGTGCAGCGCGGTGACCAGGAGTTGCTCAAGGTCATTCATTACCTCAACGACCTGCTTTACCAGGACAATGCGAGTGCTTACATGCGGGCAAGTCCCTTCGATACAAATAGCGCCTTCTACCTTTCTCAGGGGTTCCGCGACAAAGCTACTGCCTTGACAGCTACTATGAAGCGCGTGCTGAGGAAGGACAAAAGGCGCGAAGCAAGGAAAGTTGCTCTTGAGATGGCACGGGCGGAGAAAATTGCTGGGGTTGCTTCCGATCGAAAACTCAAGAAGGCTCAGGACGCAGGGTTGGAGAGACCCCCTGATGCCCGGAAGGTTGAGGTAGCCCGGACAGCAGATATGTTTCGAGTGGCTAAGATGACCGAGGCAGGCCAGATACCTTTGGAATCTCGGAAGACTGTTCATCTCACGTCTCCGGATTGGGTGGTCCCAGATTGGACGCAGCAGATCGCTTTCGAGAACATGAAGAAGGATGGGATCGTCTTGATGGAAAACGCGGGACCTGAAGGGGGACGTTCTACTCGGACCAGGAAACAAAGGGCTGCGAGGCGAACAAGAGAGTCAGCGATAGCGAGGACCACTGCACCAATCACGCCACCATTGCCAACGCCACCAAGCAATGGGGTGGGTCCGATCCGCAGGAAGAAGAGGTCACAGAGCAACCACTCCAAGACGTGGTGAGTCTGTCCAGAGAACTCCTATTATTTCTACAAAATTAGATACATTCGTATCTAAAAAGGTAGAAAAAAAATCCCGAAAACAAAAAATAAAGCCAGCAAACAACCTCATGGTACCCCTTCCTTATGCCATTTTATTGATGGAGATGGTCTTGGGTACTCACTCCTTTTCAATTTCTTAATACACGTAACAAGCTGCAAGGACGCATTGGCGTTTCAGGTACTCTCGGGACACGGCAACAACAAATCGCCCAGCCATAAGGAATTTTTCGCAAGAACGCCACTATCACCGCCACTCAACTCCTTTCTCCACCTACTTCCGCCAGTGTACGCGTTGCACTACTGTCTTCCCACACCATAATCTTCTATTATCTATTCTCGTCTACTGTTGTGAACAGCTTGCGGATAACCTGGAACTGGCCGAACTGCGAGTTCGCGCCATGAGCATGATGCGGCAGGCGCAGCAAGTCAGAGAGGGATGAGATCAAAGACGAAATCGCGGCTGACTCCTACGTTTGATCAGTGTTGGCGCAATATTGTCAAACAGTCTCTTCGCTTCAGCTTGGCTCACATTGCTCAATCCTCTCTCTTTCAAACTTCTCCGCGCACCCTTTATGTCCCTCATCTCTTTAAAAACACACATTCACTCACACCCACACTCACAAAAAAATCTGCTTGGCTGGAAATAAAATAAAAAAAAAAAACAAAAGGTACAATACACCATGGGCGACATTATCTCCTCAGAGAGTTCGCTCTTCTGGAGGCTAGAGATCCCACCAACACGGTTCGACGGCTTCTTCTGTGAATCGGTCACCCGCCAGTTCGAGTCTGATTCCGAACCTTGTAGTCAACAAGATCATATCTGGAAGTGCGCCTTTACCGAGAACATGATCAACGGCGTGGCGACGATCGATATTGTCATCCAGCGCATTGAAGTCAAGAAGAAGGACGGTCCTCCCTCTCTTTCTTTGTCGTCGTCCCCTTCTGAAGGCCACCAGCAAGGGCAGCAGGAGCACTCTTCGTCATCTCGCTCACAAACGCAGACGCGGGCGCAAACGCAGTATCAACAAGAGCACGATCAGCTACAGAGACAACAGGGACAAGGGCACCAGCAACTACCACCAACGAAGGACGACAGGCCTGCACGGATCCATTACAAGACCATTGCGCTTCATACCCCTAAGACTCTGGCCCCGCTCATGTCCATGTTCTTTGACGGTTCCGCTACAGGCAATACTCCTATTCGCGGCAAGTCCTCCTCGCACTCTCTTTCATGATTACTTGATCAATACCATCACCTCATTATGTTACAGCATATGACTCGACGTGGTCCAAACTGAAAGAAGAGCTTGGTTTGGTCTCGAGTCTCGACGCGTTCATGACGCGCTTATTTTGTATGTCATAAAATTAATTATCTCTGCCACATATTTCTTTTCCACCCCCAATCTAGTTGAACTGGAGGCAGACGCGATCTGGCATCGAGGAAACTACGTCTTCGAGATCGTCCTCTCTGAAGATACCTTACCCTACATGAACCCGTCCCCGTCCTCTTGCCACCGTGTCTTCGATTCCCTCTACCACGAGATCGTCGTCACAAGCCACCCCGACACCTCGACCGCAGATATCTGGTTCGAGTTCTACCCTCACTCTGCAACAGCCTCTGAAACCGCCACAGCAGACGCGTCAACACAGGACCGGAGGTTTTTGCCATCTATACTCTTACCGGTTGACCAGCGCCACTTGCATCATACACAGGAACATCTTGATGGGAGTGCTGCGGTGGCGGTAGTTGGGGCGCATTTTAAGAAGTTGGTCAGGTATCCCTATTTTGCGGACTGGATCGAGAGAGAGAAGCGAGTTCAGGAGGATCAGCGGCGGAGGCAGTTGGAGGACGAGTGGAGGATTCATCAAGAGCATCATGAGCACTTCTCACAACAGCATCCGCAGTACCAGTCACATCAACGTGCCGAGTACCAACCCCGCGAGATCCCTACCTACTTTCAGCCCCTCCAAGGCCCATCGCCGTCTTCACTCTCGTCTTCGTCCGCCTTGGCTTCATTTCCTCTTCACCAGCAGCAGCACTCTCGCCACGTTCCTCCTCAGCGTCAGCATCAACAACAACATCATTTTCGATCAGAACCCTCGTGCCCTCAGCATATCGACCAATTGGTCCCACTATCACCAACTCTACGAATCCCTGTCAAAGGTGTCTCCCTAGGAACCTTCAAAGTCATCCTCCAATATATCTACACCGGCTCAATTGGTCTCTCGGATGGGCAGATCAAAGATATTGACAAGTACTGGAACGATAACCCAGAAGACCATCTGGCCCCTCGCCAGAACCGGAACCCACTCGACGACGAGGATACGCCCTCGTTGAGTTCTTTGTTGGCTTATTATCATGCAAGAGTTCGGCCTGGGGATTCGGAGAGTGGTGGTGTAGATGGCAGTAGGATCGCGCCTCGGCCTCCTATTATTCTCCCGGTTCCAGGACCTCCCAGAGAGGCCCTTGGTGATCAGCAACAGGCACGGCAAGGAGAAGGAAGAGGTAGAGGACCAATTGCAGCATCGGATCGACCGCACACCGGCATTAAGGACATGATTATGTCAGACGACATTTTCACATTTAGGACGGCGTCCGCTCAGACTGCGTGGATCCCTTGTTTGCCCCGAAACCGGCGCAAAGAGTTTCGAGATCCACAGTCTCTACCCTCAATCCCTGTTCGCCAACAGCAGCCTATGAGCGAACATGATGAGCAATCAGTCGTCGGCTCGTCTCGTCGACTAGATCAATGTGGATCCGAAGGAGAGCAGACCAGCACCAGCACCAGCACCAGCGAGCTCCACTCTGCGGGCGGACCCTTTGCCCCCTCCTTCTCTTCCACCACTAGCAGTACTCACCCGCCCACACATCAAATCGACGTCCACAAGACCCGCCCAACCTGCTCCTGGGAATCCCTCCTCCTAGCCGCAAACCTCTTTCAACTCCAAGACCTCGAAACAACCGCCCTCAAAGCAATCAAGTACCACTGCCAGATGCTTGCCTCTCGGGCCTTGATCAACAACAACGTCATGGCCAAGGTTGCCCATGATGGGTTTGATCGGTCGAATCAGGATCTGCAGCTTGCGTTGGGGGAGAAGATTCTGTTGTCGCTGCTGAAGCTTTATAGATCGCCGCTTTTGACGATCCATCTGAAGGGGGTTCGGGTCTTGCGGGGTGATCAAGGAGGTGCCGGTGGAGGGGGGGGTGGAGGTGAGTGTAGAAAAAAAGGTACGGGAGGAGGAGAAGAGGAGGAGGGCAGTGAGCCCAAGATCCAAGAACACGCTCATGAAAGACATACGGGTCTGCAGACTCAACTGGAAGAACTATTTCGAGACCAAGCTGAAGAGCAACAAGGCGACGGCGGCGGACATGGAGGAGGAGAGGAAGAACAGGAGAAGGGAAAGGAGTCTGGCAATAAGAACGATGATAGGAAGCAGCAGGAAGAAGGACACCTCGGGACAGCCCTAACGTCCTTGAGCCCTTCTTCTTCGTCACCGTCTGCGAGAACTCGTGGCAGTGGTGGTGGAGGAGCTGCATCTTCTCGCACTCGAGGATCTCGCCGTTCTTTTGGACAAGGACGCAGCATTGGCCCAGCGGCGCAGCAACAGCAGCCCACCGCGCAGAAGCACGAGCCAGAGTTCTCTAACCCCACCAGAACTCGAAACGGTACCACTAGTGGTAGTAGTATCAGCAGTGCCAGAGCAGCTACCTACTGCCAACGTCAAGGCTCTCAAGGCTACGACGACGACAGCGACGGCGAGGGCCAACGCCAACCCGGCCGAGAGGAGGAAGAAAACGATGAAGGTGACGAAGGTGAAGAAGGAAGGGAAGTGGGTGGGAGCGGGTCTGAGAGGATCACAACACCTTTGGCACTGCTGGACCACCCAGAGTGTGAGGATGCGCTTCAGGGACTCTGTGAGGAGCTTCGGGAGCGGTTCTTGAGCCTGCGCGAGGTCATTGAGCCTCCGCACCGTGATCCTCGCAGTGGTCACACTGACTAAAGGGGAAAAAAGGAAGGAGGGGAATGGAGAGGTAGGCAGTAGCGTTGGGATAGGTAAGGGGTAATGTTGGTAGGCGTTTGAGGCGTTCGCGTTTTCGTTTCTTTTTCACGGCTTCGCCTTGTTTTTGGCACCCAACCCTCACATCGACATAAAGGCTCAGGGAGGCAGGCACATACAGCGTACAACACGCACGATTCTTCAGATACACAAAGACATAGCATAGGATACTTTTGCCTCTACACGGAGCAGCACCATAAACATAGCATTCATTCCTTAGCCGTCTCCATCAGTGTTTCCTGTGTTTGTTTTGTTTGTTTTGCAACGCTATTTAATTATCTAGCAAAATGTCTGATCGTGCGCTTCTTTTTTTAATTTATTTTTGTCGCATATTTATTTGGACATGTGCAAGGATCGTCATGGGCATACTTGAACAGATCGACATGGTACTTGGCTTCCTTTTGTCATCCCAGCCAGTACCTTGGTGTAAAATGACGTGCGACACAAAGAAAAGGCACTGCAAAGATTATTATCTAGTCGCAAACTCGGCATCGTAAAGGTACCATTGGTGTCAACTACTTTCTGCTTCACGTTTTTATTCGTTACAGAAAGAAAAAGAAAAAAAAAAAAAAAAAAAAAAAAAAAAAGAATGATACAAGTGCCAAAATGCTATGCGAAAGTGAAAATATATGTATGTGTATGTATGTTATGTGTCATGAAAAGTAAGGAGGTCCCGCCTCTCTCAGCTTTTGTTGTTGTTTTTCAATCATAAGACTCCGACAAGGGTGAGAGATGAATCGATCCGGAAGAAGTCCAGAATCGCTTCTGGTCCGCGCTGTAAAGTCCAACCCGGACTGTTGGCAGTGTGCTAGAGCGAAACACAAATGTCATTCCCGGGTCCACTTCGTCATCGTCGTCGTCATTGTTGCCAATATCATCGCTGTTACTGGCGTCATCCTGCGAATCGTCACTCGTCGTTGAGCCCTGGTTGTCGTGGTCGCCATATCCATTTGTTTGTCTTTCATTCTTCAGTGTCGAAGCCCGTTGTCTCAAGTAGTACTGGTAGATACTACCAAGGCGCTCTATAGTGTATATGATAAGCATAAAAATAAAAATGTTAGAGAATCATTGTGCGAGTTCACAAAATCTTCACAACAAAAGTCGCATACATGCGTTCTAGTATCATGTACCTGAATCGAGCGCCATCTGGGACCACCGGGCAAGTGTAGACGCAACAGGACTAGGCCCCATCGTCCTCTCGACAGCATGCAGATCAGGCATTGATTGCGACATGTACCCTGTCCGTGTTGAGGGGCGATGGAGTTGCAATTGTCCGAACGACCGTTGGTCCTCACTTTGTAGAAGTTCCCGAATTGGACCCTGGTTGCCTCCATTTCGTCTATCTTGACTACGTCGTTGTTTCCCTTCGTCCTCCTTCTTTGTTGCGATGACGACGGCAGAGCTCGCAAGATGGCGGTCGAGTCCGGGTGTTTCTTCGGACAGAATCAAATCGTACTCGGACTCGTCCGTGTTTTCACAGGGGACTGACGACGAGGCTGTCGACAAGAGACCTCCATGCTTCATTTCAACAGGTCCATACTGCTGAGAATGACATGGTACCTGGCTGCGAATCTCTTTGCCATCGTTGCTGTTTGTATTGTGCTGCTGCGGCTGCAGCTGAGGGCGATGATGGTGTTGGTCGAAGGATCCCGGGATGGTAGGGGCAAGGACCCACAAGGAGAACGACCAGAACTGGATCTCGTGTTTGACCTGCTGGAGTAGCGATATCGAAGTCGTCCAGGTTTTGTGAGCAGTCTTCGTTGGGGTGGTCGTTGGTCCTCGTCGATGTCGCTTGATCATGATTGCATCCGAGTTGCCCCCCTTGTATGATGGCCGATCCTCGGTTTGTCGACAAGGGGCTGACCGGCGAAGCATCCTCTATTGTAACATATCCAGGAACACATAGGTACCTTTGTCAATGTCAATATATGCATGGCTGGAAAAAACTCATGAGAGTTGTAGGCAGAGCATAAAAGCAATGGCAAAAGGCCAAAGTTTACCAGAGATAGTGCATTGGCGACAATGTGTTGTTGGGCTCCACCCATATCCTGTCCAATCTCGCTCAGTTCTTCTGTATCAACGCTCGTCACACAAGACTCCTGCTCCGTACGCTCTGCTTGCTCTTTTTTCAGCTGCATCTCCCTTTCCTTGTGAACAGTTGAAACATTCACCTCCTCGATTAACAGCTGCTGCTCACTTGAGGTCCCAACCTCAGATCCAGCTTCATCAATATCAACGTCCAGATACCTCGTGAGGACACCCCGGCTCAAAAGAAGAAAAGTCGCCATCGCATAGAGGACCCAGACAAACGTTACAACGATCCAGCACCATAACGAAAACGGTACTAGCAGCAACAAGCTTTCTGCCTCCATGATCGGTGACAGCCAAGACAATAGCAAGGAGTCGGACCTGGAAGCGATCGTCCAGGAGACAAGGCCCAACAAAGATGCTCCTGCACCCCAGACATGAATCACCAGCCTTTGTCTTGAGAATTGCTGTTGTTGCTGTCTCGAACGTGATGTTATCTGTTGCAGTTGCAGTCGCAGTTGCACATCAATCTGCGCACTCTGCATGCATTGACCTCTATGGGTGAGATCGTCACTGCCGCTTTCATTGGTGCTGTTGTTGTGATAATAAGGGGGCGGTGGGTCTGTTGGGGTTGGAGGCATACTCATGCCCATGCTGCTATTGTTGTTGTGGTGGTGATCCTGAGCAGCAAGGACAGCAATGGTGATAGCGGACGGCACCGAGCATGCCGAGACAGATGCTGCTGCAACTGACGCTAATGCCAGTATTGATGGTGATAAAATGGAGGGTGGTGGACCGGACACCACCGGATCTTGTGTCCCTCCTTCTCCTCCTTCTTCTCGAGTTGCTCGCGGTGGGTGCGTTATGAAGTCGTCAGTTGCTTTTGAAGAGAGAGGTCGTGGGGAGGAGGAGATGGGGGAGGCTGTTGTCGATGAACGGCGGTGCCACCAGAGAAAGTAGAGAACACCAGCAAAGAGGACAGATATGGTGATGAGGGGAGTCATCCGATAGTGGTCACAGCACCACACCGACCAGATGAACCCTGCAAGGATGGCCCCATGGACGCGGGCGTAGAGGAGAGTCTTGGCAATATCGGTTGTCTGCTTGTTGTCGCCGTTCTTTCTGTCGATGTTGAGGTTGACCTTGGAGTAGAAGCTGCTGTTGTGAGGAGAGGCTGTCGTGTGTGTTGATGTGAGAGGTGTTTTCTCTGTTGTGGATGTAGATACGGATGTGGATGCAAGGGGAGATCGTTTGCTAAATAACATTGCGAGGAAGGTGTGGTCGTGAGATATTATGCGAGGTGAGGGTGGTGTTGGTGAACTGGGAGAGAGAGAGAGAGAGAGAGAGAGAGATGGGTGTGTTGGAATGAGGAATCAGTTTTCTAGTGTTCAAAAAGAACACAAGCAAAAGAAAGAAAAGTCAAGGAGACCATTTGGGCAAAGCCAAAATGGGACACAAGGGAGAGAGAAAAAGAGTGAGAGATAGAGCAAAGGATTGTACTGTACTAGCGCTGCCACGCTAACATTCGATCATGGTATGTACTATTTTGGCGGCAAACCTTCTTTAAGGGCATCTAAAGCGATGGCCAGTGCACCCAGCATTTAACAACTGCCAACTGGCTTGAGCTTCTGTGTTTGGTACATGAGACCCCATCATCACATGGATCAAAGGAAGAAGGTAGCCGTGTCGGCAAAGCTAAAAGGCGATGATACCAATGGCAATAAGAACACTTGCCTTCACCTCCCGTTCGTCGTTGTCAACAACAACAAAAAGAAAAGACTGAACTCCACGTCCATCGATCGGTGTAACACAAGGACCAGATGGAATTCAAGGGCGAACTCTCAAAGAGGTGCTAGCAAACGACCATGTCGCCACACACAATATGCTATTTTTTCTCTCCTGTCTCTCTCTCTCACACACACACATATATACATATACGCCCCTTCATATTCTCCTTCGATAGCATTGAAAGGAGGTAACATGGTTGCAAGGGAAAGAAAGCCAGACTAGTACAACAAAACGGCGCAATTTGAACAGAGTAGGAGAGTGGAAGCATGCTTTCGTTTGCCTCCATGCAAGGAGTACAGTACTGTACAGCACATGTCTCTCTCTCTTCCTCCCTTTAAAGTTTAAATGCAAATTTGATTGTTTTCTCTCTCTTACGTGCTACCTTCCAGATTACATGATGCATCTCTGAACACTCACTCCTCCACTTCCTCCACATGCTACCAATCACCTGGAAAAATGTGAAAAATGTTCAAGGTCTTTATTATTTGAAGATATTCGTTTCGTAAATGTCTGGTTAAAATCTGAGAGGGAAGGGGGCATTAATCCCTGCTCTCTCTTTTTTTCGTTGTCGTTGTTTGTATTTTACAGGAAAATGAGTGTGGTAGGCATTAGGTAGAAGAAATAGAGGGAGGGAAGGAAAGAGCGTGAACAGGAATAAATAAGAGAGATTAATTACTTTGTGGGTTGTAAGAAAGTGTAGATAGATACTCGGAGCAAGGTGCAGAATGCAGGATGACCCGACAAAATGACAAAACAAAAACAAAAAAGAAAAGAAAGAAAGAAAGAAAGAAAGGAAGAAAGAGAGAAAGGAAGAAAGAGAGAAAGAAAGAAAGAAAAATAGAAACGAGAGGAATGGGCATGGCTGATGAGATGAAATGCAAATGCGTAAAGAGAAAAGGAAAGAAAAGAAAAGAAAAGAAAAGAAAAAAGAAAAAAGAAGTGTAACAAACAAAGAGGGGTGACAGAGAGGACGCGTCTATGGCTCGCGTTGCATCATCATCTGGCGCTGTTGCTGCTTCTCGGTAAGACGAGTCATCTCCTCCTCCAGCTTGTCAATCTTGATCCAGCCCACAGCTCCATCCTTCACTGGCTCAAGCATCACCCACCCGCTCTCCATTCCCGTCATGTGCTCAATACTGGAAAACGGGAACACCTCGTCAAGCGCCTCCTGCGTCTTGGTCAGTCCATCCTTGCTGGTCACTTCTCCCTGCTGCAACTTCCTCTTCCCGCCCGATTGGCTCCCAGTGGCCGGCACTGGAGAGACAGAGGTCGACATTCGGTTGTTCTTCTTGTTCGATGAAGACGCCTTGAATCGCGTTCCGAAAAGTCGACTCTTCTTGGCCGGAGCCTGAACCGGGACAGGGACCGGGGTCGCCGTCACGGGAGCTCTACCCGCTGCAGGACTTGGGGCTGGCAGCAAGGACAAAGAAGCAGCACCACCAGCAGGCATAGAAGGCTTGCCAGGCTTCACGATCGCCTTTGGAACTTCCTGCGAGACTCGTGCTGGTCCGGGCGCTGACGATATTGGCAATGACTTTCCTGAGGTACTCCTCTGAAACTTGTCGGAGTCGACGGGGGCGGGTGGCAATGGCATCTGTGGGGGTGGTGGCTGCCGGGACAGAAGCGACGGTTTCCTTGGGGAGTTCGAGTGCATCGCCATCGACTTTGGGGCTGGGACTGGCTCCAAGGGATTCGGGCTGATAGGGACCGTCTGAAGTATAGGCTGTGCGGACCCGATAGGAAACGATCCAGTCCCGATAATAGTCGCTTGACCGATTCCACCGGTAGACCCAGCTTTCAGGGCCGCTAATGCCCTGGGATCTTTGGCCAGAGCCATGAAGCTCTGTCTTGCCGCCTTGAGGGCCGCTGCCTTCTGAGCAGGGCTCGGGCCCGGGTCTTGACCTTGACCTACAACCTGCCCTGTTGCCGGCGTCTGGCCCCGAGATGTCGTCGAGCTGGTTGAGCCCGCCAGACTCGCATTCACCCCAGGACCGCCGGGCGCCGGCATCTTGGACATTCGTTTCTGAGAAAGACCGGTCAGATACTGTTCCGGTTGTTCAAAGAAATCCGACATGAACCCGCCCTCTGAAAACGTGTCCCACTGCAACTGGTAATAGAGCTTACCATCCTTCAGAAGCGTGGCTGTCGAGAAGCGGTATTCTCTCTCGCCTGCTTTCTTGGGACTTGTAGTTGCTGCCGCGGACGGCGCAGAGGTCTCGTTTTGGATAGAGGGAAGGGCTGCCGAGTCATCCAGGGAGGCACTATCGTCTGTAGTATAAGAACTGTCAGATAGTGTCCTTCCATTTGCCAACCGATGGGGTTTGCGACCAGCAGAAGCACCGGGGCGTTTACCATCAGCCTTGGAGGCGTTGGCTTGGAGGTATGACTGGCTTGAAGGGGATGATCGGGGAGACGACACAGAGATCCTACTCTTGCGACGCTGTTCCTTAAGGGCTGCGTTTCCAGAGCCAATGAGTGCTCCAGAGCCGCGGCGTGCTCCGGTAAAGGCCTTGGGAGCTGATCGGTCGATGGGTAAGGGTGGCACGGGTAAGCTATCTTGAGCAACTCGTCTCCAGCCTTCAACAGTGTCTGCTCCGCCGTTGGGGGCGCCGTTGAGATGGAGTAGGTTGGCGGGAGCTGAGACTGGAGGAAGGTTGCTATCGTTCAAAGGATGCCCAGAGGCTGGACCAACAGCAGGGGCAATGCCGGTGGCTGGACCACCTAGACTACCTAAAAAGCTAAGCTCCAGTCGAGGAGGCTGGATTGAAACAGCTGGTGCGACGGGTGCTGCAACGGGTGCTGTGCCAACCACTTGGTTGTTGATCTTGACCGGCTTGAGCTGCTCATCACTCTGCTTGGAACGGAGCTTGTACGACAGTGCGCGGATGAATCCAGAGGCCTTGAACTTGCCCTCAGGCGCCGCTGACACGGGGGCAGAGGAGGTGCCAGAAAAGGTGGCGCTATGTTGCAATTGAGGGTGGGGAGGGACGAGAGTCTTGCTGTCGGATCGGCTCAAGGACTTGGTCTGCATGGGCGACGACATGGTAGAAGACGAAGGCGACATCTTGCTTCCTTGACTGCTCTTGGTGCTGGGGGACCGATTATGGCGACTAACAGCATCGCTATGGTGTCCATGAGCATATCCAGCGGGAGGAGACATGGGCTTGTCCAAGAACGACTCCTGGAACTTGGATTTCATCTCGGCCTTGGGTGAGACGGGGGTGATGGGCGAAAAGTGGACACAAACTTCTGCATCCTTGGGGCGCGAGGCGATCTCGGCGTTCCTCTCCATGTTGTTGGACGAAGGTTGAGGTGGTTTGGGGGAGGCGATAGAAGAGTTGGAGGATGGGTTGGAGACAGGAGTCAGCTCGTCAGTCACAACTGCGCCGGAGTGTCCTTGGGGGAGACTTCCGACATTGATCTCCAGCTTCTTGGTGTCGGTAGGCGCTGTTCTTGACATGGATCGTCCGAGTCCTTGCGATGCGCTTCGCGTAGGAATGTTAGGTCGATCCAGATCCAGTGGTGATGACTCCAATGAGAATGTCGAACGAGCGGGTGAAGTACTGCCTGATTGACCGCTTTGCTTCGATTGCAACAGGCGAGTACGGATATCCTCTGCCACCTGCGACCTCTCCGCCTGAATGGCCAGTTCCCGTGTCAAGATATCTTGTCGAAGTTCGTTGGGCTTCTTGTGGACGCGACCGTGCATGGTATGAGGGTCCAGCGACACAGATCGGCGAAGAAGAGAATTCCGCTTGGCACGCTGAGGGTTCATGGAGGGCGATGTGTGACCCGGGTTGATGGCGTGTCCGATGCGTGCTTTGTTGCCGGTAGTTGATGCCCGCTGAAGCGGAGAGAGTTCGTCGTTGTCGAAAGACGAAGCTGTAACGTTATGTGTTCCTCTTGCCAATGTGCTTCCATTACTGCTTGAGCTGTTGGAACGATGAACACTCGATTCATTGGCGGAATCGTCCATTTGAAGGTCGTCCAGCTTGGAGAAATCCCAACCGAGGCCATTAGAGAACTCGAGAACCAGACTGTTGTGCGAAGGCTCAGGCTCAGACTCATATCCTTCCTCTGACGCGTCGACAGGCAGCATGTAAAGACTCTCCACGTCGGCAACTGAAGATCGGCGGCGATCCTTGTCGAATCCAGGCATTAATGATTGTCGGGATTGGTGGCGCAAACGATCCAAATGCGACTGATCCTGCATTATCTCCTCGTACTCGTGTCGCTCATTCTCATAGGGCAATGCGGGTGAAAGTGGTCGTGACCGAGAAGAGTTAGACTTTGCGAGCGAGTGCGACCGCGAGAGCGAAGACTCATGAATCGAGCTGGACTGATGTGAGAGTGGCGAAGTTGATCGGGAAGTTGAAACGTGGTCGAAATATCCGTCGGCAGGTCGTCCCATTCCTGAGGGTGTCATTGTAGAAGACCATCCAGAGGATGCAGGCATAGATCCAGCGCTCGAGGGCACGGACATGTTGGGCATGGCGCCAGTTTCGTTGCTCCGTTGGCGTGCACTCCTAACCTCGCGTGTGATGTTGTCCACGTAGCGGTTCTCGTCGACACCATCCTCCTGCTCAATTTTGGCCAGGTCGTGTGTAGTTTTGATGCGGAGGAAGGCGCGGAGAAGGTCCTCGCAGGCAGCGCCCCAGAGGTTACGTTGCTGGAGAGAGGCGTCGAAGGTTGTGAATTCGCGTTCTGGTTCGGCCATGATGCTGAGGGAGATGGCCTTTGCGACGACGACGAGGGTCATGCCGTTGAGATGGGCGAGGAGGGTGACGTCGGCGCAGAGGGAGAAGAGGTCAAGGAGGATGGCGCGGTTGGTGGGTGGGAGGTCGTGAACGAATCGGCTGAAGCTGCGGTCTAATATGAGTAGAGGAATGGATGGTCATGATTGGACAAGTTCAATAAAAATTAAGAGTGATCAGTTATCAGTCATGTACATTCAGCTCATTCAGGTTTGCAGGTTGCATTTGGCCGAAAAAAGATAAGTGAAGGCAGAGGGACAGGTCTGAGTCTGAGTCTGAGAAAGAAAAAAAAATCAGGCACAATAACTAAAAGTAAGGGGGAAGGGAGGAGCATTCAAATAGATGGGGAGCAGGGGGAGCAGGAGGAGCAGGGGGAGCAGGAGGAGCAGGAGGAGCAAGAGGAGCAGGGAATGAGATGGAATGGGTGAAGGAGGGGTTGAATGGGGCAGACGGTAGAGGATGGCTCCTCTGGTGTGAGCAGCAAAAACAGAGGGAATGTATGAGATTGAACTGAGTTGATAATTCTCTTGCAAACCACCCCCATTGGATTTATCCGTTGCTGGTGAGTGTACAAGTACCAGTTCAGCCAAGAAAAATACAATGCCAATTGACACAAGGTGATTTCCACACACACTTCGCTCTTCGCCCGGGTCACTCTTCATATCCGAGTTATTATTAATTTCTCATTTTCCCTTTCATTTCCCTGCGTGTTTGTTCCCCTGGTTAACTGCCTGACTGACTGACTGACTGGGTGTCGTTCTTTTTTACCTTGATCAAGATAAAGGGCTTGGTAATCGGCGTAAGTGACAAGCGTTTCCTCAGAATATCGGATCGCCCACTTCATTGCGTGCGCCACCAAATGAATGTCGACCTGGCGGAGAAGCGAGAGTTGAGTGTTGGAATCATCGTCGAGTATTAAGCGAATTGTGTCGATAACAACCTCCTTGCTCTGTGCCATCTGAACTTGGCGCAAGATACCCTTGGTTGTTAGGCCTATGTTGTTTTTGTTCATATAATTAGAATAGGCAACCTAGTTAGGATCAACGCCAAGGGAATAATAATATATTTCATGTGTAAAAGAAGCAACGAACATGTGTCCATGGCATCACAAAAAGGACATAAAGAGGACTAATAAATAAATACAACGAATAAAAAAAAGACGCATAGCAACACAGAGACAATAAAGCACAGAGTGTACAATAAAGCAGAAACAATAGTAAACATAAAGGAGTGGACGCCTAAAAAAAGAAGCGAGAAAGGGAAAAGGAAGGCGAGGGAAGGGAATACGTGCCTCGTTCACGAATCTCCTTGATACAGCGTTTGACAATGACCCTGGTGACCTCCATCGACAAGTCAGGCATAGGAGAGTCACTCTTGCTCATATTGGTTTTTTTCTGTACGCTCTTGGTTTGGCGCAGGTTGCCGTTGCTCTGGGCACGAAGCAGTGTTCCTTGACGACTCAGCATGGAGCCGCCCGAGGTCATCCCTGATGGGTCGAGAGTTTTTGTGTTGGAGATGCCGCTGGAGGTGGTGAAGACGCTGCTGCCGCTGGATGCTGTGAGGTTACTTGTCTGCTGTTGTGAGTTACCGCCTTTGAATTGGTCGCGGAGGTTCCTTGCACTAGACACCAGGCGCAAAGACATTCCGTTTGTACTGTTGTGAGAAAGGGTGGTGAGGGGTGGCGATGAAGAAAAGCAAGAGGGTGAGAGTGTGTGAAGAGGAGTCTGGTGGTTATAGATGCTGAATGAGATGAAGTTGAGAAGAAGGAAGAAGACAAAGAGGAAGAAGAGGAGGTGGAAGAGGAAGAAGAGGAGGTGGGGGTGAGAGAAAGAAGAGAGAATTGATGGGCGGTGTCCGGCTGTGTTTTTCCCGGAAGGGTAGTAGAAGGTGGGACAAGAGGAGGACAAGGAATAAATAAAAAGGAAAGAAATGAAAGGGTTATATTTGTAGTTGGGGGAAGAAAGGGGTTGGGGGGGTTGGGGGGTGTTGAATGATGCAAGGTGGGAATAGATGGAGAAGGAAGAGTGAGGGATCAAAGAAACAAGGTTAATAAGGGAAGAAAAGGAAAGAGAAGGGAACAAGAAGAAGAAGAAGAAAGAAAAAAAAATGGGGATTGAGAGCGTTAAATGGCATGCGAATAACAGGTAGATGTACACATGTAGGATATGTTATGTTATGTTATGAACAAGTTATTTATGATACGGACATGAACACATAGGGATGCAATGACATACATAAGTTGGTACCGATGTGTTTGTAATATATGAATGAATGTCCATCCAAACAATCCATACACGTTGAACACCACCAGATCATGGCGTAACCGAAGAGGAGGGGGGAACATTAAAAGATAAAAATGCCAAGGGACACGATCGATTTGATTTAGATTTGTTTTAGCGGGTCAGTCAAGCAATCAGTCATCAGATATCAGACATCCAAACAAAAAAAGGTACGATCAGGTCAGCCAGATCATTCCATTCATTCATGGGAACATGATTATTAGTACGCAGGTCAAGCAGCATAGCCAAATTGATTGTGTCCGGTCAGATTGGTTAGCAAATGGGAAGAGGGTCAGTAGTTGTTAGTAAAGGATTGATAGTTAGTAAAGAATTATAGTAGTTAGTAAAGGATTAGTAGTTAGTAGAGGATTAGTAGTCAGTAAAGTGACCAGCGATGGGTTAGCAATGGGTTAGCAATGAGTTAGCAATGGGTTAGCAATGGGTTAGCAATGGGTTAGCAATGGGTTAGCAATTGTTAGAGGTGAGAGGTTAGAGGTAAGTGGTTAGTTAGTGTTTGGAGGTTAGCGGTTAGTAGATAGTGGAAAGGAAAGCCAAGAGAGAAGGAGGAAAGAAAGAAGGGCAGTGGTTAGTTGCCGAGCTGGAATAGCAGGAGCCACCTTTCCTATAATGCGATGAACAACAACCGAGCATATGTGTGTGGGCGAAGTGATTCACTTCAATGGCGAGGTGGCCTCACCAACATCAAAGGAAGGGACGCTCTCTTTCTCACTATGGGTGGCTGCTGTCGAGGTGGATCCCAAATGTGAGTGTGTGGGTATGGGTGAGTGTGTGCGTAGGTGTGTTGGTGCTCCGTCGGTTTCGTAAGGTGGCAAGGAAAGGGTTGAAGAGTGTGTGGAATGTAGGAGGAGTGTCAGTGGAATAAGACGGGTAGGGTTGGTTCGGGGCCGTCGATACCCACAAGCGACCTGTTGAATCGAGGCAGGGTTCAGTAGGAAGAAGGTACGTGTGTCTGAAGAGCAGATAGAGAGGGAGAGAGGGAAGGAGGGAGGGAGGAAGGGAGAGAAAGAGAGCGCGAGGGTCCAAGTCGCGGGTACAGAGTGAAGTAAAGAGAGTCGTGTTGTCGGAGGATGGTGTCGATCGGGGGTGAAAGGCTGATTGAAGGCAAAACAAAAATTGGTGCACAACAAAAGAGTCCAGACAAACAAGACGGAAAGAAGGAAAAGGGAAGGAAGGGAAAAGGCCGGGAATGAAAAGAAAGGAAAGAAAAGATGGAAGAGAAAGGAGTGAGTGAGTGAGTGTGAGTGAAGGAGCGAGTGAGAATGGAAAAAAGAATGCAAGAGAAGGAAGTGGGGAGAGCGAAAGGAAGAGAGTAAAAAAGGTTTGGAAGTAGCTGGTCAAGGGCAATGGTAAAAGGCGATATGGTTTCAATAGTCTCCTAATCGACAAAGTGTTCCTGACAAAGACGACAGGCGACGGACGGACGGATAATAAGGAAAACACCGTTCAAAAACAAACTAAGCAAAAGGAAGACTAATTGCCGCTGCGGGGAACACACACTTAGACAGAAAGTAGGAATGAATGAATGCAAGGGACCGGCTCAAGAGAGCGAGTGAGTGAAAGGACACCAAACCACGGATTGGCGGGACAGAAATGGACGAAAGGATTGGATGGATTGTTGGATGGGGTGAATGCCTTTGTAACAAAAGAAGAGGAAGAGCTTATGGCGATTGCATCGTTGTTGTTTTTATTAGGATGTGCTTTTCGTTTATTGTCCATCTCCTTTTGCTCATTGTTGATGTTCATTCTTTCAGGAGACAGCACACAAGGACGGGGCCGCAGGGGGGAGGGCGGGACAAGACAGGACTAGTCACAGTCAAGTGAAGAGAGAGAGTAGGAGAGAACAAGACGTGCTGTTTATCTGGCGACCCCCTCTTTTTTTTTCAACCTCCAGACGGTTCTTGTGAAAGAGGATGAAATGATGGATGGTGGCCATGCCTGAAATAATCGACATCCAGACAGCCCCGTGTATGTATGTATTTGTTGTTTGTTTGTTGTGCTGTTGTTGCTGTTGCTGTTACTGTTGCTATGTCTGCTGTTTATATATATACTGTACCTCTGCTAAGCAGGAAGGCATGCATCCCCGAGCATCAAAATACATAGACAAATTAAATGAGAAGGAATGGCAACAAGGCAAAGGGAAAGCTAAGAAAGCGGCGCAACCAACCAATGGTGATCACCATTGCTCACGGAGCTCATTTCGTTATTGTATTGTTCTCCATTTTTTCCAGACTGGATGAAAAAGGGCAATGTACCTGGCAAAAGCGATTTAGAGTTAGCGATTAGAAAACGAGGCGAGAACAGAGAAGTAAAAACGGTCGCTGTACTCCTATAGGTACTGGGGCAAAAGGATGTTGAAAAGCGCACGCGAGAAATAAAACAATACTCGCCTTCCTTTCGCTTTATTTCAGCTTTCCTCTTGTTGTTTGGTCATATCCTGCGAATCTAGAAAAATACAAAAGAAAACAAAAGGCTCTCGACTTCCTCTTCCTTTTCTTCGGTGTTGAGCAAGGGTGAAAAAGATCTCTCTCCTCCATCATCCTTTGGACAAAAGGGAGTGAAGGATTCGATAATGACTGAAAAGGAGGGGAATACATCCATTCGCTTTCTCTCTCATCTCGATTGTGTGGTCAAGGAGCTCTTTATCTCTCTCTCTCTCTCTCATGTTCGCAAGTGATGATGGAAGAAAGGTATTCCTTCAACAATGATGACCAATTCGCCGAGGTGCGCGCACTTTTCTTTCTCATTCAAAAATAACAACCATGACCAGAAAACAGCAAGAACAAGGAGCAACACATTAGGAGAACCCTAGTGGATGTTTGAGCACGGCCTCTTTCTTCGAAACCAACACCAATACCAACACTTTCCCAGATCTAGTTTTTTAGTTCGCTAAGACAGGGACTAGCCTTTTGAAGGTGTTTGAGAAGTAACCATTCTATGCTCCAGAGCAACCAATCCGGGAGAATGTAGGGGTTTGTTCAGGATACAACCGTAAGAACAATATCGAAACGCGGGGACCATGACAAAGGAGGAGGAATGAGAGGAGAGCGCGCGAAGTTGCGATTTGCCAAGTACAACAGAATAACCGGGGACATAATTGACCGTCGAACCCATTCACGGGGAGAAGAATGGGCTGGCTGGCCGACTAAAGCAAAAAAAAAAAGAGGGGGACACCGCGTAGTACCCAGCCGCTACTCCGTTCTCACGTATATGCAGAAACAGTACCAAGACAACCTGTGATGACTGCCTTTCTCAACCATTACCCAATAATGATGCTCTCTCGACGTCTGGTTTTCTTTTTCACTTTCGTTCACTTCCAGAGTCCTCTCTTTTCTCTCTCTCTCCATTCAAGCCACAAAATAAGATGGCTCTACATGCTCGGGCTCTCACAGCCGTTATTTATCTGTCCTGAGTGCCCCAGCTCATATGCGAATTGCACCTGCGAAAAGGGCTACATACCGGAACATGATCTCTCTCTCTCTCTCTCTCTCTCTCTCTCTCTCTCTCTCTCTCGCTCACTCACATCACCTATAGTCAAACTCTCTTTCGCTCCTTTGTTTCTCGGCAGGAATGGCTCTGAGCAAGGACGAACCCAAACTTTAACTTTCCAACGTCCGCCTACAGGAGGCACCCTCAGCTCCCCGCCTCCATGTGCAGTTACCCAGTCGCTCACCCTCAGTCCTGTATCCCACGCTGATTTATGAAATGCATGGGTGATGACATGGCAAACCCAGGACAGATCAAATGAGTTACTGCGTCGCGTGAAAAATAAATGTGATCACTGCAGGATGGCTATGTCCGACACATCTTGTATTACCAATTGAAAAAAGAAAAATAAGAAAGAAGGTTATGACTCGTGAGGCGTCAATTGAGAAAAGGCAACCTTTATTGCTTTGCCACCATATTCTGAGTGCCGCGAAACCATACAAAGGTGTGTGTGAGCCGCGTATGTTTAACTTTGCACATTGGTCGAACAACAAATGAACACAAACAAACAAACGCCATGGTCGCCAGCGGGGGGTTCATGTTCTACTGCTAACTTTCATTTTCACTTAGTCATGTCGTGCCGGAGCCGACGGCCTTTATAAACCGGTGAGTTTTGCTGTCTTCCTTTCTTCATTCTCAATTAGCTCACTGCTGCCCTCCCTTCCACTCTTTGTGTTCCTTCTTTCCCACGTCCACACTTCCATCACATACCCACCCTACCTTCTTTCACTCTTTTTTCACAACACAGCTCTTGACAAGAATGGCGTTCACAGCTCAAAGCGGCCTGCTCAAGTTCGGCTTTATCATCACAGTCTTTCTATTCTTCTGTGGTCTCGTTGCCCTTGGATCTCTCGCCAAATATGCTAGCCAAACGTAATACCCTTTCTACCCCTCCCATTCCTCCAACGCTCTTGCCCTTCGCCAACAAAACATCGCGCCTTTACATTTCCTCTACTTCCTTGAGCAGAGAAACATCCTTAGCAAAACAAACCAGATGATACCTAACACAATTGCCATCAACATCTTAGTGTGGAGGTTAGGAACCAGGACGATTACAAGGTCTGCCTCATCTTTTTGTCACAAGAGAAGCAACGCCCAGGAATGTGTACCTTTGCAGACACCGCCAGGTAAAAATTCAAAAAAAAACGCAACTGACAAAAAAACACCTGATGCTATTTTGCATGCACAGAAGACATCCTTTTGATACTCATCCACAATTGCTTCGTTAAATGGTGCCACGGTGAATAGTGCCCTCATTTCGGTTGTCGCGGCGTGTCTGTTTGCGATGGACTTTGTCACATGGAAGAAGAGCGAGAATTACAAGGGCAGACGCGCCTCTATGACTGTAAGTCATTGCTGTAGCTTTTAGATCGTTTCAGCAACTCTGGATGATCAAGCACCACAATGCCCTTTCGGATCCACTAATTAAAAAGTCGACACATTTTTCTTCTTTATTTTGAACGGAACAAACAAATGCAGAGCTTATTCCTAGCCCCAGCAATGTGCGTCCTCTCCTTCTGTGCAGCCATCACCCTCGCACTCGGCATCAAGTCAACCATGAAGCACGCCGAGGAGGTCTCCCCTGGTACGTTACCCTTCCTTCTTCTTGTCAGAAAAAAAGCGGGATCCTACTACTTTCTTATCCCGTCTTCTCTCAACCGAAAAAAAATGACTCACGCCATATCACTTTGCTTTCTCGTTAACCTAGGCTCGACCTACCCTGGTTTGAAGGGTATCTACACTGGCATCTCGTGTGTTGCCCTTGCCGGTTTATTCTTTGCCATTTATGCCTCAAGCGAGTTCATCCAGTACCGTCGTCGACACGTCAACGGAGACAAGGTACGTTTGCGCTCAAAGGAGAGGGAAATGTCTGCCTTGGTGTTGTTTTAAACTGTTGTTTTGCGAGTCTCACCATTTATTTGCTTGCCTCGTCTTGTTTCTTCGTTTCTTAGTGGTAACAACAAGGTCTCCTATACATGAATATAATTTACTCCGATTGTACTGTACACCTCCTGTCATCCACGCAAAAAAGCCACGAGAAGAATAAACATACGGAGAAAAGACTCTCACTTTTACAACAGTTCAAACTGAAGAAGAAAGAAGAAAGTTACAAGCGATAAAAACAAACAGTTTATTGAAGTGTGAATGTGAAAAGAGGCTTTAAAGCTTGAGGACAAGCTTGCCGGTAGTCTTTCTGCCCTCGAGATCATCGTGGGCCTGTTTGACATCCTGGATGGGGTAAACCTTGTGAATGGCAAACTGGAGCTTGCCCTCGGCAACCAAACCCAAGAGTTCAGAGCTCAGGGCATCAAACTCCTCGCGCGTGGTGATGTACTGGAAAAGAGTCGTGCGCATCAGACGGATGTTCTTCTCTGCCAGCCGCATAATGTTCACAGGTGGGACAGCTCCGCTGGCGTTTCCGAATGAAATGACGGTTCCAAGACGGCGGACAACCTTCAAGCTGACATCAAAGGTCGAAGCACCGACTCCATCAAAGACAACGTGGACGCCCTTGTTTCCAGTGAGCTCGTTGACCTTTGCTACCAACTCGCCATATCCGTTAGAGTAGTCAACCACGTAATCGGCTCCGTTTGCCTTGGCGAGCTGGGCCTTTGCCTCTGACGAAGTTGTGCCGATGACATTGGCGCCGAGGAGCTTGCACATCTGGCAGAGAAGGAGACCCACTCCACCGGCAGCGGCGTGGATCAGCACCCAGTCGCCCTTCTCCACCCTGTAGGCCTGACGCACCAAGGACCAGGCAGTCAATCCCTGAAGCAAAAGTGCTGCACCCTTTGAATCATAAAAACGTTGAATCGAGAAAATAAAAATGTGAGCAAATAGAGTTCCCACGGTGGAATCTTTTTTGTTTTTTTGTTGCAGTTGTCATTTTCTGGTCAATATCCATTGTAGAGTGTTCCAAGACTTACCTGCTCAAGGGAAATGGCATCGGGCAGCTTGGCGAGAGAAATAGTCGAAACGGCATCATACTCGGCATAGGAACTTGGTCCCATAAAGGCCACACGGTCCCCGACCTTGAAGTCGCCCTTGGCCTCAGGTCCAACCTCGACAATCTCACCAGAGCCCTCGCGTCCGACGATAAAGGGGAGGGTCTGGGGGTAGAGACCGGAGCGTTGGTAGGTGTCGATAAAGTTGACGCCAGCGTAGGCTACTTTGACAAGGACCTGGTCAGGTTTTGGAGTAGGCTTGGGGACGGGCACGTAAGCGAGAACGGAGCTGTCACCGTGCTTGGGAATCTGGACGGCATGAATAGTTGAGGACATTGTGCGACGGTTGTTGATGTAGGTGAGACGAGAGGTTGAAGATTTGAATGCGAGGGATGCAGAGAAATGAGAAGAACGGGAGAGCGAAAGGGATGCGAGTGTGCGGGAGGATGTGATGGAAAGAAGGCGGGGAAAAGACATCTCTTTCCTTTATTTTTGTGAGAAGAGTAGCGAAGCGATAACGGACGTGATTTTTTTTTTGATTTGTCAGTCTCTGCCTCTTAAGTAAAGGTCAAGACGTTGTATTGGTGGCTGTTGACGCGACCTGTATTGCTGTTGCCTTGTCCTATATATTGTATCCCGCATCGACGCGCGTGCGCATTGCTTCTCAATCAGCGTTTTCCCATCCTACATACAGGCGGTGTCCTTTCACGGTCGCGACACTTCAACTTGAGAAAGAACAGCATTCAGTTCAATATAGCTGACTGGTTTTTGCATTGTATCGATATCACTCAAAACCAACCCTATAGTGCTTGGGATATTTAGCAGATAACGTTACCCCTTCTTTCATTGAAAAAAACGATACCCACGAAACTTTCAAAAAACAATTAACGGACGTTGTGGAAAGAAAAGACATTCACTCCTCTTGTGGCTCAAACGGACAACTCTGGTGAGGGCAATCGTGGTAAACAAAAGAGAAGGACGAACGAAGAGGGAAACGGTCTTGGTGTGATGCAGGTACAAAAAGCGAAGCTCGGCACGTGACAAAAGAAGGCTGTCTACTTTGTGCGCTGCTCTCGCTCTCTTCATTCTTTTTATGAGTTCGTTGTAGGTCGACGATTGTTCCTCTCCACTCTCCACACTTTTCTTTCCCTTTCAAACAACCCCGCAACCCGACCATGGCATGTCCCTACTGCACTCTTGTGTCTTTTTCACCTTCTGACTCATCTCCTTCTCAAGACATCTGACTAACACTGCTCCTCATCTCGTTCACATTACGCGCACATTCACCACACAGGGGATGCTCACTGTCCTCGCCATCTACATCTCCTTCATCCTGCTCCTGGTATTTGTACTTCTCTTCGGACCCAGCCCCAGGTTCAGGTACGCTTTTTTTTCACTTCCTCTTCAATCCATGGCCGCCTGCCAGTGACCTCTACCATCGCAAAGACATATATCTGACAACAACCTAAACCAATGTTTACTATGTTATGACAAATAGGAACGGCATTATCGGGAAACTTCATGCCTTCATCACGGATACCATATGGATATACCTTGGGTACGTTCCTCAGGAGATGTGGTCCCTGCGCGTTCAATTCTACTCTGGGCACTTCTTTCCCCAATCTGACTTTCTATGTGCCCTTCGCATTCAATCCATAGGCGAGCAATGACCAAGGTCATGGGCGAAGGCTCGCTCACAAAGTGCGCTGGCTGCTGGTCGTACCTCTCGGAGCAGAGGAACCCATCCCTTCAAATCCTTTACATGTTCTTTATTACAGGATCAATTGGGACATTCATGGTATGCGGATTCGATCTCCTGGATGCAACAAACCTAGCCCCGATTCACAAGCAGTACGTACGCAAAGGCGATGTTGAACATTTGCGAATAACCTCGTGGAAAGCAACACACAGTCGGACTAACAACCCTCCTAATTGACTTTATGTAGGTTCGTGATCCCCGCCATGATTGCGTTCACATATGCCTGCTTTTTTATCGCCTCGGCTATCGGACCTGGTGAAGTCAATACCCGGAATGTGAGGCGCGCCCTGGACGTGTACCCCTACGACCATCTTTTATTCGACCCCAAGAAGTGCGGAACATGCAAGATTCAAAAGTAAGGAGAGCGGTTTTGTTATGACTGTGTTTCTTCCCTATTGGAGGGCGAAAGGACCTGAATGGGATGACTAAAGACTAACGGCATTTGCATTATTTTGCTTGTACGACCGCTTGTAGACCGGCCCGCTCAAAGCATTGCTCGCTCTGCAATATGTGCGTTGCACGATCGGACCACCATTGTAAGTTGCATTACCCGTTTTCTGCAAGAAATACAACCTGTCTCGTGTGACCAACCAACACTTGAACTCGATTTTACATCTAACTCGTGAATATTGCTCGCGTCATATAGGCGGCTGGATCAACCAGTGCGTGGGACACAAGAACCATCGCTACTTCATGCTGTTTCTGTACAGTGCCGTCCAGGTGTGCTGGTATGGCACATTCCTCATCTACAAGATCTTTTGCTCCAGGATGTACGACTCGCCCATGTACAGGTTCCTTCTCCACACCGGCCGTTGGGAGCAGCTTGGCTTTATGAAGGACTACCACATCTTTATTGTAAGTCTTTGGTTACAAGTACTAACTCTTGGCAGTGAATGGTTCAATAGGTTCATATGGACAATATCAGTGCTAGCATGCATATTCATCCAATCATGTTTTTTTACATTACCCGTTCAACTCTAGTATCAAATGCAGACGGACAAGTCACTGGGCGCACTGGGAGTGTTTGCATCACTGGCAGGATTGGTCATCTTCATCTTCCTACTCTACAACATATATCTGATTGCTACAGGTGTGACCACCAACGAGACGTTCAAGTGGGAGGACATTGGCGAGATGATCGACAGGAAAGAGCTGGTCGAGGTGATCGAGACCGACGCGGCTGGGAAGCAGATTGGACCCAAGCGGTATGAGCAGCGCGATCGCCGCCACCCAAGTCATCCTCGCTATGTTGGTCCACCAGTTCAGGAAGAACCTAGCCCGAAGCTAGCCCAATCGTCGAGGCCCGTTATCGAGGTCGAGAAGGTGGTCGGCAAGATGAGGGAGATTGACAATATCTATGACCGAGGGGTTGTTGCCAATATCAAGTCGATCATCTTCCCGCCCAATCTCGACAAGCCAATTGCTAAGCCCTTGTCAATCGCCAGTAAGGTGGCCAAGAGTGCCAGCAGTAAGAATAATAGAAAGAACAAGTAAATGCACGCTCGGTCAATCTAATATATCTAATGTATTACTATCTTGGAAAGCAGACTTGACCATGTCCCTGTTCGTTCGTCCTTCATTGCCTGTCATGACTGTCTTCACCAGAGTTGCCCCTTCGAACTGCAAGAGGAGTGAAAAAGAGTCGTTTTTGTTTCTGATATCTCCTACTTTCTGATTACTCAGTGAGACTAATAAACTCATCACTGATGGTACCTGGGATTGGGATCGACCTTTTATTGATAGTCGATCGTTCTTGGGGTGGACGAGGGGTGCAGTTATATGTGAACTATCCCACGTACCAGTCCATCTTCTTACTTTCAATGGTACCATCCTCCCCCTCTGCCTTCTTAATGACAATAAATGGCCTGTTTTACATGTGCATGCAATGAAACAGCGCCCCTCCTCTCCAAGCCCATTTGAAGTACCCAGGGGAAATTACATTTTTCTAAGGCATGGAACTCTCTTTTCTTTACCATCACTTTCTCGCCACAACCCTTTTCTCCTGTTTCTCTCTTTTCTCTCTCTCACACACTTTTCTCCATCCACCTTTCTTCTTCCTCTCATTTCCTTTGTCGTCAGGATCTTCCTCTTCCACCATGGAGATCGTTCAACCCATACCAACCCCTTCCTCCTCATTCACTAACGACGACGACGATATCATCACCCCCTTCACAACAACAACCCATGCACAAGTGAGCCCCGTCTCTGTTGAATCATTTCCTCTCCTCGCACCACATCACGTCACTTTGGAGTCCAACACCACCATCACCAACAGCAGCAGCACGGACTCTGATGACCCTTCCCAAGGCTCAACAGCCACCACTTCCACCATCACATCTGCCGCTCTGCCACACACAACCTCGCCCAACAACGACCTAACAACTATCCGTACACCCACCCCGGCCCTGAGCGAGAACAAGAACAATAACACCATTGACGCTTCTTCCTCCAGCGAGCCTTCCTCGTCGTCTATCAAGAAGGAACCCTCGCCACCAATACCAGTAACAGCAGCCGCAATACCATCTCCTCCACCTGCCGACACTCAAACAGTACCCGACAGCGATCACGCCCGTACCATTAGCAAGGACACACCAAATGCGACGCTGGAGCACATTCTTGCGCAGCTGAAGGAACAACCCGAGCGAGCTATCACTATCGCCTCCGTCGTGGGCGGTCTAATTGTTGTCCGGTATATCCTGCCTCGAATCGGCTGGGCTACCTTCTTTGTCGGGGTGTTGGGAATGGGCTTTGGCGGTTTTATTGTTGCCTTTTATCTCCTCGCAGTTCCAGAGGCGACACGGCTCAAGCGCGCTTCGTCAGTCGCAAAGTTTGGCAGACACCATGACCAGCGCTTCGAGATAGTGGATGGCGTTCCTTCATGGTCAGAGAGCCACGAAAAAGTAAGTGGTGTCTGGGTACTCAATTGTTCCGGTGCTCCTTTTCGTGTTCGCCTCCAGGGGATCCACTGCCGGCTCATCCCTTGCCCTAACTTTTTATTTCTTTTGTTCCCTCTCTCTCTCTCTCTCTGTCGATGGATTAGCTCCTGACCATCACGCCTTTGCCAGAGGCTAAAGACTCTGACCTTCAGCATGTCACCATCTCACCCGATATTGATCCAATGGTGGAGGACATGATCTCGTACGCTCTGCGAGACTTTGTGAATGTTCCCGTCGGCCTTGTTTCTGAGGGGCAGCATAATGTCCCTTTGCGAGCATCCATGGTCGCCATGGCCATGAACCTTACCAGCAGATTCTCCAACGTGCGCCTTCCAGAGACCGCGCTTTTGGCTGTCTTTGGCCTGCAAAACAATTTTATTGTCCACTTGGTAAGAACCAAAAAAAACCCCCCATCTGCACACAACAACAACATTAACTGCTTATTCGAACGCAACGTGAAATGTAAAAAAGAAGGGGACCAAGAAAGAAGAGAAGAGAAGAGTTGTGTGAGCAGAATGGATAAAACAGCCGTTGACAATTGTACCTTCCCATTGCAACTGTTTAGCGTGCATACCGCGAACTACGTGCTAGCCGACTGCCGATTGAAACCTATGTAGCAGCGCACGCCAACCCGGATTCGGTCATTGGCCGATGCTATCACAAGGAGGAACGGCAGAAGCAACTCAGGAGCACTGCCAAAGCCATTTGCCAGGCACTACTCCCCAAGGGCGACCAGCAATCCAAGGCCCTGTTTGCAGTCATGCAGGAGATCATGGCATCCCATGTCCTTGAGTCGACACTCGATTACGTCTGCGACCCCGACTTTATCAACCTCTCCATCATCGACTACTTCACCACTTCGGCTACTGAGCAAAAGGACGGGGCAGCGGCATCCGAGGCAGCACGGTCTACTACGCGGGAAGCCAAACTGGAGGAGGCGCCCATCAGCTCCCTTGCTGACTCTATCCTGATGAACGCCGCCCACTTGATGGACAAGACTTCTCGCGACCCTCAGGAGTCAGGACCAGCTATTCAGAAGCCAACGCCACAGCATACCATACCCTTCTTGGACACATCAGTAGCCAGTAGGTCTCTTGAAGCTCCTCGGTCAGCCCAAGTGTCGACTCCTCGGTCAGCGTCTGTCGCCCAGGACAAGCATTTTATCGCCCAACCCAAGCCATCTGTTTCCTTGAAAGACGTTCTCTCTCACAAGAACGAACACATGGACATTTATCAAGAGTTCATGGCCTACATACAAGTTTGGGACGCTATGGACTTGGTGCAGTTTTGGGTCATGATCGACATTTTCCATCGACAGATCGAGCAGGGTACATTCGCTAATCCGGAGGACCTTCGACGGGAAGCCAACAATATCTTTGAGAGCTACTGTGGTCAGGATCCGGAGCAGCAGGTGACGGGCATTCGTGATGCCAAGGGAGGCGCGGTGCTAAAGAACCTCAGGAAAAACATTCGACCCAACCCAGCCTATTGCTTTGCCGAGCCGCAGGAGTGGGCAATGAGTGTTCTGGATCAGCAGTACTGGGAGCCGTTCAAGAGTAAGCAGGAGAGGGAGACTGCCGCCATCGAGACTCCGCAGAAGTCAGCATCAGAGCCACCAGAGCAGCAGCAGCATCCACAACAACTCGTGGACGATGCTGCACCCCGGCCATCCCTGGCATCTATGAGGAGCTCGTCTTCGTTGTCGTTGGCTGCTTCACCAATTGATATCGAGAGCGTCGTGGAGCGTACAACACCAACACAACAGCCACCATCGGTTCCAAAGCTTTCTGTTCAGGCGATCAACTTGGCTGACATGGTCAACCGTCGTCCCAAGACATTGATGTCCAACTCGGATCTGAGCTACATGGTCGAGGTCCAGACGCATGCAGGACAAGGCTGGATGGTGACGAGAACATTCCAACAACTGGAGCAACTCCAACAGGCGCTCTTGCAGCAGTATCCAGTCGTACAGCGGTCGATTTTCCCGCGGTGGAGACTCCAGCCTAGCGACAAAGTCTGTCTCGGTCTCCAAAACTTTATGCGGGCCATGTTGGCGATTCCCGAGGTCAGCGAGTCAATGAGTTTGAGTTGGTTCTTGAGCAAGGATTTCGACCAGTGCTCCGTCAGTGTTCAGGAAGCAGGACTCTTCCGCAACTCGATGCCATCCACTAGCAACCCTCTGGCCGAATCTGGAAAGGCAATCGGCTTGGCCGCCTCTCAAGGCGCCAAAACCGCTCTCCGTCAGGCGAGTGAGGCGTCATTGTCGGCAGGAAGATTCTTCAAGTCGATCGGAGCAGCCGTGACGAATGGAACCTCGGCAAGCAGCCCTCAATTGACGCCCATGTCGGAGGAGAAGATTGCCAGGGGATCATTCGACAGTGTCAGGAGTTCAAGCAGCACGTTCACTTTGCCAGAGCGCCAACAACACAATGCAGGACAGCATATGACACCAGGATCGACACCAGTGCCGAACGGCTCTCATTCGACACCAATGTCTGGAACGGAAGGGCCAAGGAGCGACACCCCCTCACGGTTTTCGTCATCTCTTCGCGACGAGGCTACCCAGTCCCCCATTGCCACCAATCCACCCGCTCAAGAAATTTCTGCGCTCACCTCGCCCGTGCCTACCGCCGCAACAAGAAAGTCGGATGCTTCAGGCTTTGAAAGTAGCCCCCACACTGGGTTTGGTAGTTTACCCAGCCCCAGCAATACTCAGGATTCACTGCCAGGTCAGGGCCGATCAACCCCCACCCCAGTGTCTTTACCTGAGTCCACACCGACCATTGCACCTACACCATCTACATCACCCTCTGTCACCACCCCCACGACAACGAGCGCCCCGACTGCAGGAGCTCCACCACTGCCCAAGAAGAAGATGGCGCTCCTATCAAACGACGAACTGGACCTGCTGATTGAGACATCCTTCACGGTCCTGGAGGATATTATGGATTTCTCAAAGGGCCAGTCCATCCGCCGTATGACATTTGGAGTGCTTCGGGAACTGGTCCGCAAGTCATATCGCGTAGCGATCAACCAGAGCTTCTCGACATGGGTCGAACAAAGTACCAGCCACGAGAGTACTGTCGATATGGTACGGTGGATGAAGGAGGATCTGCTGTGGCCGAATGGAGAGTGGCCTGTTGTTCCTCCTACCCCTGTGGCGGCAGCAGTGGCGGCTGGAAATGAGGATACGGCAGAGAAAGATATTATCCGAATGGGCGACGACAGCTATGAGATTGGGAGCGATGGTATTGCGGTCAAGGTCCAGCCCTCCAACAACAACAACAACAACAACAACAACAACAACAACAACAACAACAACAACAACAACAACAACAACAACAACAACAACAACACCTCCAGCAAAACGACAGACACAACAGCAGCAACAACAACGGTACCGGTGCCTGCAGCAAGGACAGAGAAGGAAAAGGAGGTGACGCGGGAGAAGGCACGAGAGTTGGTCAAAATCATGCTCCCTGGGTCCTTGGTCACTGTGCTCGGAAAGGAGGCTGTGCTTCGCGGTTTGGTTGATGTCTTTGAGATGATGCAGATCAAGGAGTTGAACCTGGGTCTTGCCCTCAGTGTCCTCGAGATGACTGTGCGTTTGACCCTTTCTCGCTAGTTTTCTATTGTAATAAAACCCCACTAGAGTATACCAATTTTCACGGTATCGTTGATGCGATGGGAGATCGGTGACATTGCAACCATGAATGCAAGTTGTCATCCAATGAGTACCTCGCTCCTCATGGAACACCTAACTTCCGCGACTTCCGCGCGTAGGTCGCCAGTCCGCTCGATGGGTCTCCAGCATCAAGATGGTCGGCCCGCCTTCCTCTCCCTCCAGCCAGCGTTGCCACAGTTGACGGGGGCTCTCCGAGAGGTCAGGGTAGTGGTATTTGAAATGGGGCACATGGTGATGGGGATCCTCACATCGAGCTGGGGGAACACTGCAACCACTTCTATAAAATAAGGTAGTGTGAGAGGGTCATTGGTGTCGTCATCCTCCAGGACGATTTTGTAGCGCGCCGCCTCCGGATCGAAAGCTTCGTACTCATCTCCCAGCGCTGCTGGCTCGTCGACACCCTCGTCACCGTCCTCGCTCTCGCTCTCAGTCGTTCTCTCCGCCGCCATATAGGCATCGTCGTACTCATCCTCATCGTCAAGCTCCTTGGCCATCACGACGTGGAAGTTGGCGTTGAGGGTCTAAAGCTGATGTTGAAGCGGTGAAAGGTAAGGAAGAAAGAGAGAGTGTGTCTGTCGTTTTCACTTTCTTTTCTTTTCCTTAGTGATCCTCATTCAAGAGAACGAGTAACAAACACGTAAGATCATTATGTGATGAATCAAACCCCTCATCATTGTAGCCACTTGTCTACGCTCTCCATCTATCTATCTATCTATCTACCTATCGTGGAAACTTTTCTCTATTTGACCATGTCGCAGTGGCGCTTCTCCTAATTGAACGCGTGTACTTGGCTTTATCAGACCTCATATCATTTCACTTTCACATTCGAATGTAACTTTGGCATGCTAGTTTTCTTTATTATTGTGGGGGGTGTCGCGCGTGAGGCTGTATGCAAAGGCGGGTAGGAAAAGATTCACTTGCGTCCAGTTATTCCTTGGACGAGGAAATGTGCAGGACTCGGGCTGATACTCATGGACATAATCGACTTGTTCATCTCAGCCTCATCATCATCCTCGCCCTCGTCGTCCTCACCTTCGCTGTTCATTGAACCGCTGTGACGACCGATATCCTGCAACTCCTCATCATCGTCTTCCTCGTATTCATATTCTACATCCTCATCCTCATCATACTCATCCTCATCCTCATCGTCTTCATCCTCATCCTCGCTCTCCCACTCTTGGTAGATACCCTGCATGAAGGGCGCACTCCGGTGGAGGCGGTAAGGGTCAAAGGGAAAGAAGGTCTCGAGCTCGTGGGGCAACTGCCCACCCACCGCTGGACTGCCACTACCGCTAGCTCCAGCCCCATTGCGGTTGCCGCCGCTTCCAGCTCCCAGCATGTCCGAGTCTGGCCGTGCTGCGTGTCGTGGGATGTAGATTTTCTTATTTTGTTCCAGAATCGGGTAGATGTACATGAAGTCAAGCGACTGTGAGATCCTTGCAAACTGCTTCACCACATTCGACGAGCACATCTATTTAGTTTGGTCAGCACGAACAAGTGCGTTGGCATGAGTTTCTTGTTCAAGAAGAGATGACGACTGAAGGAAAATGAATACAATCGAATGCGTGTTTACCTTGAGGGGGTTAAGGCGACTGGTGACGACTCGCTGAAGACTGTTCAATCCTGAATGCCACTGCCGGCCGACTCTTCGAGAAGAATTGACATCAGGTGAGTCCATGCTGCCGACAATCATACCAGCAGTGTCAAAATCGTCCTTGCTGCTCCGAATCTCCAAAACTCGCCAGCGGAAACAGAAAATATACATCAGAGCTTGAACGACGGCGTAAAAGACGGCGTACCGATCGGCATCCGGGAGTACATTCGATCCTGTATCAACTTGTGCGACCAACTCCAACACAAAGTTGCCAAGCATGTCGATCACCATGAGGACTTGTCGGATGTCGAGGTACTTTGCTCTTGACACAAACGACGACATGTATGCCGCTGCCGACACTCGAATCACCTCGGGTTGTGACTTGTCAAGAATCTTGGTGCCGAGAGCGCCCAGGAAGTAGTCTGAAAATTGAGGTGAAAGCGAGACCATGTAAAAGATGATGAACTGGGTGTGTCGAGACTTGAATGTCTGCAAGATGGTGTTCATAAAGATCTGCAAGAGGACGAGGAATAACTCCTCGACAGGGGCGGGCATGCGCCCATTCTGTGTAGGAAGATGCCGGCAGCTGTTGATGTAACCTTCGAGGTATGAAAAGACCAGGAATAGCATGCCATCGAGCTTCTTTGTCATCTCCTTGATGTCCAAAACTGCAACCGGAGTGCCATCCGAGTCTGATCCCGAATCTGAATCGTCGTCCGAGTCCGAGTCCGATTCATCTGAAATCCCGTCGTCGTCATCTGCAGTATCAAAATCGTATGCAACCTCTGTGTCCGAATCCTCCAGTTCTTCCAGCTCTACCTGAATCTCAACCTATGACGTGACAACAGAAGATGTACATTTTGTCAATACACAGCACGCTGACCGAACATGATGAAAGTCGAAACATGAACAATTCAATACTTACATCGACTTGAATGATCCTGTCGATGACAAGGCCAAGGATCTGTGTGCGGAGGACGGGTGCGTATTCTAGGACGCGGAGGATATTTTTGACGTATACTGTATGGGCATAGATCGACTCGCGCTTGTGTGGGAACTCTTTTGCAAGCAAGGGGAATAAAGATGTCGCGCCGGTAGGGATAAGTCCAAGGATATACTTAAGCGCCAGATGAACACGCTCGTGTTGTGTTTCGCGGTTGATGATGGGTGTATCTGTTGTCATTGTTGGTTTGTAACCTAGTGTTTGAAAATAGGCAGATGTTAATATCTGATAAGATACAATGGGTGCCTGTGATATGGCCAGCCAGACTGTCAAGAGAGCATTACTTACGGTGGGTAAGCTTTTGCATGAGCATTGACTGGACTGGGACCACATAGAAGGCATGGGCTGACACGACGTTTCCCAAGAAGGACATATAGTACTGTACAAAGACGTCATCCTGAATAAGCCAATCGATCTGCAGCATGGTTTCGATCAGAGCCACGCACGACTTGTCCAGGAGGGAGATGCACTGGGAGAGGGCCTGGATCCACTGCAGCATTTTCGTCGGAGCCAAAGGCGAAGGCTTAGTCACCGTTAGCTGTGCGATGAGTTCTTCGTACTTGATTGGATCGCCCTATAAGAAAGAAAAAAATTGACAGCCAAAGAAAAATGAAAAATGAAAAAAGGAGAGGGGTGTTAGGCCAAGTCCGAATAAAGGCGACAAGATCATGCAAACAGAGGTCCAATTGTGATACTGCTTGAATAAGCTCAACTCCATGGCTTACTCAATTGACTTTCAAGCCAGAGATAGCAAAGACAAGAAAGAAGGGGGAAGAAAGCTGCCTGCATGGATCGTATATGGTGGCAACGAGGGTCAAGGGCGTTGTGTGAGAAAGTATTACGTACCCTCCGTTTTTCCTGAATGGCGCTGGTGATGTAAGTGGTCATCAGCACCAAGCTCTGGCGCTGCTTTTCAAAGTCTGCGACTTGCTCGGAGGAGATCATGGCGGGTGAAGAGACGACGGGAGTGGAGATGGATCTTTTCATGGGGGAGTTGGCTGCGGCGAGGATATTATTATTCGAGCCGCTGGCTCTCTTTCTGTGACCGCGGAGTGGAAGCTCGCAGTCCATGGTGGGGGATTCAGGAGCGAAGGTGACCTTGGGAGCAGATGCTGCGGCGTGGATGGAGTGTGATACAGGCATATATGAATGTGTCTTTGCTGCGGTTTGTCGTTTCTCTTTTTGTTTTTCTTTTTCCCCTGGAGTCTGGTTGTTAGAATGAAAGAAGGAGTGAAGGGGTGGAGAGTGGGGAGAGAGTGGTGTGTGTGTATGTCTGTGGCGATTGCTCTCTGGTTTGCTATTTTCGAGGGGGAGTGTTGTTGTTTTTCCTGCAGGAGTTGGTATCGTCGTTTTTGTTGATGCTGGTGTAGTTTGTTTGTCTCGTGAGGGATGTCCAGAAAGAAGAAGGTCTGGCTTTAGAACGACAACAAAGGAGAAAAAAAAAAGAGGAGGCACAAACAGACAACATAAACAGCAAGTCACAGTGGCACAGACCAGCGATCGATTCCCCTTAATCAATCAATCTATCACTTCTGTGATAACTGGTAAGGCAGACAAATGCTTTTTCATTGCCATCACTCTCAACCAGGGAGACACACAGGAACATGCAACAGCAAACAGCACCACGGCCACTCATCGCAGAGATTGAACAGCTCAGACGCTCAGTCGACGTGAGTCTCCCCCATTGTTTTCCCCTCAGAATGCATTCAGTCGTAGTCAAACGATGACTACTTGTGAATCGTCCCTTGACAAACAGCTTTTCTTCTTCGTTCTCTGCTCTAGAGCATGAACTCTCAAACCGCCGAGATGCTTAAGAACCTCGAACAACTTCGACACCTGTAAGGAGGTGCCGGATAATCTATCATATGACTTCAATCAAACGGGACATTCACAACAGGGACGAAGTATCCATTTTTAACGCGCTCTCTGTTACCTCCTTGATAGAGGCGCGGATCATATTGCACTCCCATCAACTGAGCAGGAGAAGCTTGACCGCGAGTGGGAGTACTTTGAAACCGTCTGCGACCAAGTGTACTTTATTCTGGTAACTTGAACTTACCACTCCAACGATCTCTAACCAGGCAGGAAAAAAAACGAATGTAACCAGAAACTGACAACAACTCTTTTCTGTGAATAGGAAAACGCAAAGTACAAACTCAAGAGGCAACAAAACATGTATCACAATCAATTGAACCCTCCAGTCCCTGAACCGGCGCCAGTGATCCCTCAACACGAACCAGTAACGCCAATTGTTCACTCGGTCACAACACCCATCAGTAACACGACACCTCAATTGTCTGCAGGAACAACGCCCACAGGATCAGTAGCAACAGGAGCAACAGTAACACCATCCACGACAGCAGCAGCAACAGTAGCGATAGCAACCCCGTTAAACTTGGTCACACAATCGCCTGCAGCAATAGGCATGACCCCTCAAAACAACTCGCCACTGGATTTACAAATGTTGAGTCCACCAAGCAATTTCGACATCAACTCTTCTACACCTGGCGGTGGCGTCACGACTCCCTCGATGCTTTTGTCGGCTGCAGCACAGGATACCAACCTTGCTGTTGGCAGCAATCCGTCACTTGATCCATCACTCGATACTGATGGCACTAATAACATTCAGGACACCATGCTCGACCTTGGCGATATTGGCAGTCTCGGCAACGGAGACATGGACGACATGATCAACTTTTAATCTCTTCTCTTCCTTCACTTACTGTAGAAAAATAATAAACATCAAAACAATCAACAATGACTTGGAAAAACAAGACTTGTGGATGTGATGAAAGATATGAATGATATCAAACAGTATCCTACAAAAACGAAAAACGTGAACTTTGAAGGAACCAACCTACCAACACGCAAAAAATTGAAAAGAGAGATATGCAAAAGAGAATGCGACCTGTGTGGATTGAACACACGACCTTCAGATCTTCAGTCTGACGCTCTCCCAACTGAGCTAAGGTCGCTATTGACTTGTCGTGAATTGCCACCCCTATATTCACCACTTTCCCTTTTTTCTTCTTTCCCACTACTTTCCTTCCTTTCCCTTCTTTTTTGCTCTCTTTGTTTGCGTTTTCCCTTTTACCCGCAAACGCGACTCCTACCTCTTTTACACTTTCGTTTACACCTTTCCCCTTTGTTGATGACAACTATCGTCGCCCCGCTCGCTCTCAACACCCAGTGACACAAGGAGCCATCGCCCCGAGTCACTTTTATTATTTCCTCTTCTTGTCTTTTATGTTGTTCATCCCTTTGACAAAGACCCTCTTTGTCAAAGGCCCTTTCTTTGTTGTTGATGGCCCCTTCCTACTTCCTTTCGTTGTTCATCAAGTTGTTAACTCTTACACCAGTTAGTAGTAGCTCCCCCGGGCCATCTCTTTTTTTACGTCTTCATCTTATTCTCTTTCATTCAGTGACCCCACAAGTAGTAGTTTAGCGACCTTAGTCAGATAGTATAAAAGGACACCTGGAATGGATGATTGAACAGTATCTTCCCCCCACTGTTAATCATACCATTCTAGGTAAGTTCCTCTCCCCCTCCCCTGTCAACGGCTGTTCTCGTTGTCCGAACAGCCACTAAATAAACATCTTCCCCCCACTGTTAATCATACCATTCTAGGTTGAGAACCTCGAACCCGTTGTCCCCTTTTTGCGCCGAAGATCCGCATTCATTCCCCTGTCGTCCCTGAGCGTGATCTAGTTGAGATCACTTCCTCTTCCTCTTCCTCTTCCTCCACTTCTTTGCCAGTCTAGTTGAGACTGCGTGGTATCTCCTGCAGACGTTGCTCGAGGCCCCCACAGACTATTCAAAACTTTGGTTAGTTTTGATCATAGGGAGTGATTGACGCATCATGTGACTTTGCCACCAACTTTGTGAATATGTCACGTGTTGTTGGATAAACATAGGAATAACAAGCTGTAAAATTCTTCATTATAAACGCCATGATAGTATAATGGTTAGTATATCTCGTTGTGGCCGAGACGATCCTGGTTCGATTCCAGGTCATGGCATTCCTATCGGATTATTTTTGTTTCTGAAATGAATCCTTTTACTGAGGACACTCTTTTTTTTGCATCGCCTGTATGACTATCGTCGCGTTGTAAGGAAGTGACCCAGGATCTTGGTTGCATGCTTTTATTTTGTCAACACCCGTTACTCACCGCCACAGATGAAGAATCAAAATTGTTTGTGCACAAGTACAGTGTTCGTGTACCCTGATCATCAATCTTTTATCGCACGTTCCTGTAATGACAAAATCGATGCCCACGCGTTGAACGCGTTCACGTCAAATTAAATCTGCTGCATTTTCGTTGCCATTGACGTAAATCCACAGTGAACACCGCATTACCTCCCCGTATGAAGAACAAAAAATTGGGAAGGGACAAAAGTCAAAAACGCTGCCACCAGCGATAGTTGCACAATCACTCGCATTTTCATTACTTTATTTGCCTTGATCTGTTGTATTCGGTGGATAAAGATTCCTTAATACAACGATGGAGGCTTTGGTTGACGCGTTTACCTTTAGTCGATAAGCACACTGTGTACGTAGCATGAAAGGTTGCTGAATAATAGTAAAAGGTCAGCGAAAAGAAAAGAATAGAAAAGGCTGAGTGATCGTTTCTACCGGTGAATAAAAACAAAGAGAGGAGTTGGTGGAGGAACGGAAGACAAAAAGGACAAGAAAGCTGATTGACAAATGAAAGTATGTGCGATCAGCACAAAAAAAATGTTTTGCAACGGCTATGTGCTCCGTGCGCGGTCCCTGAAATATGTCATATCATTATTGTCCTCAGACTTGAACTTGTCAACCAAGAGCATACAATAGGAAAACCTCATGCAGCCTCGACTTTGACTACACTGTCATAGCTAATACCATTTGTTGTTCATTGTTTGGTCGTATTTTCTTGTGATACCATTTTTTTATTACTGTTTTATGATATGTTAGCTGGTCGACCCTCCAATGGATCCTCACACTCCAGCCTCCAAATACGTCTACTGCTGCATCATGGGCCTATTCGCAACAAAAGAAAATACAGAACATCGTTAGCATACACGCGCAAAGAAGAAAAAAAAAGAACCATCTCGCAATACGACCACCAAACTGAACTCAAACTTACAAGAACTCTCTGAGAATGACGGGGACAGAGGTACATGGGATCAACCCCACTTCCGTAATAACAACAGTGACAAACTCACTGGGGGTCAAATCATACAGCAAGTTCAAAAGCTTCAAATCCCTTGACTCTCTCCATCCAGTCAAAACACCAGCCCCCGCAGCAGCAGAGGCAGCATCACCACCGTTGGCGCCACGGACGCTGGGGTGGCAACGTGTGCTGCTGTGTCCAAAGTTGTTGCTCTGATCGTTGACAAGCTCGTCAGGGTTTCCAATCTCGTTCTGCACAAAACTGTCCAGCTGAACACGCTCACTAAACTTGTAGGTTTCACAGCAGACAATCACAGGGATCTTTCGCTCATGTGCTGACATAGCCACAACTGCAGTTCCGGCGCGAGAGTACAAGGCTCCGTTCGAGAGCAAAGAGTGGGCGCCCAAGATCACCTTGTTCACCTCCCGCATCACATGCCCAATCGCCGTCAACAACACATATGTGCAAGGCACTCCCGCCGACGCCAACGCCCTCAACAATTGCTTTCCTGTTGGAAATAATCAAAAACAAGAGAGGGAATCATCATTAGAAAACAAGATCAATCATTTCACGCAGGTCAGTTCATCAAAGGAAGCAAAAATGTTACCTTCGAAGCGGGGACGAGAATCGACGACAATGACCTTGAACTTGATGCCCTTGGCGTGGGCGGCCAAGAGTAAGCCCTGAACGACCGAGGAGCGTGCATAGGTCAAAATTACGTCTCCATCCTGAATCTTTTGCAATCCCAAGCTCGTAATGACCTGGTCTGCCATCGTGATTCTGTCACGAATAAAGTTGTCAATCTTTTCCACAAACAAAGCACGGGCCTACATCATCGTTTTAAGCAAAAGATTGAAAATTGTCAGTACGCTTGTGATTTTTCTCGATCCGCAGTTCATATGAACAAAAAAAGTCGCGAAAACTTACGTCCTCGTCAGGGAGCTCCAGGTTCTTTCCGATCTCGTACTTGAGGTAGCGAATAGCGTTACCCATACTCACGGCCATGGGTCTGCAAGTGACGAGGTAGCTGATGTGAGGGTTCAGGTAAGTCTGAATGTGGCGAGAGAGGGTCGTGTTGGGAGGAGTCTGGTAATCTTGGATAGCCTAATGAAACGTAGAAAAAATGGTGGTGAGCATCCTGCTCAGTCGGCTACTACACAGTTCCGCAACATGAACAAAAATCGTACAACATACCTTGCGGAAGGCGTTGAGAGTGGCGACGCAGCGGGCATTGGCACCACAGATCTTGAACTGAGCCATCTGAAGTCCAGCATGAACAACAGCTGGGTGAAGGTCCTTGGGTGCCAAGGCAGTGTTGGCAAATTTAGGAGGGTCCAGATGAGCAAATAGACCAATCTCCTTGGTCAACTTTTCGCGTCTCCTGGCCTGACCGGTCGACTCTGCAGCAGCAATCGCCTTCTCGGCCTCAGCCCCGGGGAACGATGTAGCCAAGGATTTGGAGGGGTTGGGCGAGAATCCAGAGTTGGGCTGGTTGAGGACCTGAGCGGCTTTCTTCCCTGAGGCTGGCAAACCTGCAGAGACACGAGCGGCCTTCTCGGCCTTCTGCTTCTCCTGCAACTCACGACGCTCGGCCTTGGTCATCGACTTTTGAGAAGGTGCAGCAGGTTTCTGAGATCCGCCCTTACCGCCCGATGAAGGGGCGCCTCCTGCTGATGGTGGGGCTGAACTAGTGCTGTTGCTGCTCTGAGGGCCGTCTGTGCTGGGAGATCCTGCGTTCGCCTGGATCCCCAATCCTGACGCCTTGACCTTGCTCTCCTTCTTGTTCGATCCTCCCTGCTCCTTGGCAGGGAATCCAGATCCGTCACGAGGCGAAGCTGTCTTTTGGGATCTGGACTGAGGTGTGAGACCCCACTGCTCCTCATATGAAGACTTCATGGGTTCGTAAGATGAGCGTGCCCCGGAGGTGTTGATGGAGCGAGGTTGAGAGGAAGCGGCAGCAGATCCTGCGGGATTAGGGGTACTAGTGGTGCTGTTGTTGGTGGTGCTGCTGAGATCTGGGGTATTACTGAACGCCGAAACGGGCGAGTTTACTGTGCTGGTGTTGTTGCTTCCTCCTGGTGAAGTCGTGGTATCGGCATCGTGCTGTCAAAATGAAATTGAAAAAAGAGTGAAGAAGAGTTGGTCAACTGCGGGCGACTGAAGGAATAAAAAAAAGTAGGACGAGTCATGATGTGTTGAGGTGGAGTCGTTGTTGACAGATAGGTGGGTAACAAATGTTTTGGATGTCAGGCTTTAGTCAACGCGGCTTCGGTATGAGTCGACACCAGGCCGCAAAAGAGATACGAGGGCGTTTCTGTTGTTGTTGTGTTGTGTATGTCCCGCTCCATGGTTGCCCTTATTCCAAAAGAAATTTTTGCGCTGAGTCATACCGACTCGAACCTCGCACTGAACAAAGAAAGGAACGCAAAGAAGTGAAGAGTCAAGGATACATATGTGAGAGCCTTAGTCACATATGGTGCATCCTTTTTCCATCACTGGCGATCCCGAATGAATAGTTCCCGATCCAAATTCCTGTTACAGGGAAGGGTGAGCAGGGACACATAACATACATCGGGCACGAATCCGACAGTCTTCTTTTTGGGATCCATTTTGGCGAGGTTGTCTGACAAGGAAAAAGGTGAGAAAATGAAAGAGCGCTATTTTCCACGTTTAAGCAAAAAAAAGTACCAGTGACGTCACACTGGCACTTTTATTCATGGCAACTCATTGAGTTGCTTCCCGTCATCCTTCGCCCTCAACCTCAAGAGAACCCTGCAGCACGACGGTCAAGAAAAAGACAAGGCATAATGGCATCGATTAAAGTACTGCCATATCCGCCAACGCTGCGCTTCTTTCGTGCCGCACTTCGAGCAACACGATTGACGCCACCAAATCTACAGGGTGGACTCGCGCCGCAACTAGGACACCTCCAACGAAAACTACGATACAACATCCGGGACGGCATCTCGATCTACCAACATGAGAGAGATGCCGATACAATTGACCATCTCATTCGCGGCGGAGAGCAGGATATCGCCATGATCCAGGCCTGGAAGACTGTCGATCCGTATTGGCTAGAGAGCATCTTCAAGAAACCAACACCCAAAAAACAACAACAAACAAAGGATTGATTGGGCCTTGTTACAAGGAAGAGGATCTTTATTATCATCTTTTTTTTAAGACTACTGTGGACATCACCAGCGACTCTTTTATATCTCAAAGGACCCAACGCGCATACCATCCATGGCCATGACAGCGGATGTAGCGCCATTCAGGCCGGAAGGAATACAGCTTGAACTCTGCTCCAGCATTGCAATCAAGCCGAGGACCAATCGCTCTTGAAACTCTAGTTTCTCTACCCCTGGATCCCCACGCCACTGGTCCCACAACCTTGCTTCTTTTGAATAAACGCCGTCACCACCCTGTTGCTGATCTTGCTTTTCAGGAACAGCGCATAGATACAACACTTTCATGACTTTTTTACCTCTTCCGCTTGATGTCGTGTTCAGATCCATCCGCAGAGAGTCGTCCCATGACATCTGGTGGTCCTGTAATGGTTCTTGGTTGGTGACGATAGTTGTATCCCAGTTCAACATCCACAGCTAGGACAATGAAAAAGAATGCAAAGAGTTTTGTGAGCGGCATGAGCGCGCCATGAGACGCAAACACATTATGTAGTCGTGAACAGAGGTTCCTCCCTTACCATTAGCATGTCGCGACCTTGAAGTCGATCCTGAAGAATAAACCTGTATGTCGCATGGTGCCTTGCAGACTCAAAAATCTCTGTAGCAACGTACGACGAGAATCGTTGGCGTGGGATGACAAGCGCCTGTTGTGCTTGCTGGTTCCGACCATGATACTGCACCAGATACTTATGGAATTTGACCTGAATCATCTCCAGGTCTATCAGAGCCGAGGAAAAAAGTGTTGAGAGTCGTCAGAGGTAGTTCAAATGTCTTCGTTTCACGGCAGGGTGGACTTGCGGCGAAAGCGCAGCAATACTTTACCTGTTCCGTCCTCGAGTCGGGACTGATACCAGCCATCGCCAACTGGTGACATGCACCTCGAGCATGCAAGTGGACGCCACCGCCGCTTGACTCCTTTTGTCCACTATGTCGCATTGATCCGCCAGTCAAATACATAAAAAATAGTTAGTACCAAACATTAACGTAGCAAAAAAATGCAAGGCGAAAGGAAGAGGGAGTATTGCTACACACATAGCTCGTTACTGAACAATATTAGATTCAGTCTGTTCTGGCTGGTAGCAAAAGGGAGCACACAAAACACCTCGCACTCTTTGCAATGCCGCAAAAAATAAACAAAGTGAGTTGCATTTTCCACTTTTAAGATTAATGTTGGACTGGAGTATCGACAACGGTCGGTCAGTAGCTCGAGACGCCGGTCTTCTAATAGTCCGTGATGTGAAGGAGGAGTGGGAAGGGGTTGGGCAAGTGAGGAAGGGCGACTTACATCAACTGAGCGGGCATCCTCTTCGATCATCACGGCGTGGTGTTCGACGTCCTTGGCGTGGATCAGCAGATAGGTTCCTCCAACGAGAGCTTGTCCGAGACGAGCACCTAGATCTCCCTCGCGCAGCTCTGTAAAGTCCTCCTCGTGGCACATCCAGCAATCCACAAGTTCCTGCCAATGTTCCGAGGGCAGGTCGACAACTCTCTGGATAGGTCCTGAAGGCGATTCAGGACCAGAGCTGGTGGTCGAGTTAAGAAGGGTGTTCCCACAGGAACCGCAGGCGAGGTTCTCAAGGCCTTGGAGTTGCGAGGCAGGGAGCGGTGAAGGCGGAAACTCTGTCGTCGAAGCTGCAGACAATGACGACGAATTCGAAGTCTCCAGTGGAATATTGGGCAAGGCTGTAAGTTTGAGAGACAGTAGGTTCGAGCGCGACGATGACGGATCCAGAGTTGTCCTTGTGGGCATGACACGCGCTGGGAGCAACAGTCTGTCGCGGGTTACAGCGACGCTTTTTTCTTCTTCCTGTAGATGAATCGCATCGTCAAAGTTTAGACCTGGTTGGATGGAGGGGATGAGGTCGACTGCTTGGGGACCGATCCTGCAGGTGACTCCTGAGGGAGGGACTTGGACGGAGAGAGTGATTGAGTTGATCTTGGAGTGGTACTCGGCATGGTACCTGGCCTTGTTGGATTGCATCGTTGTTATTTGTATTGGAGAAAAGAAGCTGAATCCTCAGTCTGTCAGCAAGCAATAAGAAAAATACAAAAGCGTAGCGTGACTGGCGAACAAAAATGACACTGATGGAAACGCGTGAAAGAGAAAATGAGACGCGTGAATAGATGCAAAAGTGTTTATTATTAGGTAGTAGTGTAAAGGCGCTTGTCATGATAGACGGGCACGCTAAGGGAAGTTTCGTCAGACTGTTTCTTGGCAGCAGTGATGGCAAGAGCTCCAGAGATTATCTCTTCAACATCTTGAGAAGAGTCAGAGGAGTGGCCTCCGTAGGAGTTGTTGTTGTTTTGGCGTAAGATAGGACGAGGAATGGATGGGCTTGGTGGAACACGGAATTGCACTGGACTGATATTCAGAGATCGATTTAGCGCATCCATCGAGGCAGTTGAACCTCCGCCGTAGATATTGCTCTGACTCCTCCGATGGGACCGGGGAGATCTCTTGTCTCTTGCCCCTCTTTCGTGGAGCTGTGGGCTATGGATTGGCAGAGGGTGTAGCTCAAGGGAAAGGCCTTGAGCACCATCAGTCGCCTTCCTGCTCAAGGAAGCAGACCGCGAGGCAGACCGTTTTCCTTTGGCAGGAGAACCGTCCTTCCTGCCAGAATTGGAGACATAGCTGGAGGGACGGGAGTTCGAGGGAGACGAAGCCCAGTACTGGTTCGGTGGCTCTTTGCCCTCGAACGACGTCGCAGCGGACCGTGACCTGGGTGACCGAACGTAGGGTGATTGGCCAAGGGCTTCATCAGGAATGTCCGGAGGAGGGACTTGGGGTGGGGGTGGAGGAGGTGGGAACTGTTGGACCATCTGTCGAGCGTCTCTCGAAAGTTTTGGAGATGCTCCTGCAAAGCGTGCCGATTCAGAGTGTTTCCTCAAGGACGCTATGCTCGAAGAACGGGACCGAGTTGATACTGGGGGGGGTATAGGGCCTGAAGTCAGATGTATTGATGATGACGACGTTGCAGTTGTTGTATGTTGTTGTGGTGGTGGGTGTGGTCGGGCCATTGCGCTCGGGTAAGGTGATACCATATTAGAGTTCACCAATACCTTGTCTGTACCCAATCCAAGCATGTCTATGTAAAAGTCGTTAGGTGGTACAGCAACCTCCGTTGGTTGTGATGAAAAGTTGTTGGTCAAGAATGGTTGTGTTGGGATTGGATGGGATTCCATGTATGGTACATATGAGGTCGAAACGTTCAGTCGATGGTCGGTGCCGAGTTTCCGATCTCGAAGAGTCGGCGATGGGAGGGTTGGGAGTTGGATGGATAGACTGGCAGACGAGATTGAGCTTATGCTCTTGTCGACAGCATGTCTGGCAACAGCTGGTGGCGGAAAGGGAATCACACGCGAGGTATCGTGGATATGTTCTTGTCCTGGGTATATTTGTTGAGTTTCTGGGTAGATTGGTTGCTGTTGATGCTCCATTGACCTGGCGCCCTCTTTGGTCGGTGAAAGAGACCCTCGGCTCCGTCGCCGCCGGAGGAACCACCAGAAGACAAATCCCAGAATGATGAGAACGGCGATGCCAGAGGCGATTCCTGCGATAAGCGCTGTTGACGACGTCTCGGTTCCTTTTGCTTGGCCATTCACGTCTGTTTGACTGTATCCTGCAAAAGGGGATGTTTGACCGGCGGAGGAGTCATCGGGTGAAGGAACCGTTGCCGTTGCTGTGGGTTGTGATTCGTCAAGAGTGGTTGTGGTCGGTTCTGGATCAGATGAATTTCCTCTCCATCCTCCTCCTCTCCATCCTCCTCCTCTTCCACCTCGGCAGCGCCAATACCTCCACTGCACACGGCGATCCTCGGAATCTCGGTCCTTGTCAGTAACGCTGCTACAGTCGCCCGGGTCCATTGTGAGAGGGTGTTGTGAGGGGACGTGAAGTCTGGAGAGTAAAAAGACAAAGTAAAGGAGAGAGAGAAAAAGAAAGAAAGCGTTGCTCCGGTGTTAGAGGAGGACAGACAGTAGGGAAAGGGGAGAGGGGAGCAAGAAGAGGTCGATGCTCGGACCCGACCGGACGGGGGCTGGGTATTAAACTGTCGGAGGAGAAGGGTTCATCAATTGACGCATTGGACATGAATCATCAATGAGTGTCCCCTACCCCCGCTTCCCCATCGAGATGTAATTTAAACACAGCTAGGCGAGGCGCAACACCAGACGACCATGGGGGATAGTGGAAAGCCGTCTGCATGTGTCTGGGCCTTGGCTGTTGTACCCCACCTCCTTGTATGTGTCTTGCCACTTCTTTGTAACCAAGACAGGAAAAATGAAGCAACAAGGAGAGAGGGGCTTCAGTAGTACACCAGGAAAAATATATCGGTGGGAAAGAAAAGATAAACACCGCTTTTCTTGTAGATGATGATGGAGTTTTTACCTGTTCTTGTTTTTATTTTTCACTGCCGTCAAGAGTCAAGAACAACAGAGCGAGATGACGATGGGGAAAATGCGAAAACGGAACAAAAACAAGAAACGAAAGGAAGTTGAAGAAATAAGGATGAGAGAAGAGAAGAAAAGACAAGATGGAGACAGACGGGTTGTGTGCCTGTGAAGTAAGTGAGTGGGAGCAAAGAAAGGAAAACCGAGGGGGACAGACACCGATCCCATACTCAGCATCATGACAGCAGGCATGGACTGGCCGACATACACACACACACACACACACATACACACAGACACGCTCACACACAGATACACAAAGACAAAATGTCGTGGTTTGGAAGGAGAGACGACCTGAGGGAGTGAAAGGAGAGAGAAGGAGAGCGAGAAGGTTTGCTTTGGAGAACCACAGGAGACAGACAAAACAAAAACGAAAGTAAAAAAAAAGGACCCGCGCAAAACAAGAATAGCAAAAACAAAACAGAGTTAAACCGGGCCATTGCTCAATTGAGATCTTCAAAGGAACAATTGCATGCACAAATGCCTTGTCCTGCAACAACTAATAACAAAAGAAAAAAAAATAGCATCCGTGAGCACAATACAGGAAAAGGTCGAGAGTTGAACTGCGCGAAAGGTTGAACGCAACGCATGTATGGCCTTTCTTCTCATCCTTGTTTGTATTGTTATTCACTACTCCCTTTTCATCTTCTCTCGACCCTTCTCTTTCACTTCCCTCTCTTTTATTCTCGCCTCGTTTTTTTCCCGCCTTGGCGATGACTGACATGGGTTGAGAGTCGAGATGGAATTCGATCCAGATCTTTACGTTACACCTACTTGCCATGTCCAGGTCCATTGATGGGTAATGGACCAACCAGGTCGGGCCAGTTTCTTTTTTCTTCTTCTTGTGAGTGTGGTTTTTTCAAGGGGATAGACAGACTCATTGGCACCACCCTTTTTTTTCCCTATTGTGTAGCATTCATCCACCCCTATCTCCTTTTACCACATCATTTTTTGTTCCTCAGAAAAGAACAATTCATCTCCGCCCTTTTGGCACTAAACTAAAGGTGCGCCACACGCTAAAGAAACGACAAAAAACTCTCGTACAAACTCGCCTTAAGAAAACAGATGAGATGAGTTGCAAGGTCGGAAAGGGTAAGAAGGAGGAAGAGGGGTAAGAGGCAGGGAGATAATGGACTGGAATTAGCAGAAAAGAATGAGGGTAGGTGGGATGAGCGAGAACAGGCGAGGCGGATCCCATGGGCGCAAACCAAATATCTGCATGTGCTTTTTTAATTCCCGCCATTGGGGAAGGACAAAACAAAGTACCCAACCAAGAACACCAACACCACAACCACCATGAACCCCATTCCTCTTTCAATTGAAAGCAAAACAAAGTCGCGGAGGGAAGGAGAGCCTATTGTTTCGGTTAGGCAATGTTGCATGTTGCATTTGCTCCCTAAACAAACAAACAAACAAACAAACAAACAGACAGACAAACCAATAGAGAACAACAATAAACAAAAAAAAACGAGTTCCCCGCAAATCCAGGGACGGTGAGAGCGTCTGAATGGTGTACAAATAGATAAGAAAAAAGCAATTGGTCGCTTTCCCCTCCTCGCGTTCTTGCGTTTCTTGATTTTATCTCGTTCTCAAAATACGAACGTTAGCATCATCTATCTCCCAATGTTTCCTTGTGTTAAACGTCCAATTTAAAATTACCCTTACGCTAACGATTGACCAATTACGTTAATGTGCAATGATAGGCTCTTGTCAAAGCAAGGGAGTGAAGATCAAAAGGAGGTAGAACGGGATGACATAACGGACAATATCCCAAGTGTCCCAAGCGACTATCACCCAGAAGTGTCGTCTTTGGAGCGGCCAGAAAATTCGTCGCCAGACTCGATGTCTTTTCATGCTGTCCATCAGTGGCGAGAGCGGCGACAGAGGAGAGAGGAGAAGGGGCGAAAGAGGAGACTTGGTGTTGGAATGTGAGAAGGAGGAGGTCCTTGGAGATTCTACGCTCTTTCCTTCGTCATCGCAGAAGGAATGAGACGCTGTTGATTTCTGTTGTTGACAGAACGTCTCGGCCGCTGCTTCTTGAGGGGAACAGAGCTGCTCCTGCAGCGTCGAGCCTTGGAGAGGATGAGGCGAGCTTGAGACGCAATCCGATGACATCGCATTGGTTATAACGGTCGGATTCCATCTCACCAACATTGAATCCGAGCAGAGGCGTCGATTCTGCTGGAGCCACAAGAACCGATAGCCGACGAGCCAGAGCAAGGTACAAAGGAGCAAGCACGAATATCCAGAATAAATCACCATCTGTCTCGGCAACATGCACTCGTCGTACGCGAACGTTGTCGTGTTGGATGCCTTGGCCATGTGGCTCTCAAGTACGTGGTTTGCCGGTAGTGTCGTGGTCGCGTTGTCGACTTCCTGCATTAACGAACGAGCATTCCTCGAAATGTGTTGTGGGTTGTAAAGCGAGAGAACGACGAAACCTGGCTGCTTGATTCCTTGTGCAAAGCTGAATGTCGGCAGGGTCACTTCAGGGGTCAATCGTTCGTCCAAGGAGTGACCCATCTCGCACCAGTCGTGGTCGTCACCGCTAAAGATCATATCCGGTTGGACCTTGCGCAGGATCTCTCGTGAGAGAGATGCATTAACCATGTTCTGGTACTGCTCGCCGTTCCCGTCCAGAATCAGCTGTTGGGCCTCTCTCGCCTCGCCGCATGATGTCGTCTCGGGTCTGAATAATGGGACATGAGTGAAGAGTATTCGCGGCTCTTTTGGCTTTTCTATTTCATTCATGCAACGAACGAGAAAGGAGGTAGGAGAGGTTAGTAAAGAGGGGGACGCGAGAGTAGTAATAATAATGCATCACACTTCTCATTTTCATCTCTCTCTCTCCTTCTCTTTGCCTCTTACCCTGTTCCATCTTCGCAAGGAAGTCCCTGGATTCCTCGCGGATGGACGTAATGTTCGAGCTCAGGGATAACGTATCGAGGATAACAAGAGAGTGGTTGCCAACCTTAATTTCGTAATTGACCGAACCAAAGTCGCCCTTGTACCGTTTCATCGCCTGGCGGACCAACGTGTCTCCAAACCCAACATCGTGATTTCCTGCTACATAGAGACGCGCGCTCTTGCCATCCTGTCGAATCTGGGCCCTCTCTGTCGCACCTGCTGCTGGATACGTAATCTGCCGATAGTGTCCTGTTGTGTCTCCTGTTCTTGCTTCATCCATTTGTCGCGATCTCGTTTCATATTCACCGCCATATTGCCTCAAGCCCTCCTCCTCTCCTATATCTTCCTCATCCATGACAAGTGGTTCCTGATTCCAAGCCGTCCGCCGCGAATCAAACACCTTGTCCAAGAACCGACCCTTATTCTTCTCATACACTCCTCCATCATCCTCTGCCACCGTCTCTCTACCTCCATCCATCAGATCGCCCAGGAACAATACCATATCCGGCTGCAGTCGCCGATGTAGACGAGCAAAACCCTTGCGCATAAACAGATCCGTGTAAAACTCTGTCAGACAGAGCGCCAGTCCTGTCTGTTTGTACGAGTACCAGTCTGTAAGCTGTGGGTCGGCAATGATGACGATCTTGTACCGTTCCTGAACTGCTCTCTCGCTCTGGTCCTAATAAAAGTGGGCAAATGGATGGTGAACGTATTAGCATATGGGTTTCTCTTGTGTTTCGAGCAGGGAAGCAAAATAGGAGCAGATGATTTCACTTACCCATGACTCCTTCGCTGGCCATTCACAACGACGCAACATGACCCAGAACACCGCATGCTCTCCAAACACCAACGTCAAGTACCAAACAACTCTCAACACCTTGACATGGTCCGACGTCACTTTATACTGCCTGCTCCCCATCCTACTCATCGTTTTCCTCCAATACTTTTGTTTCCTGCCACGTTCCATTAGCGACTCCGTGCTCTCTATCTCATCCTGTTGCTGCGACAACAGTGACCACGGCCGTCCTGTGGAAGGGTAGAGTAATGGAGACGAAGCGGAGTTGCCCGATGAGATTGAGGTCGAGACGGAAATGTCGGATGCAAAGGACAGCGCACGGACTTTGTCCTTGCTTTTGTCGGGCTTGAAAATAGTATTGAGTGCATTCTGGCCCGTCCGACGAAGAAAGGAAAATTGGTGGGTTGACTGCTGCTGCTGCTGCTGCTGCTGCTGAAGTGTTGGTGCGAGGGTGGTGGCAGCCGTAGGAGATACTTGTGCTTCCTCGTTGGTAACTGTTGAAGTCCTGTCGTATCTGTACATGGTACTCAGGTAGAGTTTGATATTGAGAAAGTCGGTGATGGGTAAAGAATAAAAAAGTAAAGCGAAGACAAAAACAAATGAGACGACAAAGAAAAAAATGTAAGGTCCAAGGTATGAAAAAGTCAAGGGATACAGGCCCCCTTTCGCTTCCAAGGTACTCTCTTTAGCTCCACGCCTCCTGGAGCAACAATGTTATATGTTCAGGAGTGTCAAAAAACAAAGATGCGAGCCATTCATCCCCTCTCCCCTCCCCTTCTTTACACCGGGACTCCAAGGGCACTTTAACTGAGTACTCCTGAACTAGTTTCATCTGTAGAATCAGGTTGGCTAGAACATAACTAGCAAAACGTCAAAGGACGTGTTCTTGGATGATAATTTGTTTTTTTATTGTTGTTCTATGTGCAGATGGCATATCTGCCGACGCTGAAGAATTACGAAAAGACAAAAAACAAAAGCGAAAAGAAAAGTACGAAGGGAATTCACGATGGCCAAAAGGAGAACACATCCATCATACAGGCCAGAGAGTTAAACGCCACAGCGTCTTGCTGAGTGTGATTTTGGGCCTGGAGGTGGAGGTGGAGATCGAGCGCGAGCTGGTTGTCAGTCGTGACGGACGGGTTTGTAGGAATGGTATCTGAGTAAAAGACCATCATCCCAAGACTCCCCAACATGGACGCTGATGACGACGATGGGGGTACTGCAACTGTAGGTCTATGCAAAGAAGAAGAGACGACTCGGATAGCAGTCCCTACACCATCGACCCCGCTGTCCTCGCTATCCTCGTCTTCGAAGCAAGGGTCCTTCCATTCGTTGATGCGGTCGTGTGACGGGAACGGTGTCTCGATAAAGGGCATCTCTCCTGGAGAGAAGAGGTCCGCCAAAGGATGGGTCGTCGCCATAGTTATTGATCCCATGGCGGTGTCGTTGTTTTTGTCGTTGTTGAGAAGGAATTGAAGCGAAGGAGGTACAATGGTAAGAAGCGTCCTTTTCGGAGTCGACAGTGGATAAGAGAAAGATCTCTGAAGAGTCTTTTGCTGGCGAGGAACAAAGACCGTTACTGGTGTGCCGAGAGGCTCATCAATCGTTGATTCTTTTAACTCTGCTGCGCGCCCCTCGCTTTCCAACTCTTGACCACCCTCCTGTGACGAGGCAGCCTCTAAAGACTCTGTCGACGACGACTGTTCGAGGAGAGAGGATCGGCATTGTTCCTGTGTCTGAGCCTGCTGCTGCTGTTGTTGACGACGATGCTGCTGCTTGACCTCCTTGGCCGCCAAGATCTTCTGAACCCTTGCGAAGCTAATCCCTCTTTGCTCATCAAACATCTCGGCCGTCTCGTCGCCATGCAGATAGACACACCTCGAGTGGTTCATCTGGTACTGACAGCTGGTTCCAGACCAGCAAGGGCGTGTCTTGTATGTCAGGGCTCTCTCCTTGCGCTGGAGCTCACTATCATGATGGACAAACAGGCAGCGCTCTCCGAAGGGGCACTGGCCGAGCTCGCGGAACTTGGTGCAGTACTCGGTTTTGTAGTGCGACAGGGGGACCTTGACGACGTAAGGGTTGATGTTCGATGTTGTTGTTAGCTTTGTGTCTCGTTGGCTGAAACTGAACGACGACGACGACGAGTGTGACCGCCTCAGAGCATTATGTGCATCACCGCAGCTCCACCCATGAGTAGGGAAATGCTGGGGGTTGTTCACCAGTCGATGGACCTGCTGCGTGACTGCAGGTGGTATGATCGCGTTTGTTGGGTCTTCCTGACCAGGATGGACAACTGAGGTGCCGTCAAGGAAAGTCGCCCGAGGTCTTGGTTGCATCTGTGATGAACCATCCCCGGTAGTGGATGATAAAGGAGGACTCTCGAGACTAAGGAATCGATGTGGGCTAGAATGGTTGTTGTTGTTGACGTCGTTGCGATCTTGTGTGCTATTGTCGTCATTGTTTCTCGAGAGGAGCATCCTTTCTGGACTCGACTCCTTGGATGGTTCCTGCAGTAGCCCGAATGGGTTGAATGGATCCGACGACGGATTAAGTAGATGCGACATGGTTGTGAGAGAAAAGTAGAGACAATGGACGAAGTTGAAGTGGGATGCATCATCGTTATATAGAATTGGCTGGTTGAGCTTGTTGAGACCAAAGTGGTGCGCTGAAACAAATGTGCGAAATGCTCTAGGGGAGGCGATGTAAAATGTGAACTAATGAGGTCCCCAAAGGACATTGACACTTCCCTCTTTGGTAGACAATATCGTCTCTTTCTCGCTTGCCTTTTGTTCTCAACAATCCGAGCGCTGACTAACATCTTGCATTCGAACCATTTCTTTTGTGTTCTATTTGTGTACGACATGGCCTTCCTTTTCAGGAATGTTCATTGTGTAAACAGACAACAGACGTGCGGAAAGGATGGAGAGGGACTTTTATCCAACGATACAGGAGGAATGAGAGCTTCAACGCATAAGGCGGTTCAGTTGTTTTATTGTATTGTTCGGCGCAAGAAGGTTCTAGAACGAAGAGCCAAACGCACTGTGGGCCTTGTTAGAGTGGCAGGTGTTTGTATCCAAGTCAATAGCGTAGCAAAGGAACGTAGCATCCACCCTAAGAAAAAATCACAAAGTAGCCATCAACAAATGAAGAATGTCAGTCGTGTGATCATTGGTTTAGCAAACAAAAAAAAAGGTGGGCAAGAATAGAAAGGACTTGGTGTCATACGTGATTGCCATGATATGCGTGAAGAATCCCGTAATGTAGTACGGAATAATGCTCGACAGGATCCCGATGACATATCCATACGGTGAGTGTAGATGATGGGTCGCAAAGATATACGCCACAAATCCGGTCAGAAGCGAGAAGAGGGTCGAGTAAATGAACAGGATCAACTTTGTCAAAAAGTCTAAAAAAACATATCATACACGAAACAAAAATGCCAAGGGTCAGTACTATAGGAAGATGAAACGAGTCGAAGATTACCAAGGGGGGTCGGCACACACGTACCTGAAATAAGGCCCCAAAGCAAGTTCCTATGGAAGATTTTGCTGGCAGACCGCGCTGCTCCAAACAGGCTCTCCCCTGTGATGCCAACATAGATAAGGGTGTAGTTGTTGAAGTTCTCGACCAGACCTTGGACGAGGGCGCAAAATGTGGCAAGTAGCGCAAAGAGAGGAAAGGAGTGGCCCTTCAGTTTCTACAAGGCGACAAGCATAGCATGAAAGTGTGCACGTCGTTAGTATGTAAACAATAAAAAGTCCCTAGGTATAAGAGCATTTCACTACTGTTCCTTACCTTTGCAGTATTCCGCAACGCAAAAGAGCTAAACTGGACGATGGCGATAAACAGCCCTCCCAAGCAAATGGATCCAAACGAGGTTGTCGTGGCGTTGATCAGCGCTGGTTCGGTGATCTTGGAACTGTGGTAAGCAAACGGCTCATGTCTAGTGAATGGAATAGAATCATTGGCGTCATATGAGTAAAAAGCGTAGAACAATAGCAACGGGTCCAATGAGCGTCATGATCATTGTTGACTAGTCTTACCTGTGGAAATACCACTTGGACACCACATTCGCAAGAGTTACCCTATAATCGATAAACGGTTACCCAGGCAGGGCGGGTGGTTATTACATATAATCATGTCTCAATCAAAGAATTCAGCGGCATTCACCGATGTCCTTGCTACAGTACCTTTGAACATTACTTAGGACGGCTGATGTCCACATATACATAAAGATCAAGTAGGCGGCAGTGGGGTAGAAATTGCCTTCCAGTACCCACGATCCTACGACAGCAAATGACCAGCAGCACAGCGAAAAGATGTTAGTTCATCTCTGTCGGTTGGCCCAACAGGACAAAGCGCAGTAGTAAAATGACGGAGTCATACCTTTTCCAACCGTGTTTTCTATGTGGCCGATCAAAAAGACCCGAGAGAAGAACACCAACCAGATCGCAGTGAAGACAACATGGACGAGCATCAACCCAACAGACACAAAGAACATGTCAGGGTTGTCCTTCAAGATCTCACAAGCAAGCTAAATAATGGGCAAAGGAGAACAAAATGTGTCAGTCATTACGGGTCCATGGTCCCTTGAAATTCTTTTCGTGTACAAGAACCGAAGCTTGCGAGGTTGAATGACCCCATTACCTCAATGATAGCGGTGGTCCGTCCAATGTACTTGCGCCGAAAGTAAATGACGCTCAGGAAGAGCGTTCCAACACTCAGAGGGAGCATTGAAAGGAACGTCAATCCACTATCCTGTGGGTCCCTCCCGCCATCCGGTTGTCGTGGTCCTTGGAATGATGACACTAACGACCAAATAAATATGATGAGCGCAAAGCATGGTACTGACAGTACTGTGACCCACACGACAGGCTAAAAGAGAGAAAACAAGAAACATGGAGATCATTGGGCTTAGCAGACATGTCGCAACTGTAAACAAAGTACGTGTAACAAGGCGAGCCCAGATTGCATATCACACTTACTCGAGCGAACGACCGCAGCGTGACCAGCCACAGAGTTCCTAAGGCGGCCGAAATCAGGACGACAAAAGTCAACATCCCTAAGTACATGAAAACATAAACAATCCGGATGTTAGCATTGCTGGAGGCTTTGCCAAGAGCAAGACCTGTCATACCATGTTTAAGAAAACAAAAAGGAGTGCTCACCTGCGCTGGACTTGATGACAGAGAAGATATTGTAGATGTGCTCATCTAGAATAGACGACTTGAAGAGTGACGCAGCGTAAGTACGCAAGTACGGAGTATTAGGTTATTAAACAACACGATCACGTTTTTCTCTCCATTTCTTTCGCACTCTCATCGTTAATATGCGAACCAAAGAGACGAATGCTTCACTGCGCATTATCCTTACGCTTGTTGTGAAGAGAAGCACAATCCCGAGGATGAAATAGGCGGCCAGGGCAAGGATGTAGAGGGCGGCAAAGACAGGATCCTTGAAGTTGCGTTTGTACGATATGGATGTCCAGCCAGTGGGTCCGCTGGGGATCTGTGTCGTTCAAATTTGAAAAAACAGAAATATGAGAAAAACGGTTTGACCCTTGTGACAGCAGAAGCAGCACCGTAAAATGAAGAAATATGTTTTGTGCTCTAATCTTACAGGCGTTGGTGCCAATAGCTGCTCGCCCAATGTCCCGGTGGTTGCCGATTTCGCAGATACTGGTGGAGGTACATCCAGGTAGATCGATGCCGGTGTCTATCAGAAAATGACAAATATAAACGATCAATGGTACGCATACGTCAGTCTCTTGGATATCCATTTTTTTCCTTTACGCTGACAAAATACACTCTGGTGGCAAGGAGGCACAGAAGGGGAGACATCGCCAAGGCCAAGGCCAAGCAAGTCTAGAAAGGAAGAAAAAAAAAAAGGTTTCACAGGCAGTCACTACTCCGCCCACTGCTGCTGCGACAACGTTACCATTGGAGGCACTTCTGACTGCGGGTGTCGGTCCAGGAAGAGCGACATGGGCGGTGATTGCGAGCTCGAGTCGGATCCATCGTCGTCAGAGTCATAGTCAGGCATATAAGATTCGTGCATGGGCATACTATCGTCGTCTCTTCCGTCAGAGTCCTCTGTTCCTGCTTCGATAGTCGGCACAGAGTAGAAGAGACTGCCAGACATGCGTGAGTGGGAAGGCTGTCCGGAATTGCGTTCAGGTGCTCGCCAGTTGCGGCCGACGGATCCTTGGAGACGCCCTCCTGTCCGTGAAAAGTGATTCCCGAACGCAGACATCAGGAATAGTTGTCTGTGTTAGTCGCTTGGTATAATAAAAGCCGTATTGAAGAGAGGTAAAAGCGGGGGCTGAGGCAAGAGAGTGCGGGGTTGAGGGATGTGAGGTAGAAGAGGAGGCAGTAGTTGCGTCAGTGTTGAGGTTTAGTAGAGTGGAGAAGAAATAGATTGTGCAACAAAAGGAGGTATTTGTTGTTTGGTTGTAAGGGTTTAGAGTGAGAGTAATGAGGAGGGGCAAAAACAAGGGATGCAGTCTTGTTCCATGGGCTACAAAGAGAAGCCAGCCAAAAAGCGCACAAGGACAAGCACAAGCCCAAGGCTACTCAATGGCAGTCATAGTCATGGTCACGAGATCATTTGCACAAGTTAGAGCCACCGAATGGAGAGGGAGAACAGAGAGAGCGACATTTTCACACACCTCCAACACGGCACACTGACTGACACACCTGGCGAAACGCGTCCACACTCCATCTCTTCCTACGCCGGCAGAAACAGTGGTTCCTAGGAAAACAAAGGTGCGTAACCCCACTGCAAACTAAAGGATAAACATAGTTGTCTTATGTAGCTGCTAAAGTTCAGGATGAGGAGAGCCAACAACACCATGCACTTCTCGTCTGAAGGCAAAACCTAAGGGAAAGAAAGTTATTCTGTATGAGGAAGGGCGCGCTGGAAAAACCTGATGTGAACATGCCGAATAACTTGAACGAGCACCTTTTTTTTTTCTCTCACCACCCCATGCTAGACTTTGTAGTCCAGCCATTGTTTTTTTGGCCAATTGAATGGAGGATAACTTTTCTCTGTAAAGTGAGCTCACTGGTCTGGACAACACAAGGAAGAGAGGACTAATCGACGAGTATGTTCACATCCAGTTCCCTTCAGACAATGATTGGTCCGGATGTGTTTTCAAGGGCACACGCACATCTTCTCCCCTGCATCGAATAGATTGTCAACAAATGCATTCTCCTCTTTGTCCTTTCCCTTTCGTAAAGACTCAGGGTCTAGGTTAGCTGCAACGACAACAGCACCATCGCCAACAACAACGACAACAACAAAAGACAACACCTCCATCCAATCAATGAAGACTAGTAAGCGCAAACCTTATTTCAGACACGTAATAGACATATCAAACAGCTGCATCGTTCTCATCACTCCTCTGTTCGTTTCCTTTCGCACGCAAGTTATTGCGATCGTGCGTCCATTCTCGCCTTGCCAGTTTACTTTTACTCCAGACCGCAAACATGCTTTCCCTTAAACCACCCTCCGGCTCATTTTCCCTTCCCTCTCTGTCCTTTGAAAACTTAAAAAAGAGACATTGTTATTATCCGGGCGTGTGAACATTCATCTTCGCAATCACATCATTCCTTCCCCTTTTCCTCATTCATTTATCCCCCCCTCCCGTCCCTTACTCACCGACCCGTGTTCTCCCCAGTCCTTGTCTGCACATTGTTTGTTTGACCGTTGATGGGAAAAACAGTTGGAAGAGAAGGCGTTCCTGTGAAGTTTCTACATCACCCAATGGAGCAGCGGATAATCTCTTCATGCCACTCTTTTGGCGAATGACAGGAATACATTCAAGCGGTAATAATATTATTCGTAACCCCTTTGCCTCCTGGTGGCGCCACCTTGCGAGACGCAAGTCGAATTGCTTTAATGCTCTACTTATCCCGGTGCCTATCGCGCAATTTAGAGACAGACTTGGGCCATCTTTTGCCCTGCACGGGCGGGTAAGTATCAGTGTGAAAATTGTTCGATTTAGCCAGGGTTCTTGTCCCACATTGGCAACACTCATTCCCCCCCCTGAACCCTACTTGTCCTGCCTGTCCACTTCAGTCCATTCTAGTCATGAGATTACAGTAAGCATTACGCGCAATGTTTTTTTTCTTTGGTTGAGAGCAACACTCCTTTTCTCATCAACAACAAAATACACACCCTTGAAAGCATAAACTCTGTTCAGAAAGACGGCGGGTAGAGGTTAGTCCAGTCCCTCCTCGACTCGCACCAATCCTAAAATGGTTGTTTTTTATCCACTCGACCCTTGTTCTGCCTCTAATGGCTATTCCCTAACACAAGGCAATCGTATGTCACCATTGTCCAACTCGACAAGAGTATCCAAATATGTTTCTTTCCTTCTTTTTTCTCATGAAGAGTCCAAGTCCTTGCATTCAACAGAGCGACATTCCTGAGAAGGGATTATGTTTTTCCCATGAAGGTATAAAAGCCGTAACGATGTCCACATTTTTTGTCTTGCTCCTCATCCGCCTTCTCCTTCTCTTCCTTTCCTCCAACTTCCTCCAAAACCAAACACATCCAACAATGAGAATCACTGCTCTTGTCACCTTGGCCGCCGCGGTCTTGGCCTTCACCGACGCCTCGCCTATCGCAAGAAGACCTCACCCCTCCGGAGGTCACTCCGTCCCCTTGACCCGCAATGCCAGCTACAAGCACAACACCCGCGCCCAGATTGCTAAGCTCAACAAGCGCTACCCTAGCTTGCAGATCCTCGCCGGATCCACCGGCCAAGTTCCCCTGACCGATGTCAGCCCCGATCTCGAGTATTACGGAACTGTCGCGGTCGGTACTCCTGCCCAGAACTTCAAGTTGGACTTTGATACCGTAAGTGTTATTCGATATGAACACGTTTGTCATCAATCGATCAAGAACCTCTTCCTTGGAACGTGTGATACTAATTTACCCACTTTCTTTCTTGGCTATTACAACAGGGTTCCTCGGATATTTGGTTCCCTTCCAGCACCTGCACCACCACCGCTTGCAAGGCCCACACCCGTTTCAACTCGGCCAAGTCGACCTCCTACCAGGCTGATGGTCGCAAATGGAACATTGCCTACGGCGATGGTTCGACCGCCTCTGGCATCCTAGGCTCTGACCTCGTCAGCGTCGGTGGTATCTCTGTCCGCCAAACCATTGGTCTCGCCACCAAGGAGTCCTCCCAGTTCGGTTCTTCCCCGGAGGATGGTCTCTTTGGTCTTGGTTTCGACACCATTGAATCCGTCAGTGGAGTCAAGACCTTCTTGGACAACGCCATCTCTGCTGGTGTCCTTGCTCAGCCCGTTGTCTCGGTCTTCTTGCCCTCCGAGCGTCTCTTCAACGGCCAGGGCGGAGAGTACCTCTTTGGCGGCATCGACTCGACCAAGTACACCGGCTCCTTGACCTACGTCCCCGTCACCACGAAGGGCTACTGGCAGATCCTGGTCCAGGATGCCTCCTACAACGGCGCCTCTCTTGGCCAGACCTCCCAGGGAATCGTTGACACCGGCACCACCCTCATCATTGTCGGCGATGCTGCCGCTGCTGCCATCCACAAGAAGATCCCTGGATCTGTTAACGACCCCAACAACGGCTGGTTGGTTCCTTGCTCGGCCTCTTCCAGCACTGCCAAGATCGGATTCAAGCTCGGTGGTGTCACCTTCAACGTCCCTGTTGCTGACCTTGCCTACGAGGATCTCGGTGATGGTTCCGGCAACTGCTTCTCTGGTGTCCAGGGTGGTCAGGACGGCCTCTGGATTTTGGGAGATGTGTTCATCAAGAACAACTACTGCGTCTTCTCCCAGACCTCGACTCCCAGCATCGGAATCGCTCCCCTTGCTGTCTAAGCTGTGTCCAGTTGGGACTGGTTTCCCCACATATGCTTCCTCTGGTAGGAAGATGCACAATAGCACACAAAAAAAAGGTATCTTGCGCATGCTAATGCAGAGCATTATGGCGGCTTTGACCTTCACGCAATTTAGTATTTATTTAACTATCATACCCATGAAGGAATAAAAAAAAAAGAAAAACAAATGCTTTTGTTGTGCTCAATGACTGTGCGACCCCGAGTGGGTTCTGGATTTGGGGGCGCAGACTGCGCCATCTTGTCAGTTGCTTTAGTAAAAAGAATAGAACCCTTTCGGAGCTCAAAACAAAGGCGCGTTAGTGGTCAGTGGTCGCATCTTGGACGCGTCCCTCCTTTGGTGACACCCCCTGCCACTGTACCTTCTATTCTTACTATAAAATACTTTTACATACGCTCCCTCCCTTTTGCTATCTAGTTTTTCTCTCTTCCAGCCAGACACACCGCGAACATTATTTTCTGTAGCTGGGACATGAACAACGCGCAAGAGAACACCACCTATACTCCTTATTACCCGCTCCATAGTATAAAAAGTTCGGAGACCAAGCGCGTTTTTACCTCCAAGAGATCATTACATCCCTGAACCCTGAGCGCGTTTTTCCATTTCTTAGACTGATTTCCTAACCTTTTTTTGAACTCTTTTCATCGTTGTCCCAAAACTCCACAGCTTTTTTTTTTTGTAGGTGCCCCTCCTCCTCCTGCTCCTTCTCAAGGGTTGTGCTGTGAATATTGAAACGCAATTGCCACCCAATTGCTCTTATGTTCCCCTCATCCCTTTTTTTAAGAGCTCCTTACTTGATATTTTTAGGTCAGCATTTTGAAAACAAACTAATCCCTTTTTTTTTGACACCTTTCCTCCTTTTTTTCTCTCGGTGGCACCGGCTAATTGAAAAAAGGAGGAAGGATTGCCTGCCAGTCGAGCCTCATATACATTAGAGGTACATTGTACTCACAACCAGCTGTGTCTCAATGTAGTTTTTTTCCGTGTGTTTGTCAACTGCAAGGGACTGTCGCACAAAGTGGCAACGGTCGAGAAAAATCGATTCACAACCCTGCTCACCTTACTTTCTCACTAGTCGGGGGTACATAGCTCTTCCTCTGTCTTTGTCATTGTCGAAATGAGATGAATACACATCAACAAATGAGTGGGGGAGGAGAGTACTATGTCTCCATAACCGAGACGCGTCATACCATGGTATAATCGTTGCTACGCGATCGTACTCAACCAACCATCCTCGACCAGACTCTTTCCGCAAAGAGTACGCATTTGTGCGATTCAGCGGCATCTTTGTGGGTTAACGTTCAAAACAGTTAAAATAGAGTTAATACTCCCCTTTTTGAAGCGAAAGGTTCAACCGAGGAAACGAGCCGTTGGGGGATCAGCCGTGTTTTGCATAACCTATTCGTGATATTTGTGAACACAAAACAAAAAGATGAACAACAATGCGACACACATTGTTGGACACAGACAACCTCGCTCTCTCACACAAAAGAGAAACTCATTCGACAGCTGCATGTCTTTCCTCAGTGAGCGTAGCAGCAGAGAGGGAGGAAAACAATACAGTGCATTGAGAACGGTTGCGTGTCTGAAACGGCGCCAAGGGGTTGGGGGCAGGGGATGGGGGGAGGGGACAAGGAGAGTGAACGTTTGATGTATAAAAAAGACGCGCATATATGGAGGGAGGTTGGGGTTGGACACAAACATAAAAAAAGACCCTCTTCAAGCATGATTATGGCATAACAACCCAACCCCCTGAACTTTTGTATTCATGCATCTTATTTTTTGGGGGAGCGTAGTCATTTTTTTCCGTTGACGGTGACGTCTAACCCTATTTTCGGTCAAGAGGAAGAAAAAAGTAAGTACTCCTTGTCATAAGTGTTCTTAGTCATTGCCTAGGCACAGTATCTACTCATAAGGAGAAGGAGAGGGAGAGTAGGACCTAAGCGCGTTTCTCGAGGAATCGAATGTAAAACGTTGAAAGGGGAAGTAAAGAAAGGGTCCTTCACTTCAGGCCCAAGCGAGGTCTCCAAGATGGACCCTCATTTTCCCAAAGGATCCAAGACGATTGTGTGTACAAGTCTGTACGTGTGTGTGTGAGTGTGAGTGTGTGAGTGAGTGTGAGTGTGTGTGTGAGTGTGAGTGTGTGTGTGAGAGAGTAGTGGTCCGAGAATAATACTGAGGAGGGTGGGAAGGAGGGAACGATGGCGGGAAGGAAAGAAGGAAGGAGGATGCGTCTCAACGGTTGTTCAACGCTATGAAAATGCGATTGTCCCTTGCATTGCATTGCATCGCCTATTTATTTTTTGCGCATTGCATCTTTGTTGACGTTCGCTGTCATTGTTAGTTGGAGTGTTGACATGCCATGCCATGTCATCTCAGGTTTTCCTCAAAGTGAACACCACAGACACATCAATGCACAAACACTAAACGCACTGATCATTTTTTGCGAACAGAGAGAGAGAGAAAAAAACGGGGGCTGTGGCTCCGATATCCAAAACTCTTTTCTCCCTTGTTTGTTTGACTCCTGATGTTTAGCAATATGCTAATGAGCAAAAAATAAAAAAGATCCACCCCACAGCATTGCTAAGGATGCAGCGAAGTATCTCCTCTCTTTTTCCGAGAAGAGGCAGCCTAGAGGCAGGACCTTGTTCTTTTTTGCGTATTCTTTTTCTTCTCTGTTTCTTTTAGTCAGGAAGAGAGCACAAGGATGATGGATGTTGAATGTTATGTCTCGTCTCAATGTTTTATGTCCACTCTGCGTATCATGCCAGATCCAATTTGATCCAAGCAATGAGCTCATTTTTTTTTCGTTTTCGTTTCTCCGTCTGGATCTGGCTTGCTTGTCTCTGTCTGTTGGTTTGATACCATGGGACCCCGTTCCCTTTTTGCGAGTGTGTGGACAGTTATATGGTTATGCATCTGTGTGTATGGTTCCTTGTTCTGGTGCCCCGTTCTCGGCTTGTTAAGAGTGCCTCTACCCCATCAATCTATCAGATCTATCACCACCGTGGCATTTAGTTTCAGTATTGTACACTCACACGCATGCCCCGATGCTAATGCAGCGTAAGTACGACAAAGCATGGAGGCTGAGAAGAGGACGAACAAGAAAGGATGGAATTCATCAACAGAGCAGACAGACTGGATTCATTATTGATTGTTTAAGGTGTGTTTAGCAGGGTATGAATAAAGAATGAATAAGAAGAGTATAATAGATATGGTTTTCAGTTCCCTTTTTTGCAATCCACTCCCTGTTATTTTCTTTGCTATCTTAATGCGTCGGTGTCACCCTCTTCGATGCACCCTGAACGGACGCCGTTAGAGGGTTCAGATTAATTCAATTGTTTTTCTTTTGTTCACCCTGGATTGTTGGTTGTTGTTGTGTTGTCATTCTCCTTGATTTCGTTTTGCTGTCCTCCCTTTTTTTTGTTACAATAATAAGTGCACTCATTCAATTACTCCCTGTCTTCTCTCTTTTTATTTTACATTTTTTCCTATCCATATTGGTCGATCAAAGAAGAGAGCGAGCCATTGGCTTATGTGTGCGCCCAGGAGTGAACACTTGTAACACAACAACTCGTTTCCATCCAGTCTTTCCGCTCAGCTATATAAGGCCGTGCCCATCGCCGTCTTTTTCTTGCTCCTTGTCTTTCTTCTTTGTATCTCTCCCCATTCCTGCCAACAAGCAAAAAAAACCAGTATTCTCTTCTTTCTTCTCCTTCTCTTCCTCCTCCTTCATTCCTTGTGCCTTGTCGATTAGTCTCTACTCTCTATTTATCATCTCTCATCTCTCATTTTTGCCCCGTAGTTCTCTCCACTGCTGGCATACTTCCCATGAACTAAATCCCGACGAACCTCTTTCTCTCTCTTCAAGGAACTCCCCCTCACGCCCACACGGCAAATCGATCCCCTACATCTTCCCTTCACCTCCTCGATTCCCTTTACACTACAACCAACGCCCTTTCCTTATCTTCTTTACACTAAACCTACGCCGCCACAGCCATTACCGATAACGACCCTTCCTTTCTCTCCCACGCCTGACCTAACAATACCGATCTACGTTCAACAACCCGCCCCTCCTCTTTGCATCCTCTTTTGGTACATTACCTTTTTTTATCCAACAAACAAACAAAACGTTTGCCTCTTGCTCGCCTCTCTCCTTCATTACTCGGATTATCCTTCCTTCTTCTTCTCATCATGCTCGTTAACGCTGCTTCTCAAAGCCATTTCAAGTTCGATCGCCTTGCTCCCCTCCCCATGGCTGGCCGCAAGAGGTAATGATCGACTTTTGCACATCTCATCTCAAATCAAAAAGTACATCTCCGAATATATTGGTGTTACTTTGGTGTCACAATACTCAGTAACTAATATTGTGCCTCATGTTGTTCCTCCAATATACTCTTCACAGCCCAACTACCTACCATCGCCGCACTGTCAGCTGCCTGGCCGTCGCATCCTACCATGAGCACTACAACCACCCTGCGTACCTCGCTTCGGGTGGTAGCAACCAGCTCTACGACACCATCATCCCTGAGGGATCCGCCTCGCCTGTCCACCATCAGACACGCCATGCCCACCGCAAGAGCGAGGGTGCCATCTCCCTTGACCAGCTTCAGAAGGGTCTTTCCGGAGCAGGTGTCTCCAATGTGAACACGTCCACAGCTGAAGCCAAGGACAACAAGGATGGTAAGTTTTTTCTATTTCCTCTTGCCTATGGGCGCAGCTGGCAGTTGTGATATTTCACACAGATAATTTGCCACACCATCGGAAGAGGGATCGATGACGACTGAAAACTCGCTCGGACGGAGAGAGAGAAGGAAAGAGGGAAAAGGAAAACAAAACGTGGCCATGGGTCATGCATCATGTACATGCACAGCTCACGCGTACCATCCCTCCCCTTTGCACATCGGAAACGCAGGGTTCTGCTTGCACAGGCGAAAGAGTGAGGATTGTGTGTGTTTGGATCCTACTGCAGTGAGGTCTCCAGAAACACCGAATCGAATACCACAAAACATGCGGGAAGTTTCTTTTGCACATCCATCGACCATGTATGCCCACCACGTGCTGACATCATGCCCTTCTACAATATTCACATTCTCCTCTTAGGCAACTTCACCACGGTCAACGTCTCCTCCGGCCCACTGAGTGGAAAAGTTATCAAGGTATGCCTCGCACTCGCAATCCCTATATATATTTCCATCCCAACCACCCCTCCTCCCCTGAATTACACAACCTTGTCAACCAAAAAAAATACCCCCCCCCCCCATTTTGCGGAAAGCAGCAACCAACAGCATTATCACCATGCCGCAAAAAGAAGCCTCGGGGCGACCAGTACCCCAGAGCTCCTTCTCTGACAGTGGTTGTTTCGTCGGCTTCGAATCGCCCAAAGCACAGTCCACAACAATCGACCCTGACAACCCCTTTGACTTTTCAGCCGTTCATTGCTGTCAATGCACCGACAGCTGTCACTACTCATTCGAATCTCATTCCTTATCCCGCATACCATTATCTAACTGTCCCTCCTGCCCTTACATTGAATCATCATCCTCATTTCAAAAGCTCAACGCTGCTTCGCCTGTCAACACTCCTCGACGATCCTTGCTCTCGGACCTCTTGAACAACCAGGCCGCCCCAACTCGTCTTGAACAGAACGCCAACCGCCGCAGAATGCTCAAGAGCATGCGCCGCTACTCTGTCGACGCCAGCGAGATGGATTTCACCCTCGGCGGTCGCCCCTCGAGCAGAGGATCACCCTTGACGACCATCTCCTCTGAGGGTGAGGGTGCTCTATTAATCGACAACCACCAGGGTTTCAATGCCACGCCCACTGTCCGCTATCTCCGCAACCCTTGCCACGCCACAGTCAAAACCAAGCTCATGCCATCTGCCTACAGAGGATCCATGGCTCGCCGCAGCAGCAATAGCACGGCTGAGGATGAAGAGACTCCCGATTACTTTGCCTCCGAGGATCGCGTCTGGTAAAAACTTGATACCATTCACGTTTTTCAATACGTGGGCAAACCCGAGGGTTTTCTTTTTCTCTCATGATCCCTTTCTTTTCAACCTGCATCGAGTTATATCAACTTGTACTTTAGCATCTTTTTTGTACGGCATACTGGCATCGTTTTTTTCTGTTCTTTTACATCTATAATTTGTACCACCACTTCCTACTAGTATTTTCCTCTTGACAATATTGTCCTCACGCTGTTGCGTTTTCAGTAGACTCTTCTTCTTTTTCCTCCTCTTCCTCCTCCACATTACAGAGTCTTCTTTTTCTTCCTCCTACTCAACCAAATACAGCTTCTTTCCTCACATCATAAATGTGCCTTCTGGCTCTAGCACATGTCTGCGACTGAATGATTCAAAGTATTCAATTCTTCAATTGCTCCTCTGCGACCATTAACAGTGTTCATTTGTGATAAGAGACAAAAAAAGTTGAATTTGATCAGCCCAGCAAAAGCCACACACTCACCCAGTCAGAGCGCCAATTTCCTTTCCCTCAGACAAAGTGTGAAGATTTGCGATTGCGATCACAAAAAAAAACACCATCCAACCTGACTGACAATCCCTCGCTCTCAATTCTTTTACATTCCCAAAAAGCGATGCCGGTGCTCCCACTGCCTAACGGTAATCCAGATCCCACACCCATCTACACCGACAACAACAACAATAATCATAACAGCAAGAAGACCGCCTTCAAGGACATGCTTCGACAACGACAGACCGCCCTTCGCAATAACAGGAATAATGCGTCTTCCTCCGACACTCACTCACGACGGTCGGGGGCGTCTGCAGGCGGCGGCGGTAGTGGTGGTGGTGTTGTGCCGAATTATGGGGGCAGAGGCTATTACCCGCCACCTCACCAGCACATGCAGCAACAGCAGCAGTTCCAGCCACAGTTCCAGCCACAGTTCCAGCCACAGTTCCAGCCACAGTTTCAACCACAAAATCATCATCAACAGCATCAACAGCATCAACAGCAGCAGCAGCAGCAACAGCAGCAGCCGCATTATGCAGATCAGGAGAGGGGAATATCTCTGCAGTCGTTGCGCGAGGAAGCTTCGAATCAGGGTCAATGGCACCCGCCACCACAGCAGCATCCACTGCAGCAACAGCAGCAACAACCCGTCGGTCATAACACCTTCAACAGCAGCAACAACAGAGCGCAGCATGTCAATGGTGTCCATGATGCTCCTCAGGGTGGTATCATTATCCACGGACTTGAGCAGTTAACAACACAGCGACAACAGCAGCAACAACAACACCAGTCGCAGGGAAGCGAGCCAGAGATCTTCACCAAGAATTGGAACCAAGGACAACAGTCCGGCATAGATACACAAGCAGTGAAAAATAACAACAGCAATCATACCACTGGCCAGGACAGTAACAACAAGGGTGGCAGCCCAGTCAATCAAGACGCCTATGATCTCCGCGAGATGCTGCTCCAACAGCGGTCCTCGAACGGAAAGCGACAGAGTCAGGATGATAGCGGAGGACCTCCTCCCAAGAGCCAAGCCAAGGTAAGGCAGATGCTTTTGATTCCTTTGCATGTTAGCGTCGGTATAAGCGAGGTGCAAAGCAATAGGATACTGACTCCTAAGTGTGGCTGTCGCTCTATTCTTGAAAACTTCAAAACCCAAGGTCGCCAAGAACCAAGCCAAGGATGCTCACAGTAAGTTATCAGATCGCTTATCATCGCTATGCTTCGTTCTTTGGTCAAAGTTGTTGGTAACTAGTCACCTAATGCACAACGTCATTGTGTTTCCTTATCTAGACGCAACGCAAGAAAGTGAAGGAAAAGTGGTATCCACCATATTGACGACCGGCCTTCGCAGTTCACCACAACAAGATCCACCGTCGTCATCATCACAGCATTTCCAGGATTCCGACACTATTATCTTTCTCCCACGAGGGAACAGGGTAGAGGACCCTTCTTCGTCTTCTTCTTTGCAGAGCGGGCCAACAGGAAATTCAGCCCCATCGGGAGCACCCGAATCGAAAAAGACAGCCAAGCAGCAACAGCAACCCTCCATAACGCTCGTCACCTCAAGCTCTCTCGCTTCCTCCATCTCAGCACCTCTCCTCAGCCCTACCACAACTCGGATGAAAAGCACCACTTCCAGCAACGGCAACAACTTCCCGACGACGACGACGTCGATAAAGCTGAGTGTCATCAATACCTCTGCATCATCAAAATCCTCAGCAGCCGGAATGTCCTCGGAAGGACTGCCACTCTCGACAAAGTTTAGCAAGATCTCGTCGACATCTCTGCCGTCATCACCCAAGACTGGTACTACCACTGATTACCCCACTGCACCTGTGTCGACGAAGCCATCGCCCAAGTCTACACCTACTACGTCTGTGTCCGCTAAACCGGCAGCACAGCTCTCTGTCTCACATGCAAGCGCTTCACCAACCTCCTCAAACGCCACAGCACCCGCCAAGCAAACTGAATCGGGCGCCAATGGCAGCAGCGCCTTTGACGGGAACATTACTCGAGAGGAACAATTGAGACAGCAGGTTCAGGCGACTCTCCAGAAGAAGGCTGCCAACCAGAGCGACAAGAAGAACGAGGTCAAGTCAGCACCCATTATCTTATCGACAGCTCGCAAGGCGCAGCCGGAATCGAATAGTGAGGGCCAGACACATCCAGCGAAGCGACCCAAAACTGGAAGCAGCAGCATTAACAGCGGGAAAGATGCCGTTGTGGGTCTCAGTCTGGAGGCGATACGAGTTGAGCGTGCGGCGCTGGACGCTTCCGCGGCACTGACAACTTCTCCTGCCACCACGAGTACCACTTCTACTAGTGCTACTACCGGTGGATCTGCTGTGACAGGTAATTCAGGAGCAGGAAGCGGAGCCAATGGTGGATTGTCGTCACACGAGAGCAATGCAATGGCACCTCGTGACCGGAACCAATCGTCTGATCCCCAGTATGGCCAAGTCAGCAAGGACAGTACCGAGGACAGGACAAAGGAGAGCAGTAGTTCAACAACACATCAGGAATCGAGCCGAGGACAGGACAGATCTGATTCGCGCAGCAGCACATCTAATCGGGATCGGGATGCAGGCCGAGAGTCGGACAGAAGCTATACACGGAGGCAACCGTCGCCACGTTCGCAGGGCCGTGGAAGTGGAGGGTATGACCGTGACGGAGATCGCGGGTGGTATGATCGTGGTATGGATCGTGGAGGGAGCGAACGCTGGGATGATCGAGGATATGAACGGCGGGATGATAGGGGCGGTGGATATGGTCGTGGTGGTTACGATTCTAGAGGGTATGAGAGGGGAGGGGACTATGGGTACAGTCGATACGACGATGTGAAGACGAGTGACAGGAGAAGGGATGGGTCGAACGATAGAGGAGCTAATCGGTCAGGGGATAGATCAGGAACGGATAGGACAAGCGACAGAGACAAGGCGGCTGCAGATCGAGCACCTCCACCACTACCAACATCGAGCGATAAGAAGGAAACCAAGGGGAGTGAAATTGAAAGTCGGGCAGAGCAGGGTCGTGACCAGCAGAAGCAGCAGCGGAGCAGCGACAAACCGGCGGCGGTTGACCGGGTAACGACAACAACGACAGGAAAGGATGCTAACAGCAAAAACAGCGCAACTAAGAAGGACGGCGTACAAGTTGAAGGAGGGGCAGTGGCGGCGGTGACAGGAGTTGATTCGCTAAAGAATGTGGATGTAGTCATGACCGACGTCAAGGCTGAGCCGGTGACGCCTTCGTTGCCGCAGGCGCCTGAGGAGCCTCCAATTCTCTTTGCTGCTGCAAACCGGTTGCAGGCTGAACTCAATTCATCACCATCTGGCCAACCTCAGCAGCAACAGCAGCAGCAAGGGACAAGCGCTGCGGTGGACGCAGGAGTTACACTCGATGACGAAGCGCCTATTCTATTTGCTGCTGCGAACAGGATCCAACAACAACAACAGCAGCAGCAGATTCAGCAGCAGATTCAGCAACAGCAACAACAAGAACAGCAGCAACTAGAACAGCTCCAGCAGCTTCAACAGCAGCAGCAACAACAACAACAACAACGCGACCTCAACCAACAGTTGGAGATCGAGGCACAGCAGCGCTATCAGTCAATGAAGGACGCTGCTACGAAGCAACTGGACGATGATGCTCCTATTTTATTCTCGTCTGCCAATCGACTCAATCAGGACCTGGGGTCGCCTATCTTGTTCTCAGCTGCGAGTCGGATGATGAACAACGGGATCCCTTCCTCGTCTGCGACATTCCCTGGAAGCTTGACTACCCAACATACCACCAAGCTACCCTCGCAGATGTCCCTTGGTGTTGCCGGCCCCTCCCCGTTCATGTTCTCTTCCTCGACCATGGCGTCACAAGGCCCAGGACCTGGATCCATCTCAGCAGCAACAACACCCTCTAACCTTGGCCTCAACCACCAGAGCCAACCACCGCCATCATCCTCATCGTCCTACTCACCAACCTACACCCCAACCAGCAGCTTCAACATGGTCATGACCCCACAGGGCGAGATCGGCAAGAGCGACATGTCGCTCGCCTTTGAAGTTATGGACCGCTGCACAATCGACCTCCTCCTCCTCCAACAGCGCTACGCAACCGTTACCTCCCGCCTCACAGAGGTCACTGCCAAAGCCCTCGAATCTGACGCCCGCCTTGCTCAGCTTGGTGCACAGATGGAACTGGAACTGAAGATGAGTCGAGTCCATCATCAGATGAAGAATGGATTTGAGCAGCAGCAGTTACCGGATTTGCAAAGGATGATGAAGTCGACCCAGGAGTTGATCTCGAGGTTGGGGCATCTTTCGACCAGTGCAGCTGCAGGGTCTGCGACGGCGGTTGTTGTGCGGCCGCAGTTGAGGATGGTGCCTGCTGTTACTAATGGAGGTGGAGGAGTAGGAGCTGGATCGACTGGAACTGGTAACCCTTCTGCGGTAGCCCTGGCGCTCGACAGGTTGGCGCAAACAGGACATCACACCCTTTCTACCACAACAGCAGCAACAGCAGGAGCGGCATCAACGGGCGATTCACTTGGGGACGTGCGATTCTCAGGAATGGCAACCGTCAACAACAGCAATACCAACAGCGGCAGCAACATGGATATCGACAATGGAAGCGAAGCCTCATCCACCAGGAGTCCAGGAACAACAACAGGAGCAGCAACAGCACTCGGCACTGGTACTGTTTCAGCCTCAGCGACGGCTACGGCCATGGCGACAGAAGAGACGGTGGTGGTGATACGACCATGCCTGTCGTTCAACATTGCACCGAAAGGATGTCGGTTCCGAGCCAGTAACCACCCTTGCCCTTACCTCCACACCTGTCTCTACTGTGGGTCTTCGAGCCATGCTGTCATGCATTGCGATTACACTTCGGCGGAACCTTCCCACGACAACTTTTTTCGATAAAAATGACATCCACACTTTCTTTACACACACACGCTCTTGCGAACCACCAAAGAACCACAGCCCAACTAATTTCCACCACCCAACAACAATCCAACAGCAACAAACAACAACAAAAATGTGTTTTCCATCTCAAAAGAAAATTTATTCTGCTTTCTACAACCATACATACATTGTGCAAAAGAGCAAGTAAAGAAATAATAAACAATGGTTAGATATCAACAAGCAAGCAATGAGCGTTAAAGTAGATGCAAACAAACAAACAACAAAAGCGATGAAGGAGGACACTTACATTAATAGTTTTCGTTCAAAGAACAAGACATGACAAAAAGAAAAATGGAAAATGGTCCCTCGCATTGATCTGTTGTTGTTCAACTTTCATTCTCTTCACTTGACAACGGCGCCAGCTCCTCACTTGTAGGTGATTTAGATGAGGTCAGCAACGTTCATGGGCATCTCGAGGATCTGAGTAGAGTAGAACTGCTCAATCTCGCGGAGCATGCGGGTGTCGTCGGCGGTGACGAAGTTGATGGCAACACCCTTACGACCGAAACGACCACCACGACCGATACGATGAATGTAGTTCTCCTTGTTGGAGGGGAGATCGTAGTTGATGACCAAGGAAACCTGCTGGACATCGATACCACGGGCCAACAAGTCGGTGGCGATCAAGACACGGGAAGATCCAGAGCGGAACTCCTTCATGATGACCTCACGCTGACCCTGCTCCATATCTCCGTGCATGGCAGAGACAGTGAACTCGCGGGCAGTGAGCTTCTCGGTCAACCAGTCGACCTTTCTGCGGGTGTTGCAGAAGATAACGGCCTGGGTGATGGTGACGGTCTCGTAGAGATCGCACAAGGTGTCGAGCTTCCACTCCTCCTTCTCAACGGCGACGTAGAACTGCTTGATACCCTCGAGGGTGAGCTCGTCCTTCTTGACCAAAATGCGGATGGGGTCGCGCATGAACTTGGTGGTAACCTCCATAACCTCAGCGGGCATGGTGGCGGACAGGAGGACAACCTGGGTGGATGGGGGAAGACGCTGGAAGACATCGTAGATCTGGTCCTTGAAACCGCGGGACAACATCTCATCGGCCTCATCGAGGATGAACATCTTCATGTGGTCGGTCTTGAGGGCACCACGGTTGATCATATCGAAGACACGACCGGGGGTTCCGACGACGACCTGGGCACCAGCCTCGAGAGTCTTCATGTCCTCACGGACGTTGGTACCACCAATGCAGGCGTGGCACTGAACCTTCATGAAGTCACCGAGGGCAATGACGACCTTCTGGATCTGCTGGGCCAACTCGCGGGTAGGGGCGAGGATGAGGGCCTGGCACTGGGGGTTGGAGAGATCCAACTTCTGGAGAGCAGAGATCGAGAAGGTGGCGGTCTTTCCGGTACCGGACTGGGCCTGAGCAATGACATCATGTCCCTTGATAACGGGGAGAATGGCACGCTGCTGAATGGTCGAGGGGCGCTCGAAACTAGTTTAAAGAATAGCGTTGAATCAAAAACATAGGGGTAGGCCATTAGTTTTATATTCCGTACGAGTGCACAAACGCCTTGTCTTCCAGTATGACATTGTTGAATAGGATGAACGTACCCATAGGCATAGATACCACGGAGCAACTCGGGGGAGAGGTTCATGTTGTCGAAGTTATCGACAATCTCGTCCCAGTTGGACTATTAGGAATTCCATATGAAGCAAGAAAGGTGGATACGCATGTCAGTCTCACTGCGGAAGGAGCTCATATTTCCCGTAGTTAAAGCAACGCTGAGCGGCAGACAAGGCTGCTGTATCCCATAGCGAGGCTATCCTGAAGGGCGGCGCCGGATTATTACCTCGATCTCATTCTGGTCAAGTTCGAGACCAGCGGTCTCTTCGCTATAAACATTAAAGATAGGAAGGGGATGCTGCAGGTTAGAACAGCTGTTACATGCATGTTTTTCTTTTTCTTTCAAGGGGAAGAGAGGAGGGGTGCAGCAGCAAAGAGCTGGGGCACCCTGAGGTAAATAAACAAAAAAAAATTCAAAAATAAAAGAAAATTCTAAAACTGCGGCGGTAAGAAAGGCTGGCCACAAGGTCAGGAGAAGCGAGGAAGGGGGGAGGGTCCAAAAGGGACAAAGTATAGCGCCAAGGCGCACAAAGAAAAGGCTTCAGGTGCCAGGTTCCGTTGGGTATGCCCAGTAGTTGATGATCGGTCCTCGCCCTCTTAGATGACGATCTGTCCTGAAAAGCACCATCGAGTTCAGAAAATACACCTCTATACCTCTTTTATGGATCCATAAGAGAGAGAGAGTATATGAACTGAGTAAGATGATCGAGTGCGCCTTGAAGAGGCAGGATGACGAGGTATATGCCTGCCAACGCCACTCTTGACACAAGGTGTGAAAAAAACCAAAGTGTCGATTGTCGTTTGGTTGGCCGTTGGTTGTTTGATGTGAAGTAGAAGGTGGGGTGGTGTCGAATGTGATAAAAAAAAAAAAAAAAAAAAGGCTGTAAAAGAAAGTGAGAGGGGTGGCGAAGGAGGAGGGCAACCTACCGGGCAGCAGACATGATTTTTTTTGCTTTTTTTTTTAGATAGACAAAATGAGTTTCCTTGTGATGAAGAAACTCGGAATGTCTAGAATTGAGATGGAAAGAAGCAAAGAGGGGGTGCTGAAAATTTTTCGGCTTGCTTGGTTTTGTTGTCAGCGGTAGTCCCTCTGGCTGGTTTTCCTTGGCTGCTCGCACTGGGAAGGGTGATTGATAGCAAGGAAGGAAAGCTAAGCCACTGTAGGCGTTTTTTCTTTCTTTTTTTTCTCTCGCGTGGAAGTGCCATGCGTGTAAAGATAACAAGCTGGATACATGAGAAAGAAGTTGCCTCACTATCACATCATATCATGCTCACATACACACGCACACACACACACACAACCAACAACAATAGAGGCACCTGAACAGCCCCCTCTTTTCATCCTTTCACGCCTTTCGAATTTTAGCACGCTATTCTGTGATGATTGACGGCAGTAGGTGCTTGGGTTACGTATGCGGTGACGTAGTGTATGCGCCCATTGTTCCTTTGCCCGGCAAAGGATAAATGAAAAGTGACTGCTCAAACAAACCGAACGCGTTGAATTGCTACCACTCCAACAGTTGCTTCTCTCTTTACTCTTCCAGTCCTCCTCTCTTAGAGCAGCCCTTAGCACACACACTCACCGCCACCATGACAAACAACCCTTGCACACCCAATGCCATCGAGGCCATCTACAACGAACGCCCCATCACTGCTCCCATTCTCCAGGTGCTGAACACAAAGCCTATGCCCCAGGCTCAGCCTGGCGCCCCTCCTCGCTACAGGTACAAAAACACGCCTTTTTGTTTACTCTTTTTTGGTGGCGAAACGTCAAACGAGCCAATTTGCCACAACAAATCGCTCACCACATTCACATTTCAAACCCCATAGAGTTCTGTTCTCGGATGGAGTTCATGTTCTGCAGGGTATGTCCACCTGAGTACTCTCGTTCGCGGTCGTTTGCAATGAGCAACACCGTGTGTGAATGGATATGATAACTGTTTTTTAACACACCAGGGTTTTTTCGTTATAGGTATTCTCGGTACACCTTTGAACCCTCTTGTGGAGAGCAAGGCGCTCCAGAAGTATACCATCGTCAAACTCAACAAGCACACCATCAGACCCATCTCAGGAAAAAAGTATGGTAGCCATCCTTTGCCCTTTTTTGTGTATCCTGGATGTGGCATCAACTGGGTTCCTGACCTGTTTTTTTCTCGACATCTCTCTCGTGCATAGACTAATTCTTGCTGTTGATTTGGACATCTTGGATCAGTTCGGAGATATTGCAAAGATTGGCGAGCCTGTAAGTTTTTCTCTCTCTCCAATCGTTTTCGTCACAGTCCATCACGCCTGATGCAGCGACGCTAACGTTTATTAATATTGTTGTGAACTAGTTGGCTATTGACGCCGAAGTCGCTGCACCCCAAGGAGGAGCTCCTACATCAGCATCAGGAACGGTTGCGCGGCCACAGCAACCGCAACCACAGCAGCAGCAGTTCCGTGCTCCTCAGAACAACCCTTTTCAACAGCAAATGCAACAGCAGCAAAACCCTCAGCCTCACCAGCAGGCCATGACTCCATCTGGCACTCCAGTTTTCCATATTGCCTCGCTCAACCCTTACCAGAACCGCTGGACAATCATGGCTCGTGTCACACAAAAGTCGGATATCAAGACGTGGAGCAAGGCTGGCGGAAACGAAGGAAAGCTCTTCAGCATGACTCTGATGGATGAGAGCGTAAGTTGACTCCTTTTCATGATGTGACGCGCTTGACTGCAGATGGAATTGTAACTGTGATTCTAATTAATGTCTGTTAACTATTATCACTATAGGGCGAGATCAAGGTCACAGGATTCAACCAACAGGTCGATGACTTCTACCACATGATCGAGGAAGGCAAGGTCTATTATCTCTCGACTGCAAAGGTTGAAATCGCCAAGAAGCAGTTCTCTACCGTCAAGAACGACTATGAGATTATCCTTCAACGCGATTCTCAGATCCAACCTGTATGTCATAGATCGCTGCGTTTGCTATGATCGCGATGTGCTGCTGCGTTTGAAATATCACTTCTCTTCTATCGCGCGCATTTATTAACAGTGGATCAACATTCTTACCTTTCTTGTTAGGCTCTGGAGAGCGAACACCATGTCCCTGCGGTGCGATTTCAGTTCGTGCAGCTCGCTAATCTTGCGAACCTCAACGAAAAGGAGCTCGTCGATGTGATCGCCATTGTCACTGAAGTCGGCGAGTTCACCAATAACACCAACCCGAAGACCGGCCGTCCTATGTTGAAGCGCAACCTTACATTGATTGACCCCTCCGGTTTCACTACTACGGTGACACTTTGGGGACAACAGGCCGAGACCTTTGCACTCCCTGCTCAGAACGCTGTCATTGCTATGAAGGGTGTTTCCGTCAGTAACTACGGAGGTAAGGCTCACTTCGCGCAATAATTTCATTCATCGAATGGGATATTGCGTTGCTTGATGCTAATGGATAGAATCCGACTATTCTTGCGCAATTTTTAGGCAAGACTTTGAATGCCTTTGGTGGCAGCTCGATCAAGATCAACCCAGATATTCCGGAAGCTTTCAAACTTCGTGGATGGTTTGATGAGGAGGCAGGCTCGACGAACTTCCAGGCCCATACGTCCGATTACAAGCCCAACTCTACACCCAGGATGACCTTTGACGAGGTTAAGGACGCGTCTGCCAAGCTTGATCAAACACAGACGCTTTACTTTGAAACCAAAGGCACGATTGTGATGATGAGCAAGTCCGAGAATACATTCCAGTACCCCGCTTGCCCCACCATTGGCTGCAACAAGAAGGTCGTGCAGGAAAACGGCGGCTGGAGATGCGAGAACTGCAACAAGACCGTGAGCGAGCCTGATTACCGGTACATCATGGGAGTGAATGTTTCAGACTACACTGGACAGGAGTGGATTCAGGCTTTCAACGACTCGGGCATGATAATCACAGGACGACCTGCCAAAGAACTTGTCGAAGTAAGTTTTCTTGTGTTACCATTTAACCTTTGCCACATGGAAGGAGAGGGAGCGAGTAAAGTTTCAAAAACGTGCCGTTGTACTCACGGACTCAATGAATCAATACAACACCAACTCCTCATCTTAGCACACCGAGGAGATTCCTCTCACGTTCGCAAGGGCCACCTTCAAGTCATACATCTTCAAGTGCCGGGCAAAGCAGGACACCTACAGAGTACGCTTTGTTTTGTTCTAGATGATTCCTACAGGCGTTTGTTGCGGCTGCTGTACTGTGTGATTAACTTTCTGCTAACGTTGTTCGATCGCATTTTACATGTTTGGTTAGGATGAGGCCAGAACGCGCATCACAATTGTGTCGGTAGCTCCTATCGACTGGGTTGCGGAGTCCCAGACTTTGCTGAAGCAATTGGAGGAGTACGGCGTCTAAAACAGCGACTCATGAACCCTTTCATATGCTTAATCAAGGACAGGAAGAGTGGACACTGTGGTTTAGGTCAAAAGACATGGCCTGCATGTATGCAAAAACATAGCATACTCGCCCTTCTTTCCTTCATCTTTCTCTGCTTATCTTTTGGTCGCAAACCCTTTCAACACACACGCAAAACAGCCAACAATAAACACAAAAACATCAATGAATTGAGTGAGAGGCAAAGAAGTTGCATTGTTTTTTTGCTGGAATCGTTACAAGAAGTAGTGGTGTACAAGGGTGAGGTGTCATTATGGGGTTTGTGTGCCTGAGAAGCAATGAGAATGCGTCACATAAAATTGAAAGAACGTAAGAAAAAAAAACCCATCAAGTAGTTTTTGTAATTTTTTTTGGATTTTTTGTTCATGATTGCTGAATGAGAGAGGATGCGAGGGAAAGGAAGTGAGGTGCCTGAGTTTTCTAATAATCCATTTGGGCGTCCTGTCCTGGATGATTGTTCATATCACCTTCAGCCTCGTCGTCGTCCTCAGGACCTTCTTCGCTTACTTCATGACCATACGCGCCGTCACCATCGTCGTCGTCGCCATCGCCATCGACGTCGGCACCGTCAGGAGTTGTAAAGGTGTACATGAACGCGGAGGGGTGGCCTGATACGACGCCTGGATGACTGTGAGCCATTACTTGACGGTAGGACTGCTGCTGCTGCTGCTGTTGAGAGCGATGGCCGTGATGGTGCACGAAGGTGTGATGCGATCCAGAGGCGAATTGATGATGGTTGTGAGTATTGTGATACTGTTGTGGGTGATGATGATGGTGGTGATGGCGGTACTGCTGGGAGAGAGCCAAGGCTGCTTGGTGGATCGCTTGGATTGGAGGGATGGCAGGTGCGCCGGCTGGATCTCCTCCAGTGGCAGTGGTCGCGGCATTGGCGACAGCAGCGCTGTTGGCAAGGGCC